TGCAGATGTGACACACTGGCTGCTGATGGTCCAGACAGAAGAGTTTGAGTTTCTCAGAGTGCAGACTGCAGAGAGCCTCTGAAGATCTCTGATCTCTCTCCTGTAAGAACCTCTCACACAGGTTCTTTAAAGCCAGACTTATAGGTGGATTGTCCATTGAAGATCTCCTCTTACAAACTGGACACTCACGTGTCAGTTTCTCTGTCCACCAGCTCTTCAGACAGTCTTTACAGAAGCTGTGGCTGCATGACAGAACAACAGGATCTCTAAAGACATCATGACAGACCGGACAGCAGAAATCCTCCTCTAATCTGGAAGCCATTTGGTCTCTGAGTGCAGCTGGAAACAGCAAACAGCACGTTAAACATTAACTCATGTGTGTTTCCTCACCCTGCTGTAAAATGTTGCATCAGTTATTTTCACTTTGAGTCTTTGAGTGTTTATTTCAGTCAGCAGCAGGTTGAACTACTTCAGTTTACTTCAGTACTCCGTCCTGTAACTGTTCTCCCTCAGTTAAAGTCACAGATTTGTAATGAAGGTAAATCTTACCGTCTGTCTCTCCGTCTGTGTGTCTCTCCTCAGTGAGAACTGAACAGGAACAACCTGTTTCCTGGTTGGTCTCAGGTGATATAATTAAGGGGCGGAGCTTCGTCATCACACTGCTCTGAGATCACCGCTGCGTTTCATTAGTAGTTCCACTTCCCCTCGTTCACTTACCCTCAGCCCTTGGTATGACGTAACAGCATACATTGCATGAAGGCCACTTGGACCGTGGAGGGAAAGTGGGCGGGGGAGGAGCGGGGGATTTAAATGAAACGCACTTGCCCTTGGAGTCAGTAGTCACAATGGACCGTTGGCCAGTTGTGACTGTGGCGCTTTATTCGGTCTCTTCTTCTGACCCTTTAATCACATAAACAATCACTATTGTGTCACCCACTAACAATGCTATAATGTGAGATTTTGTGCAAAACAGCATAATTCAGTTACATACGTAGTTCTGAATGCAAGTAATAGAGAATTACAACATTCTCATAAAGTATATTGCATAAAGCAAATTCCACAGCATGACAAAAATTTAATTTATAAAAAATAATTTCGACATTATTACTCAGAATATTAAGATATTGTTACTTACACTTGTAAATTGTTTGGTCCGACACGTTTTCTTCGTTTCTGTTTTTTTCAATCACAAACATCTGTTTCAAATAGGCCTACTCATTGGCAGCCGTCGGCGTTATAGTGGCAATGACGTAAACTGCAATGCATTGTGGGTGATATCCACCTCGGAGTGACCACTGTTGTTCACTCGCTCCCTCAGCCCTCCGAGGGTCCATCTCACCAAGTTCACTTCAGTTTTCCAGACAATTGGAAGGACACTTATTATGGCGGCGGGGATTCCCCCGAGGGCAAGTGAATGACTAATGAAACGCAGCGAAAGTCACAAAGACAAAACGACCACAACAAATTCATTCTCACTGATATTGCTGTTTTACTTGTTTTAAATTATGTTAAAGAAAAAATATTAGAAAATCAAAAACAATCAGTCCATTTATATATAGTCCAGTTATATTTCACAAATATCTTTTGGAAGTTCTAGTAAGATCATTTACTGGTTTAATAATAATTAAATTCATTATATTTCAGTTATTTTAAAATATTTAAAAACATTTTCATATTTTGGGGTATTTAGAAAAAAGAAATCCTCATTTCATATTGATATCAAAGTATAAAACACAGAAACACAGAGTCCACTGGAGCTTTAACAGTCAGTAGAAGAACATTTTCAGCTTTCTGTAAAAGTTTCTTGTGTTATAAAGTCAGCTAAGCTAGCAACACGCTAACAGAGCTAACCAGCCATGAGCAACTCTTGTCAGACTCTAAGTTGGTCTGATATAATCGGGTTGGTTGGTGATAAAAGCTGCCACCACCAGGACCGTTTCTAGCTGTTTGGGGGCCCTATGCGAGATACTATTTGGGGCCCCTTTTTTTTCAAACTCTGAGGTAGAGATAACTTTTTCATATATTCTGTGATGATGCAGCAGTCTGTTACAAGAGGAAAGCAGGCTAGAGTACATTAATAAATGCAACAGATACAGTATGTTCTTGAAAAATGTTTAATGTAAACTTTGAGGTGGCATAACATAAAAAAGCTTTAACCCACCATTCCAAAACAGTAAAAAATAAATAACTAAACTTACTTAAATAAATAAGTATAATGGACCAGCATCCATGTTATTGCACAATCAATAAAAAATAAATTTAAAAAAACAGTTATGTAGTATATATTGTAGTTGTAGTTTAAAATGAACCATATATAACTGTACAACATCACTACTTTGTGATCAGGATCTGTATGATCACAGTCTTACGTTCTCCTCCTCAAAACTTCTGCTTCCTTGCTTCAGTTGCTGATGGTCCTGCTGCTTCCTGGTCAGAAGCTGATGAAGGTCCCCCTGGCTCTCCTTGAACTGGACCTCCAAACTATTTCAAAATTGCTCCTGCAAAGACAAAGCTCCTTAGGTTACCAAGCAATCAGAAGCAAATATTCATATCATATAACTGCAGCTGTGTTGAACTATGCAAAAAATTCTGAATCTGTTTTTATATTAAACATTACAATATACAGTGTCCCTGTTTAAGCATCTACCAGTTTTTTCTGTGTTTATCTCCATATTATACTAGTTAATTAATACAAATGAAGGTAAATGAGTGATGAGCACCAAATGATATAAAGGGAATATGTTTGCATATATCTTGCAGTGCATTACAAAGTGGACAACTTGCAGTCCTATGCAGTACAGGACACTTTAAATATACAGGTTTGTTCAAATTAGTAAACTACATTGTCACAATATATATTCTAATACATTTGGCAAGGGGAATTCAACTAAGTCAGCAGATTTGTCCAGTAACCAAACCACAGTAAATAAAAATACAATAGAGCAAATAATTGGAAAATATTTCATAGCACAGTGATCATTTAAAATTCATAGTGATTTATGAATAATCTACTGCTATACTGCTACTACTACTATCTATCTATCTGTCTGTCTGTCTGTCTGTCTGTCTGTCTGACTGTCTGTCTGTCTGTCTGTCTGTCTATCTATCTATCTATCTATCTATCTATCTATCTATCTATCTATCTATCTGTCTGTCTGTCTGTCTATCTATCTATCTATCTGTCTGTCTGTCTGTCTGTCTGTCTGTCTGTCTGTCTGTCTGTCTGTCTGTCTATCTATCTATCTATCTATCTTATTTTACTGCTACTACTAAAAGTAACAATAATCAGTCTGATAATAATTGGTTTTATTTATAAAATAGTAGCACAGGTCTATGCTTGAGAAACATTTATTTGAGCCTTTTTGTAAAGCAAATTCTGGATAAAGCTGACTTTATTTACAAACAAACAAACAAACAATCATAGCCCGTTAGCTGAGGTAGCTCACATTTATCTGAGGATAGCTGAACTAGCCAGCATGACAACAGTAACAAACTAACTTGTTCAGAAGTTGGCATTATGTGTCCCCCTCCCCCCCACATCAAATGCCTTACCTTTATCCTGTGGTTGTTTCTCTGCGCCAGACGCATAAGTACGTTTCGATGACGTTGTAATCAGTGTCATCCGTTATTCTCGTCACTTCAGTGGAAGGTGGGCGGCTGTCACTTACCATGTGACAGCCCAGCCCAAAGGTGATTTTGACCTGATTACCCCACGAACACTTACATGCTTTGCAAATAAATGCATAATGAATGCATGCAATACATACAAATAAAGACAGGTACTTTTAATTCTCCAAAATATAATAAAATATGAGGCTGAACTTGCAGTTTGGGGGCCCCCTGGTGGCTGCGGGGCCCTATGCAGCCGCATAGTCCGCATATAGCAAGAAACGGCTCTGCCTCTGACTGACTCGTTCTTTATCAGCACAAACTCGAAAAAATGAATCTCAAGAAAGAGCAAAGTGTATTTTAATGGGTGACCTATCAGCAGTGTGTCTGAACGCATCGTGTTCATAAAGTGACGGAGGGGTTAATTATCAGGAATTAATGGATGAAGAAATATGACACCAAAGTAAAGATAATATTTTATTATACTGATGAAAAACAGGAGTAATTGTACATTCAGCATTAATGTTAATTAATGTTCTGAAATCAGCAACATTACATACAGTCTGAACCCAAACTGAGACGTTCCACCTTAAACATGAGACGTCCACCTTAAATAGAAGAACTTGTCCTCTGACTGAATGAGTAACAGCAGAATTCAACTGATGGAAACTGAATGAAAACACTGTTACAGACTGAATCATCTCCACTTCATCACATCAAACAGAACATTGTTCATATATTTTAGATCATTTAAACTTATATTTTACACATTGTGAACATTTCATATGTGGAATTAAACAATCTGGAATCTTTGCTGCTCAAACATGCAGTTATTGATTCATTTGTATCAATTATTTGGATCCATCAGCTTCCACAAACTGGTCGCTGGTCTTCAAGTTAAAATAATAAAAAAGGAATTTAAAATATCACAGTATCGATTAAAAGAAAACCAAACACAAAGATCAGAAAATAAATGAAACAATTTTACATCTGAAAAAGGTCGACAATAGGAACAAAAAACTGATTTCGAACTAAATAAGAACAAAAAGAAAATAAAAACAATCAGAATTATAAAACCAGATAGAAAATATCAGATGAGAAAAAAGAAATACAATTAAATAACAAAATAAAATAGAAATATACAAGATATAAAGAAGGGAAAATAGAATTAGGTTTTTATTGTTGTCCCAGTGTTGGAAATGAAGCAGCTGTTTAGTTTTTCATTGTTTTAATATAAAAAATGTATAAATAAGAATGTTTCTGGTTCCTTCATTTAAGACAAAGTCACTATTTTTATTATGAAAGAATTGTGTCTTATTGTAAGATTTGTTTTGCTAATTAGGGCACACATTCTTGAATTCAGATCAATTGCCTAATAATTTGCTTAATACCTGAACATTTGATTATATTTAATAATATGTGTCTGTTCCTGCAGTGCTGGAATAATGAGGAGCAGGTTTCAGTTTAACAGGTTCAATTCAGAGACTTTTCTCTTTAAGAAATAAACATCATGAATATAATCATCCTCTTTATCTCTAACTGCTCTGTTCCACTGTCACACTGACCTTCACTGGTAATATCTTCACTGGGACTTTATCCCCAGTGTAAATTAATGGAAACATCCTCTCAGTGAAAGTGTGTGTGAAGGTGTGTATGTGTGTGTTAGTATCAGGATCAGAGAACGACAGCTTTCCTATGTTCCAGTCCAGATTCACTCTGATCCTCTGGACCTTCTTCTGAAATACAAGATCAGTTGGTGGAGCTGATGGTGACCATGCTGAGTATTTACCTTTATTCAACCATATTATCCATAATCCAGACAGTTTGCGTCCCTTCCTCTTGACAGACTCTACTGACACACCCAGTAACCACAATGTACTGTCTCCAACCTCGACATCCCAGCTGTGAGTCCCTGAGTTAAAGCCCTCAGAGCCCAGAACAGAGCAGTACCGATCAAACCTCTCTGGATTATCAGGAAGCTGCTGTTTCTCTCCTTCTCTCACACTGGTCAGATCTTCAGACAGGATGAGTTTTGGATGAGCAGTGTTTGGATCCAGAATCACAGGACTGTAGGAGACCATGTCCTTTATCTTGTTCCAGATGTTGAAGGTCAGGTTGCCCAGGTGTTTGGCCTCGTCTATCAGAGCTCCTGAGGGCAGCTGTGAATCCTCCAGCTGGGGGCGCTGCTGGACTCTTTCCACTGCAGCCTTGTAGTTGTTCAGGAATGAGACGTCTTCATCTCTCAGCTCCTCCTCTGTGGCTCTGACTGTGTCTGAAAGAGCTGCTATCTCTCTGCTCAGAGCCTCCATCTTCTCCTTCATCATCTGACTCTTCTGCTCCTCTTCCTCCCTCAGTGCAGCCAGCCTGGCCTCCTCTTCCTCTTCTAGAAACTGGTGAATCTTCTTAAACTGCTCCTTAATCTTCCTCTCTGTGCGTTGGGCCTGGACCTTCATGTGTTCTGCTGTTTGATCAAACTTCACTTTAACTCCTTCACAAACCTTTAACTGCTCCTTTAAGGGCTCCAGAGTTTCCTGAAGTTCCTTCTTGTGTTGTCGTGCAGCTTCATCAATGGGTCTGAATCTGTGGTTGGAGTGTTTTTCTGAATCTCTGCAGATGTGACACACTGGCTGCTGATGGTCCAGACAGAAGAGTTTGAGTTTCTCAGAGTGCAGACTGCAGAGAGCCTCTGAAGATCTCTGATCTCTCTCCTGTAAGAAACTCTCACACAGGTTCTTTAAAGTCAGATTACAGGGTGGTTCTTCCCTCGAAGATCTTCTTTTACAAACTCGACACTCACGTGTTTGTTTCTCTGTCCACCAGCTCTTCAGACAGTCTTTACAGAAGCTGTGGCTGCATGACAGAAGAACAGGATCTCTAAAGACATCATGACAGACCGGACAGCAGAAATCCTCCTCTAATCTGGAAGCCATTTTGTCTCTGAGTGCAGCTGGAAACAGCAAACAGCACGTTAAACAGGAAGTCAGTTGTGTTTCCTCACCCTGCTGTAAAATGTTGCATCAGTTACTTTCACTTTGAGTTTATTTCAGTCAGCAGCAGGTTGAACTACTTCAGTTTACTTCAGTACTTCGTCCTGTAACTGTTGTCCCTCAGTTAAAGTCACAGATTTGTAATGAAGGTAAATCTTACCGTCTGTCTCTCCGTCTGTGTGTCTCTCCTCAGTGAGAACTGAACAGGAACAATCTGTTTCCTGTTTGGTCTCAGGTGCTGTCATTAAGCGGCGGAGCTTTGTCGTCACACTGCTCTGAGATCAGTCACAAAGACAAAACGACCACAACAAATTCATTCTCACTGATATTTCTGTTTTACTTTGTTTTAAATTATCTTAAAGAGAAAATATTGGAAAATCAATCAGTCCATTTATATATAGTCCAGTTATATTTCACTAATATCTTTTGGAAGTTCTTCTCATACATACCTGGACACTCTACTTCTTCTTTTTTTGTGCATTTTATTTTACTTTTATTCTTATCTCTACTTCATAAATTTAGCTAAGAGTATATTGTTTACTGTTTATTGTTTACTTTCTATATTTAGCTAAGAGTTCATTGTTTATCTTATACTGTATTTTTTATATGTCTTTATTTTCTATACAAGTGTTTTGTAAGCTGCTGGAAATCCAATTTCCTCGCGGGAGTCATGCCAAAGGGATCAATAAAGAGAAGTCTAAGTCTAACTCTAGTAAGACTATTTACTGGTTTAATAATAATTAAATTCATTATATTTCAGTTATTTTAAAAATATTTAAAAACAGTTTCATATTTTGGGGTATTTAAAAAAAGAAATCCTCATTTCATATTGATATCAAAGTATAAAACACAGAAACACAGAGTCCACTGGAGCTTTAACAGTCACTAGAAGAACATTTTCAGCTTTCTGTAAAAGTTTCTTGTGTTATAAAGTCAGCTAAGCTAGCAACACGCTAACAGAGCTAACCAGCCATGAGCAACTCTTGTCAGACTCTAAGTTGGTCTGATATAATCAGGAGTTGGTTGGTGATAAAAGCTGCCACCACATATGTCACCTTCCTCCTGATCAGCCAACAATAAAATTAAACTGCAATATCCAGTTTCAACCAGTAGAGGGCGGTCACTATGCAGAGAGTCAAATCTGGACCTGAATCAATCAACAACACTAGTAAATACCCAAATACAGAGGTTTTCAGCAGGAAGCGGTTTAATTACACTTTCATATTTTCCAATATTTGCCTCGATATGGAGCCATCAGGATCAATGAATGACATCTCTTAGTCTGTAAGGAACCACCTTCATGAGTTGCACAACCACGTAGCAGAGCTTCAGCCAATCACAGTCCAGTTTGTGGCACAGATATTTAATATATTGTCAGCAGTGTAGGTGGATTATGAAGGGCCTCCATACCCTCCTACACCGGAGCAAGACCCCCCTGAAAGAGAACCAACTCGACTATAAACAACACGATCATTTTGAACCAGAGCTCTCAGGTTCAAAAGACAAAAGAAAGTTTTCGGGATATTTTTTCCACCCGTAACATCAACGACTGGTTATATTTGTATTATGCAGATTCTCCTGGTCCTGGATACATGTTGGTACAGAGAGGTCTTAATAAAAAGTTTTATTTATATTCAGATTTTTTCAGATATAATGAAACTGTTTTTCAGGGATCGCAGGAAAAGGCTTTAAAGCTGTGAAACTTCAGCTTTATTTTATGCTGCATTTTCTTCGTACTCTATACTCATTTACTGAGACGCAGCCTCCGTCGGACTGGTCTCCAAACTACATCAGGAGTCATTAATAACAGCATTAATAAGTAGTTTTAAAGGGCATCTATTTAGTGCAATAAGATGAGAATTAGCCTGATCAGCCAGCGTCAGTAATCAATAGACACATTATTGAAGCATTAATCAAACTAACAGCAGTCAATGTCAGATAATATTATCAAACTTTAGCAGTTAGCTTGTGTTTCTGTAAGGGCAACAAAACTATACATATTAGCAGTTTGAATTCAACTAAAAGCTCCCTGCACCAAACTCCCTTTAAGAAATATCACATTTTAACAACGTGCGTAAAAACATGCAACATGAACTAAAGACGGCCATATGTATTTATATCTGTAAGGGTCACACAAACAGAAGGGGAACAGCGAGATTAGTTTCTTTGTCGTTTGTTGAGGCTCAAAATGGGAATTTGAATTTGAGTCCAGTTTTAGTCCGGTTTCATTGCTATATTTTCAGCATATCGACTAATCCACACCACATATATGTACGTCAGAAAACCGGCGACAGTTAGAAAGTAGAGGACAAAGAACACAGAGTCTATGATTTCTGCCACTCGTCTGTAGCGTCGAGACTTTCTCTGGTCTGTTTCTCGTCCTTCAGCTTCCTGCCGAGCGGCCTTCACTTCCTCCAGGATCAGTTTGAGCGCATCGCGACCGGCAGGCCCTTCCAGCGTGAGGGGGCTTTTCTCTGGTTTCACCTGGCCTTCCTCTGCAGCGCCGGGGGTCTCTGTGTGGGAAAGATAATTCAGCAGAATGAGCTGGTGTGCACACAGAGGAAGGATGAGTTCAATGTTTATATGTACGTGTAGGATTATTGACGCATGTTAAATGTTTTTATACTACCAATGTCTGGATTGACAATGTGAATGAGAATTATCATGTGAATCTGCAGCTCCCCCTTTAAATATATGGATTTAAAGCAACGTTATTTAACTTTTCTACCATAAAATAACAACTTCACTATCATTTGGATGCTACACTGAGTTACAATAGAGTGAACGCTGCCTCTGTGGGGAGTGTAAGAGCTTTGGAGCGCCAGGAGAAGGAGGTTTTTTAGGCCTGGGACGGAGGTGGGGTGATGCTGAGGAGAGTAGGGCTGAGTGGGCGTGCAACGTAACCGGGCTCAGTTTTCATCATCTACGAAGGTGAATTAGAGATTTCTTTCCACCAAATCAGAGTTGTTGATTGTTGGAAAGACCAACAAAGACGGTTTAAGTGAGTTTTATTTAGTTTCCGTCCTGTTGTTCTGCTCTGAGATGCTCGTGTATAAAACCTTTAACAAACACAGAAACATAAGAAATCTTTAGTGTGTAGAAACTTTACCTTTGTCAAAGTCTGCTTCCAGCTGAATCTCCTCTTGGACGTTAACAGAGCTTCGAGTCTTCTGACCACAATAACCATCGAGGTCGAATAGGAAGCTCACCAGCATGGCCTCCAGAAGGCTGATCCCCACCAGGGCGAAGGTCACAACACAGTAGACGGCTGGAATAAAGGTGCAGGGACATTAAACTGGTGAGTGTATCAGTACGGAGGACTCTCTGTGATCTCTGGTGTGAGGTCGGCGGCTCACCCATCATTGGCAGGTTGTCTTCAGTGGAAGGCAACATGTCCTGAAGGATCAGCAGTAAGACAGAGATGGAAAGGAGGACGGTCACTTTGAAGCTCAGCTTTTCTCCTCTGGCCTCGCTGATGAAGAAGGAGGCCAGATCCAGGATCATTAAATAGAACAGGGGCACGATTAAAATCACCACATAAAGCATCGGCTTCCTCATCATTATGATCTGAAAACAGAAAAAGAGTCAGATTAATTAGAGACTTTAAAGAACAAACTGTTGTCAGATTTCATTACAAATATTTTCTTACCGTGTAAATAAGTTTGCTTTCAGTTCTTCCGCCTTTAGTTGTATTAGAAGCAGAAATTTTCATTGTAACAAGGTCCCATTCTCCCTGTGTGACCATGAACGTCTCAGAGATTATTGTGAGAGTTGTGTCATTCTGGACTGTTCCTAGGTGGATGACTCCTGCTGTATTGGTGATTAAAAGTATTACATAATCACATATTCTGAAGACGTTCTGAACGTGAAACAAATGAGGCGCAATTTACCATCAGAGGTCATGGATGAAAATGTGATTGTACAATTCTGTGTATCAAAGGGGAAGTCTCTGAGATTCATCTGACAGGTGAAGGTCAGCCGCTGGCGCATGCTCGTGTACACCAAACCGCTGGACACTTGGCCAAGTGGACTTTTGTGAATACTCCCAGTATCAGAGGCACTGAAGACAAAGAGGGAATTATAAGGTAAAAAAAATATGAGTGGGATAAAAGAGTGGGCGGGCAACGTAACCGGGCTCAGTTTTTATCATCTACATCAGTGAATTAAGGATTTATTTCCACCAAACCAGAGTTGGTGATTGTTGGAAACACTAACAGAGACGCTTTTAATGAGTTTTATTCTGTTTCTGTCCACTTTGAATGAAGTTACGATGATCTAAAGGTAAAATGAGTGTTTCTGTCTCTGGAGTCTGGTGGAGAGTGATAGTGATATTACGGCTGTTTGTGGTTAAACTAAAGGTCTATCTCTGTAGGGATCCTTTCCATAATGCTGTCAGACACTGACAATAACAACCTGAGTCTGTCAGTGGCAGAAACAACTACTGTTAGTGGAACAAACAACAACTACTGTTAGTGGAACAAACAACAACTACTGTTAGTGGAACAAACAACTACTGTTAGTGGAATAAACAACAACTACTGTTAGTGGAACAAACAACTAATGTTAGTGGAACAAACAACAACTACTGTTAGTGGAACAAACAACTACTACTGTTAGTGGAACAAACAACTACTACTGTTAGTGGAACAAACAACAACAACTGTTAGTGGAACAAACAACAACTACTGTTAGTGGAACAAACAACTAATGTTAGTGGAACAAACAACAACTACTGTTAGTGGAACAAACAACTACTACTGTTAGTGGAACAAACAACTACTACTGTTAGTGGAACAAACAACTACTACTGTTAGTGGAACAAACAACAACTACTGTTAGTGGAACAAACAACTAATGTTAGTGGAACAAACAACTACTACTGTTAGTGGAACAAACAACTACTACTGTTAGTGGAACAAACAACAACTACTGTTAGTGGAACAAACAACAACAACTGTTAGTGGAACAAACAACAACTACTGTCAGTGGAACAAACAACAACAACTGTTAGTGGAACAAACAACAACAACTGTTAGTGGAACAAACAACTACTACTGTTAGTGGAACAAACAACTACTACTGTTAGTGGAACAAACAACAACTACTGTTAGTGGAACAAACAACAACAACAACTGTTAGTGGAACAAACAACAACAACAACTGTTAGTGGAACAAACAACAACAACAACTGTTAGTGGAACAAACAACAACAACTGTTAGTGGAATAAACAACAACAACTACTGTTAGTGGAACAAACAACAACTACTGTTAGTGGAACAAACAACTACTGTTAGTGGAACTAACAACAACAACTGTTAGAGGAACAAACAACAACAACTGTTAGTGGAAAAAACAACAACTACTGTTAGTGGAACAAACAACAACAACAACTGTTAGTGGAACAAACAACAACAACTGTTAGTGGATAGACTTTGACGGTGCATTTGTCACCAAGGATTAGCGTTGCCGCCATTGCCGCTCGTTTTTATAATATTTAAGGATTTATTTCCTCCAAACAAGAGATGGCGATGGTTGGAAGGACTAATAAAAATTAGTTTGAGTCAAGTTTGAAGTGTTTTTTACGATTATCTGCAAGATTAAATCAATGGTTTTGGTCCATGGAGTCTGGTCACATATAGCAGCCATTGTTTTGGTTGGAGGAGAGAAATGTTTTCCACATGTTTGTAAGAACTCAAGGATACAGAAACACTGATTGTACTGTCTTTATTTTTCTTACCTGGACTTTAAAAGTCACTTTGAATGGTATAAACTCTGAGTAGATCCCGTCTGCTACAGGCTCAGGTTTGTTTACATTGAGCTTTACCTTTATAAATCACCTCTGAATAAGATCAAAACCATAAACTGCAATTATGTTATTAATAATTATTATTATAACACAATAATAGTAATAATACATACTCCTCTTGGATGGATACATCTGGGGTCCACAGGCTCGACATCGGAACGGTAAACTTCTCTATCCCACAAAAGTCTGAAGAATTCCAAGTCAGGAATTCATTCATCCAACTCTGGGAAAAGAAAACGTTTTAAAACTGTTTATGACAGTAAACTTACAGCTGATGTTTTGTTTGAAAATGCACTTCAGTTCTTTGGCTCTTGAACTAAACATGATCATTTCTTACCATCTGAACCCAGATGTGACTCGTGACAGTCTGAAACATCTCATCCTGCAAAACAAAAACAGGATAAATCTGAGCGGTTTCTATCCATGCAGACAGGTTTGGGAGCATTTTCTCAGGGTTTTTAGACGGATGCTGATAAAACTATTAAGTTAAATGTACTAAAAGGAGTTTTAACTGGTTATAAAACAGTTTGAGTCTATAAAGAGATCAGAACATCATGCTGTATGGAAGACGACTGAAACTAGAGATTGAGACCATAAACTCATCAGGAAACTGTTTACTGAGCTCATAAATCAACTGAGAAGTCGGATTATTTCCCCATAAGACTGAATGGTAATGGAGCTGCCCCCTGCTGGTCATTATAGAGAATGCAGGTTTCACAGACCCCGAAGCTCTGTCTGTTATATTTACTGTGCATGGTTGTTTCTTTAAGTAAAAGTAGAAGTTCAACCGTGTATAAAATGATCTCTCAAGATATAAAAATAAATAAGTTTTTGTTTCCAGTTAAAAAGAATGTAATAAATCGTCCCTTCAACAGGGTTTTGAGGCGTTATATGATGATTTTGGGTGAGCTGACCCATAAACAACACGTACCACTTGTAAAATACCGTACAGCAACATGTCCACCTGTACGAGGGTGGATGTCATCCAGTTCTTCACGGGCCGCATGATCTGTAGAACATCATTCGTCGGCGTCAGGTTCAAATGTTTCAGAAGACCCAAATAGGAGCAGTCTGAAGTCTGACTGCTGGAAATACCTGCTAGGGGAAGAGACCAGGATCTGAACCTGCAGGAACTGATACAAACAGTTGCAACGTTTTATGTGTTAATAAAGTTAAATTTAACAACTCACAGATGAGAGCAATAAAAGCTGCAACCTTCAGAGCTGACATGGTTGTTTGCCTTCATCTCAGTCTGAACAAACCCTTTTAAACTGCCTCACAAAGAACAGGTGAACAATACAACAGGTAAGTGCGGAAGAAGGCATCAATAGATCTAATTAAAGGTGCCGTTCTGCGGTCTGTCGTTGGAGGACGTTTCTATTGTCGCCCTGCAGCTGAAGCGAAAAGTCAACACGAGGAGTTCTGTGTGACATCAGAGTGCACGCTGGAGATTTTAATTAGAGGATGTAAATTCAATATATAAGATACTCAGAGGAGGAGGATGTACAGGTCAATCTGCTGAGGAAGATAAAACAGAAAAAAAACAGAACAACCAACTGAGGGACTGTTTTATTTTAACTTCACTTCCACAAATTCAATCTCAGCTCAAGTTCCTCTGACTGACTCGTTCTTTATCAGCACACACAAAAGTCTCACCTGTTTTGGAATTTAATTTTTTTTTTAAAAAACAAAAAAGGAATCTCAAGCCCTGTTTTAATAAATATTAACTGGGTCTTAATAAGATTTATAATTCTTTTTAAATGGTTTTAATATCCCAGCAGAGGAAATAATCATGTTTTCTCTTTAACAATCATGTCATAATTCATTGTTTAAATAAAAAATTATAAAAATAAGAATGTTTCTTGTGCCTTTATTTACAACAAAATCAGTTATTGTTATTATGTTTGAACAGATTGTGTCTCATTGTAAGATTGATGATTATTAATCTTAATTAAAGATTAAAGGTACAAATTCTTAAATTCAGCTTAATAAAGTAAACAAAATACTTATTTTAAGAACCTTATGTAACTTAGTTTTCATTGTTTGTAATTAACACAATACTTACAATTTTGGCATTAAATTCCCCTTTACACATAGTTTGATGAATTCTAGCCAAGTAAAATTATAATACAAGAAAATCGATTATATTTATGAATATCTGGTTTGTTTCTAAAAGGCTGTTTTTGCAGTTTTCATCTAATCGTAACATCAATTTGGCTTCAGACCATAAATAACAATTCAAATCAAGGAGAATGTATTTTATTTTACAGAAATAATAGAAAGAGAAACATTTACACATACAAACATCATCAGTGTGTATTAATTAATCAACCAGAAACACTAAAGTAGATGTAACCGTCTGCTTTTACAAAACAGATTTGAAGCCCAAAGTTTGCTGCACGTTGAGTGAAGTGTCAGTTTATCCTACCAATAATCCAATATTTCAAATAAAATAATACCCAGGTTTAAATAATCTGAGTGAGGGGCTGAAACACACTTTGTATTTTCCAGGACAACATAGATTATTTCCTGATAACTGATAATGTCACAACTTTTTTATCTATTTAATATTAATATTCCAGAACTCTGATTTAACCAAATTATTGTTAACAACAACAAACAAACAGTTCTGACTCTCAGATTGTTTTTCCATCAACTGGTCGGCTGTAATTTAATAATCCAGATTGGTAATAATATTAATTTTTCCACCATCAGCCGATAATTTAACTAATTTCCAGGCGTTTCACTGGAAACAAGTCTAATTTGACAGTTTTCTAAGGTTTTCCAGGACGTTATGAACATTAGATTTCTTGTATCATAGGTGTTGTTGCAAACATTTATTTCCCACTGGGAATAAATAAACCTATAAATAAACATATCTTCTTGTTGTTGCTGTAGAAAATAAACAATAACCAGTCTTTAAAGTCGGTTGAATAGTTGGAATACGTCACTGTGATCGGTCTGTTTGTTAAATAGAGAAAATATCTCGTCTCTCTAAAAGCTCCGCAGCCTGAAAACCACAGATCTGAATCAGGAGTTGAATCTTTGGCACACAAAAGAACTTTTTCAGGATTTTTTATTCCATCTGTAACATCAACGACTGCTTATATATTTTATTTTTCTACGTCCCGCCAACCCAACAGATTCTTTTAAAGGTCCTGGATACGCGTTGGTACAGAGAGGTTTAGGGGAACACATCAGTGGGCAGCTGGAAGTCTTTGAAGGTGTAGAAGGAGATGTCTCCGTAGTCCACGACGGCGAAGACCACCGGGACGTCTCCGCTCTGGAAGGTCAGCAGCTTCATAGCTCGCAGGTCGGGAACAGGGCCGTCGAAACTGAGACACAACAGGGAGGAAATCAACATTTAAGGCCTTTAATTAATTATTGGTTTAGACTTTGTACTTCAGCCACAATCTGTCAGCAATTAACAATTAGTACATACATACATACATACATACATACATACATACATACATACATACATACATTAGTAAACTGACTATATTTTACGGATATCTCATATTATATTGAATGCATAACACTAACACTAGTAGAGAACAACTGATAAACTGTACAATGAACACAAACACAGTAACTGCAGGAAGTTTGGGCTAAAATAAATATTGGAACTTTCTTTACAATTATCTGTCTGTATTATGTATTTATTTATTTTTTAAGGCTTTAAAAGCTGAGATATCGGCCTACTGTGTATATTTCTTAAGTTTTCTTACACTCCTTAAAATCAAGGCCCCAGATTGGGAACCACAGAATTCATCAATCAACAGATTACTGAACAACTAATTTTGGTAATCAGTTGTTTCCAGGCTGCTTTTCTCTGTTCTACATTATTGTAAATTGAATTTTTTGAGGTGTTGGTCTGAACAAAAGACTGAAGAAGTCACATTGGGTTTAACATTTATCATAAAAGATAAAAGATGATAATCTTCATTGATCCCACACCAGGCGGAAAATCGCTCCAGATAACAACAAAAGAAAGTTATAGATTAAAAAATACAAATAAAGTAGAAACTCAAAGTGAAATACAGCTTTCATTTACACAGATATGTGTGACGGATCATTACACAGACATCTGATTGCTCAGGATTCAGCAGTGTGCACAAATATAAAATATAATGGACCAAATAATTATATTTAAATAATCAAGAGATATTAGTTAATCCATCAAACTCACTGAAAGGAAGATGAGACAGAACATTGACCTCCATCCACTGTGTGATATTATATTTCAGCCACAGGCCGCACTTTGTTTGAGCGCCTACCTGCACACACACATGCGGGCGTAAGGTTTCCCCGGGTTGCTCTTCCTGAAGTCAGCCACTGAATCCGGTTGGTAAACATTGAAACAAATCCTCCACTCGTCTGAGCCGTTTAACCTGAGCGGAGACAAAAGCACAACGTCATCCGCTGAATGACGGGTCGCTCCATCACAGTACAATGTACCGGGCTGTACGGAGCGTGGCCGGGCGGCGGCAAACGCCAGCGCCGCTGCACTTCTCTTTGTCTCTCAGTCTTTATGGGTTTGTAAATTAAACATCATGTATTGTGATAGAAGAGAGACGAGCTGGGTTCAACTCTGATTTATTTTCATTCATTCAGACTCGTTAACGTTTTCTAAAGACATTTTTACCTTTCTTACTTACTTAATCTGCAGTGTACAACTAAATAAAGACCTTTTTAAATACCACAAAGAATGCAATTTAATACCTTTCTTACTAAGAAAATGTGAATGATGAAATGTCCTGCTAACACCGACATAAAGGCCTGTTTGGGAACCGGTATGATCCCGTAACAGTTAACTGAATGTGAGGCTTTGAGGCTTTTTGAAACCTATATTCGTTATGTTTTGTCACACTGGCGCCACTGAGCATGCTGAATCTTCTACAGACAGCAATCACTGGATTCCTCTGATACTGAATAATCATTGTGAGGGAAGTTCTGAAGAGTCTTTTTGCCGATGCTGTCATAAACAAGCCATTTATTGCTATTTATATTATATGTTTCTCAGTTCCTGCTGTAAGTGGAAGCAAACAATGTCAAACAGTTACAGTCCGAGGTCTTGGACTAATAAAATCCTGTCAGACTGTAGGATCTTTAGGTTATAGGAAATAAAACGAGTGATACCTGGACGCTCCCTCCAGCAGATGTGTAGATTTAATCACACTGATTTTGTCCAACAGTTCCCCTGGAATAAAGAGCAAATGTCACTGAATCAGGTGAGTTAGATACAACTAAAGCTGAGCAAACACTCAACGATTTATCAATAAAATGATTCGCTTCAGTAGATTACGTAAGTCAACACAAAGACTCAAACAGACTTTAAATAGCATGTTAACTCTGGATCCTCACCAGTGGGGATCGGTCGTGTTGGGTCATGTAAAGGCGTGACTTCCCTTTTCCACAAGTGTGCCGGTCGGCCTTTACGCTTCTCCTGCCGCCTCGCCAGGAGCTCGTGGTACTCGGCCCAGTTTCTGCACCGACGAACCTTCAGAGGAAACAGACGGAGGGGCGGTTCGGATCTTTCTTCCTGAATTCGTGTGGAACTTTTTTCAGATGTTACGTTACCTCTCTGTCTTTGTTGACGTCCCACCGGTGCCGCCGCTCGTCCTCTTCCCTCTTCTGCTCCTTCGGGGACATCTTCACCTTCCGCAGGTTTATCCTCTGCCTCCAGGGGGCGACGTCGCAGACCCCCACAGTCAGACCCTCAGGGAGCAGAGAGGGGTCCGGAGGGAACAGGCAGCCGGAGAGGCCCTCGCTGGAGCCCAGGTCGGGGAACGAGATGGAGCTGAATTGCCAGCGCGAGCGACCGGAGGCGGGTCGGTGATCCGATCGGCCCCAGACAGGGTCCGTCATCCACCAGGTCCTGCCCCCGCCTCCGTCTGCTGAACCTGCAGCGACGGTCCCTGAAGTCCCCGGAGACGACGTCAGTTGTTTTTTATCCTCCTCCGTTCTGTCAGCCGGGGAAACGTCAGAGTGACTACAGAACAAAGAATATTCACAGTCAGATATCGACACTGATCACCAGAGGAGCTGCAATAAAACACTAAGTATTTAATAATAGTAAGATTTGATAAAGTACATTGGTGGATTCTGTAATTTACTTTGTAAATAGTTTAATCTAAAGACTGATCACAGGCAACAATTGTGATAATCAATCACTGTCACTTATTATTGTCAATTAAATATATTTATTATGCGAGTCTTCGACTCTGAAACTGAGTTATTTCACTCTTTTGTGACGCTTTATAAACAATTACTGATTTTTACACATCAAATTTGAGTTTTAAAGACGTTCTACAGCACTTAGCTGGGACAGTGCTGGGATGGAAAGATATATTCATATGATTGCTCCAACCCTAAATAACACCATTACTGTTCTAACAATAACTTTGAAAACATGTTTTATCTTCATCAGATGTTCCATATTGGTCCCGATATCAGTGCATCCCTAAAATAATCAATAATTTGTTCTATAATGAAAGTAATAGTCCTACTTTTTATTTCTTCGTGTTTCTTTAAAGGGCAGTAGTTGCATAATAAAATCAGAATTTGTGTACAGTGAAGAGGGCGGGATCCTGTTTACCTGGATGTGGCGGTGGGGCTGGCGCTGCGCTTCCTCTTCACCTGTCTCCCTGCTCTGTCTCTCTGTGACTGCGGGAGGTTGAGCTGCCTCGAGTAGGACGACGGCTCCGTACTGTAAGACACAACAACCACGTTCAGGGTCCAGAGTTAACAAACCACTGCCGTCCCCGCGGCTCCACCGATACTCTGTCTGAACGGGGCGTTAAGATTCTGTCACCTGGGATCGAACCTGTGCACCACGTAGCCGAGCCTCTTCAAATGTGCAAACACCTTTGTGATGAAAGAAAGAAAGAAAGAGTTGTTAGAGCGGTTCAGCAGTGCAGTCCTCCGTCAGCGTGTGTGGGCTTCTATCTGTACCTGATACTGCTGCAGGCTGACGCTGCTGGAGGACAGAAACCGCTCATAGCCGTCCTGGATGGACAGCGGCAGGTCCCGGTAAAACACCTGCAGGTTGCCCTGGAAACGCAGAGCATCAGTGTGTCACACAGCGAGGGTTAAATATGAAATATAATATAACAGAAAGTAAAGAGCTGTTATCTGCCACTCACACACTCCAGCAGGTACAGAGCCTCTTCAGGGAGGAGATGCTGCTTGCCGTCAGCAGAAAAGCCCATCGTCTGCCAGAACTTTCCCTACGCACACACGTTACCATGACAACAATCTGACTCACATCTTATTACCACAAAGTTTATTATTGTGTTTACAGTTTGTGTCACTTACACCTGGTGTTACAATCTGTTTCACACATCGTCCAGATAAAGAGAAACTCACGTTAATGATCATCTGCAGGTAGTGTGCACGGTGGTTCGGATCTTTCAGATACATTAAATATACTGTAGGTGGTTGTTTATATTTAGAGACGCGCCTCTGATTAGTGCTGGATCGATTTGGGCTTTTAAATGGACGATTTAGAGAGCAGAGCGACCGGTTGCCGATATATAATGCTGATAATAGAACAAAGAAAAGCCAGGTATAACTCTATTATTCAATGTACATTACAGTCTCATATACATTGTTATTTTAGCCAGTAATAAGTTGTTTTAGATGCAATTTCTATTAATGAATAAAACAGACAAATACACTGAGTTATGTTGTAGAATTCAGGTATATAAGGTCATTCACTGCATTATTATTACACTATATATATCTAACATCAGCCTGTAATGGTTTTATAATCAGATTATCTGTCAGTTAGGACGAGAGAGAAGTGTAAACATTTAGAAAAGACGATGGTGAGGACATTGATCGTTTACAGCAGGATGAATGAGAGTCCCTGCACCACGCACGCCCAAACGACGCGTCCTACGGGTGGAAATGATAAACAGTAAGAAATAACAGTGTGTTCTTACATTTGCCGAATTTACAAAAGGAGACACGTAGTTAAGAATGTGTCTCAGGCAGCGTTTCACAACCTTTCTAAAGTTTCCTTCCTGATTTGCCACTCGCAGGTTTAAACACAAAGGACAGATCAGATCATTGATCATCAGGATGTCTGGATACAGTGTAAGTCAGTGATAAAGTACTCACAGCTGGAGACTGGAGCTCCACTATCTGCTCACTGGGAACCCAAACGGCCTTCACCAAGTTTCCCCTACAGAGGAAGAAAACACAGCATCAACTGTACTGACCTCAGATCAGTGCAACACAGCATGGACACATTATCTCCTTATAAAGTAATACTGACACACACACTGCTCACACACACACTCTCCTCACACACACACACACACACACACACACACACACACACACACACACACACACACACACACACACCCCTCACACACACACACACACACACACCCCTCACACACACCCCCCACACCCCCCACACACACACCCCTCCACACACACACACACACACACACACACACACACACACACACACACACACACTCTCCCCCCACACACACACACACACACACACACACACACACACACACACACACACACACTCAGATGTTGCTGCCTGTTGAACCGAAATGTGACGGAAATCCAAACTGAAGGAGCTTTAAATATTTCCTAACTTTCAGCTACTGTCCACTTATTGTTCTGGACTATATTCGCCTGTAATCCATCACTGTTCCATTTACCTTTATCTTAATATTAGAGTGCAGCTGCTTTAAACTCTCCTCTTCCTTTATTTGACCTTTATTCAACCAGATAAGTCAACTGAGAACCAATTCTACATTAACAATGACGACCTGAACGAGAGACGGGAGGAAAGTGGATACGAGACATTAAAACATAAAACACAGAAAAACAATATTAAAGTTCAAATATGACAATAAAGACACAACAACAGAGATCTATGGACAGAAGTAATCTGATACTGGAGGAGTGGGAGGAGAGTTACTGACTGCAGAACACAGGTTACAATGATGATGCATTCAAGGACAATCAGAAACAACCAGTCTTGGGAGAAAACATCCTTGAGTGCATCAGTAAGGAGTGATGTTAGGAGCTGAGCGTGCGGATCATACATCAGTAATTATCCCTGAGGACAGACAGACAGACGGACGCTACGTCTACTCACAGCTTCTCCACTCTCTCCTCTGAGACGAGGCTCCAGTGCTCCTTCAGACTCTGCTCGAGTCGCCGTCTCTGCTCGTCCGAGTCGTCGGGGAAGAAATCCTTCTGTCCTCTGACTGGGATCTTGTGGCTCCGGGATCGGGCCGCGAACAGCTCCGACGGACTGAGATTGATAAAAGGAAGACGACAGCATTCAGCTTCAGACAGTCGATGCTTCTTATCACCAGATAAAGACTGAAACTGGAAAATAAACTGATCAATTATTGTTTTAAATTGACCTTTCTACCAATATCTTATGGATATTTCATATTATATTCAGTGTATAACAGTAACAGCTGATGAACAATGAACCCAGATTATTTCCTGTTACTGGATGAAACACAGCTGCATGTGACAGTTTATTTCCAGCTCATTATGAGTCATGAAGTTGTGACTGACTGTCACAGGACGACGCCCAGACAGGTTTTATTCCTTTAAAGATCAGTCAGCTGCATTAAATCATAAAAACATCAATACGATGAATATTACAATTATAATATTTCATTAACATTTCCAACCGCTCCAGTAACAGACCGGAGGATGATTCATGTTTATAATACTTTCTGTAATGTTTTTAACATATTAAAGTCATTAAAGTGTATCTCTGTTTATAACATATTGATTTTAGAAGTGCTATATCTAGAAATTAAAGGTTTTGAATAAGAAACCAAACCTACAATCCTATAGACTATATCTAAGATTATAACACTTTATAGTAAATCCTATAAGATTATAACTGATCACCACTGGAACTACAGCTCCTTTTAGAAGACTTTATGAGGGTTTAGAGGCAGTAGTCGTATAGAAATCCTACAGGATAAAGTGCTGTTGGACTTTATCTTATAGGACTAAAAGTAGAATTCCTTTTATTAATCATTATAATGAGAATAATGATTAAACAACTTTAATTATTGACTTATTATCTCAAAAGAATGAGAAACTTTATCAATATTTTGACTTAAAGAATCTTTTTTTGGTGGAAATGTGCTTCCATACTTTATGATTATGGTCCTTTTCACACACAGAGAGATAAAAGTAGAATATCGATCACAATAATTATTGATTAGCAGCTGAATATCTGGACTGATGTTCACTTTACTAACCGACAGTTAAATGAACTGTGAGCTGTTTAATAAACAACCACAGAGCGACTCAGTGTGAAACTGATTGATCCCTATCGATAACTGTATTGATGACTGCCAATAGAGAGAAGAAAGCACCTTAATATTTCACTGAAGAACTTCTCTGCGCTGTCTGTCTTGTTGTGGTCCGCCATGTTTCCCCGGCCCTCCCCGCTGCAGGTCTCCTCTGGGTCCTAACGCCCGCCCTGTTCAGGATGTAGTAACAAACATGGCCGCCAGAGGGAGCTAAAGCACAAACAGCTGTTTGGATTTTTGTCCTATAAGGTTGTTTTTATAGTCTAAAAGGGTTTTTATCCAGTTGTCTTAAGGTTTGAACATTCTGTGTTTTGCATAAAAACACCAAAGTTAACATTAACAAACTGCATTCGTCATTTTTTTCTGGACTATTAAATTATATTTATAACTTTAATGTCCAAAAACGTTTTATTTGACTTTTCGTTCTAGTTTGCCATTATTTGAATAAATGTAATCACTTCTCAAAACCTATTTTCCAAAAAGCCTTTTATTTACGCTGTTTTAGTTTTCATGTTAGTTATAATACACATTTTACTCCACACCCTGTTACATTTTAATATTTCACACTCAACAAAAGAAGAATTAGCATCATTTGAGTCTTTAGAAGGCCGTGGAAGACCAAAAATACTGTCTCTTGCAGTTGCAGTAATGAAGCTGAGAGTAAATAAAAGCGTCAGGAAAAGATAGAAAGGACGTAACTTTAGAGATCTTTAGCTGGAAGAAACATTTCTGACTTGTGAGCAAAAATGATCCCAAGAATACACATCAAGCTTTGAATAGACAGTACTAATCAATAACTTGTGATCATGGTTGGTCTTTACAAAGGTCTTTAAAGGCAACCCTGTCTCACATTCCTCCCCTCGGGTGTTTGCTGTCCTCAACCTTTTGTTGGGAAGTTGCCTTGTTCAATATACCTGGACTTTGTGATGTGATCCAATCTAGTCTAAACAGCCACAAACTGGTTGTCTGAATATTACATAAGTACGACTGCAGGATGCTGTATGTTAATGGGGAGGAGTTTGGGGGAATGACTTTATAAAAACCTCCAGTTCAGACTGTCTGTAACAGGACCTTCGCAGCGGTACAGTATGTATACAGCTTCATTGAACTACCTTTAAATAACCTTTCCTACATGTAAAACTACTATTGGATGATTCATATTATTAATAATAATAAATCTTCTGAAGGTTGCTGAGACAAAATGAAACTTTCAGCCGTCCTTTTTCTCAGTGCCGTCTCCACGGTGCTGGCAGGTAATTATATATCAAACCTCTCCTTTGTGTCTTTATGTGCATGTCTGAAAGTATTGTTTTGTTATTAAGTCTGTCTTTGCAGTGTAGATCCCTGTATATGACTTTCAGTAATTTAAATGTGTAAAATGCAACATGAACATAGATTAAACATCTTTACAGAAACTATAAGAGTAAAAGGGAAATAATTGTAGGTAATTATGTAGAAGCATTACATTTAGGGCAGCAGATTGACAGGTTTCCTTTCAATGTGTGCACCTTTAACTAACCACAATCTAATTATAATATATGAACATATATATAATGGGAAATTAGATGATTGGGTTGGAAACAAAATAGGTGGAAAATGTGCGCTCATCACCTATGACCCCAACAGGCTATTCTTAAATACAGATGTTTTTGTAACTAACTGTACATTTTCTTGCCTCTCAGGGCGGACCCTGGTGTTCCCCACTCAGACCAGTACCAGTTATGTTGAGATGACCCCTCTGAAACCGCTCAGTCTGAGGGCCTTCACCCTGTGCATGCGTGTGGCCACAGAGCTCAGCGGTGAGCGTGAGATCATCCTCTTTGCGTACCGGACTCAACACTATGATGAGCTCAATGTGTGGCGCGAGCTGGACGGCAGGTAGACACTTTTCTGATCTCATAACCAACTTTTTATCTTGTAATTTGTACTTTTTATGTCAGAATTTTGACATGACATTACGCTTTTGTATGATCAGGGACACGTTTTAATCATATTCTTTTGAATTTTGTTGTAATTTGACAAAAATATTCTATTGGCAGAAATTTAATATAATATTCACATATATATACAATAATAATAATAAACAACAAATAATAGCACCAGGCCTACTGCTGAATACTTCTGTTATTACAAGTGCAAAAACTAATACTAACAATACTGCTGCTGCTATTACTACGACAAACAAGTCCAATGCTCTATATTTCCTTTGTGTTAAAACCTTGATGTATTTTTATTTTGCATTGTTTAAACCTTCTGAAACTCTGTTTTAAAAGATGCATACTAATTAATTTTATATATGTGTGTTTAGGTTGTCCTTCTACTTGAGTGGAGATGGTGTTTTATTCAAAACTCCTGAGCTTGGTCCCATGGAGACCCACCTGTGTTTCACCTGGGACTCCAGTTCAGGTGCAGCTGCTGTCTTCGTGGACGGGAGGAAAAGCTTGACCAAAGTTTACAGGAAGGGTCACACTATCCGCTCCGGAGGCAAAGTTATCCTTGGACAGGATCCGGACGCTTACTTTGGTGACTTTGAGGCCAAACAGAGTTTTGTTGGGGAGATCAGTGATGTCAATATGTGGGACACTGTCCTCTCAGACAGCACGATCCGAGACATGTTCAATGGGAAGAAAGTAGAGAGAGGAAATGTTTTTGACTGGGAAAGCACAGAGCTTGAAATCAATGGGGAAGTGGAAGTTGTTAACCGTGAGCTGTAGCTGTACACGACATGCTGGAGTATAATGTTGAACAAGTTAATATAAAGCTCTGCAGCCAATGGAAATCAGTGCAGCCACATTACATGTACATTGTCATTTAAAATACATCTGTGCACCAATATCTAATAAAAACCTATGGTGACAATGTCTGTTGTGATGGAATGTATTACATATTAAAGTCAACTAAGACTGCATCATATTATTTTGTAGGGGAAAGAAACAGAAAAAGCTGTGTGTGGGTGCATGTGGAGCCTTTGCTTTATTATTTTACACTCTTACATCAGTAGGCACCCAACCTAACTCATTCTTGGTGTTTTTGTTAATCGGGTGGTGGTGGCCAAGGATGGTATCAAACTCCCGGCCTGAATTATTGTCCCAGTCCGCTCCACTGAAGAAGTACATCTCTTTTCCGGAACCCGCTGTCCGCTCTGAAGCCTCTGGCATTTTAAAAAAAGTTTTAAAGTCACCGTTCTGGCTCCATAGCATCAGTACTCACCTAACATATACAAAAGACTGGAAGATTAACCAGGGAAAGTGCAACTGCTCTGATGCTCCAGTCTAACTGAGAGTTAACCGATTTGTGCTCATTTAAAAAAAAATTAAAATTGTGCAAAACTGCTACAGACTGCAACAAAACTGCTACAGACTGGGCATAAACTATTTTAGGGGTCTTGGCATGGAAACGTTTGGGAACCCATACACTACATAACGATAACTGACCTGATTCGTCTTGAAGAACCATCAAAATATAATTTTAAGACATACTATTACATCAGCTTTGTGTTTGCATCCTCATGGACTGAAAGTTGTAACAGACAATTTACTCAGTGCAAACATCTCTAAAAGTAGCCTAATATTAAAGTAATCATTTTTAAAGCATTAGGTTAATAAATTATAAATAAATTAGTTATTTACTGTCATGTGCACAAAAATTACAGTGAAGTATTCATTAGCAATGAAAATCTTTGTTCTCTCACAAATATAAACGTATAAATTGAAATGCCTATAAAATATTGAGTATATTCTGTTCTGTTGTTTTAGTGTCCTCTTGTGGACTTTAAAGATACTTTCTCCAACAGAAGCTGAATTCAGTCACAACAGCTTATTTAATAAGATATTTTATGTGTCATATTTAAAGCTGAAAAGTGTGAATAACACATTCATTACACTTGTTTTTATGCACCTTTCATGTATAACTTTACACAAGCTTACTGGCTTAGTTGGAAAAAGTCCAAAGGGAAGTAACACAGACGATTCCACGGAAGGCAGATAGAAATCTCAAATCAAATAGGTTTCAGGGAGTAGCAGAGGCAACAGAGCAAAACATGTGACAAAGAAAGAAACTAGAGACAAAGCAACTAGGATGTCAGCCTGTGGCTTTGACAAACAATTATATGGAAAAGGATATTAGTTATTTTTAGTTATATAATTTATAAAATGGATAGCTCCAATTGAGGGATATCATTGATTTCTTAACAGTATTATAAAATAATAACTGTATATTACGGCTATGGCTAATCTAATTATCTAATTGTCAATTTGGTTTTAGTCTGCTTGAGAAAAAAAAAAAGTCTAACAAACTGCTACAAACTGTTACAAAACTGCTATAAAATTGAATTCAATTACATTTTATTTTTATAGTACCAATTCATAACAAATGTCATCTCAGGACACTTTTACTAAATGCATTAAGGGTAATACACTATATTATTATATTATATCATCTAATGGCAATTTGAAGATAAATAATGTAAAATCTTCATTAAAACTACCTAAAACTTCCACCTCATCACGCACGGAACAAACTTCAGGATGGACAACTGCACTGTTTTTAAGAATCCGGCTTCTACAACACCAGCGTCGTCGTCGTCTCCTCATCAGGAGATGGAGTAGGGTGACCATTCGTCTGGCTTTTAAATGTCCTGTCCGGCTGCAGGTGCAGCCTTTAGCCGGACACTCATTTGTCCTCCTTGAGAAAACAACGCAAAAGGTCGCCTTTTGACACATTACTAGTTTAATACTTATTGGCTAAAAAGGTGTGTCAAAATAAGTAATTTCATTGGTTATATTTTCGTGTGGTGACCTATCAACACATGGCTAATTTCAAAATTCAAATGAGCCATGTGTTGATTGCCACAATGCGCTCATGCACAGTTGCTACCACCAGGCTGTCAATCAAGCTCTCAGACAGAGAACATAATGTGAGCTAACGTCGGTTGTTGGACTGAAATTCTGAAATTGCTCATACTCATATGTAGATAGGCAAAGCCTATACATCTGAAACAGAAGGTGCTGTATTTGTTTACCCTTTATCTATCCAGATAAAAACATCAAGAACAGTTTCTGTATGATGTTTATTAGACCTATGTAACCTGAATTGGAAGGGCACGTTGTCATGAGCTGTATCTTGTATATTTATTATTAGCTATGTGGTATGTGTATGCACCTTTATGTAATCTGCTGGAAAAACATTAAAATTTAAAACTGGATCATACCAAACAAATATCTGCATGTGTGTCCCCGTGTATGCAAAGTGTCCTCCTTTTTGATGTGAAGGAAATGGCCACCCTAACAAGGAGCAACCGTCGATAACTTCAGGTAATATATTTATTATAATTCTTCGTTGTACATGTTTGTACAGTTATTAAATATTTGAGCACTTTCAAAATGTATTTGTGTAAAAATCTTTTGAATGGGGAGGAGTGGTGACATTTAAGCAACCGATTGCTTTTTTTTTTTTTTTTTGAAGTTGAAAAAAAGTATGGAATGAGGTACTCAATTGGTATCGGTATCGTGTTGCGAGAACTGGTATCGAACATTTTTAAACGATACCCAGCCCTCACCACTAACATTTCACAATGAAATGTGATTAGAATCCTTCAGAAATCTTTTGTTTTATATTATTGTGTTGCTCTCTTTAATTTAGACATAACACATTTTCTCATTAGGAATTTAGAATTTGCATAATTTGGGCCATTGGAAGACTAAAAATAACTTGTCACTCTATTGTCTCTATTTGTGATCAGATTATGACCAAGAATGTCAATCTCAAAGTGAGTCCTCTTACAGAAAGGCAAATCTTCCATTTAAGAACCTTGTAAATAGATGAAATGGTCTGAGACTGACAATCACACATGTTGAATAGTTCAACATGTGTGATAACTGTACACAAGCTTACTGGCTTAGTTATTTTCAGTTATATAACCTATGATCATTTGTAAAATTGATTTTTTTTAAAATGAGGGATCTCACTGGTTCTTAACAGTATTATAATAACTGTATATAACGGCTATGATGTCTAATTACTTTTTCAGTATCAAATAAAAAATGGTCTAACAAACTACCACAAAACTGTTACAAAACTGTTGTAGGCCTAAAGTGATTGTAAAAATGTTTAGCCGTTCACACAGAATTAAAAAAAAAAGTTGTAATGTTCCTCCCCTTCAAATGTTGTTGCCCTGTTCAATATACTTGGGCTTTGTACACTTTGTTAGTTCACTGGAAAACGACTGCCGGATTAAGGATGCTGTTGTTTGCATTTCAGTATTATTTAATGGGGAGGAGTTTTTACAATCACTTTATAAAAACCTCCAGTTCAGACTGTCTGTAACAGGACCTTCGCAGCGGTACAGTATGTATACAGCTTCATTGAACTACCTTCCAATAACCTTTCCTACATGTAAAACTACTATTGGATGATTCATGAAATTAATAATAAATCTTTTGCAGGTTTGCTGAGACAAAATGAAACTTTCAGCCGTCCTTTTTCTCAGTGCCGTCTCCACGGTGCTGGCAGGTAATTATATATCAAACCTCTCCTTTGTGTCTTTATGTGCATGTCTGAAAGTATTGTTTTGTTTTTAAGTCTGTCTTTGCAGTGTAGATCCCTGTATATGACTTTTAGTAATTTAAATGTGTAAAATGCAACATGAACATAGATTAAACATCTGTACAGAAACTATAAGAGTAAAAGGGAAATAATTGTAGGTAATTATGTAGATGCATTACATTTAGGGCAGCAGATTGACAGGTTTCCTTTCAACGTGTGCACCTTTAACTAACCACAATCTAATTATAATATATAAATAAATAACTAACTGTACATTTTCTTGCCTCTCAGGGCAGACCCTGGTGTTCCCCACTCAGACCAGTACCAGTTATGTTGAGATGACCCCTCTGAAACCGCTCAATCTGAGTGCCTTCACCCTGTGCATGCGTGTGGCCACAGAGCTCAGCGGTGAACGTGAGATCATCCTCTTTGCGTACCGGACTCAACACTATGATGAGCTCAATGTGTGGCGCGAGCTGGACGGCAGGTAGACACTTTTCTGATCTCATAACCAACTTTTTATCTTGTAATTTGTACTTTTTATGTCAAATTTTGACATGACATTACGCTTTTGTATGATCAAGGACACGTTTTAATCATATTCTTTTGAATTTTGTTGTAATTGTAATGACAAAAATATTCTATTGGCAGAAATTTAATATAATATTCACATATATATACAATAATAATAATAAACAACAAATAATAGCACCAGGCCTACTGCTGAATACTTCTGTTATTACAAGTGCAAAAACTAATACTAACAATACTGCTGCTGCTATTACTACGACAAACAAGTCCAATGCTCTATATTTCCTTTGTGTAAAAACCTTGATGTATTTTTATTTTGCATTGTTAAACCTTCTGAAACTCTGTTTTAAAAGATGCATACTAATTAATTTTATATATGTGTGTTTAGGTTGTCCTTCTACTTGAGTGGACATTGTGTTTTATTTAAAACTCCTGAGCTCGGTCCCATGGAGACCCACCTGTGTTTCACCTGGGACTCCAGTTCAGGTGCAGCTGCTGTCTTTGTGGACGGGAGGAAAAGCTTGACCAAAATTTACAGGAAGGGTCACGTTATCCGCTCCGGAGGCAAAGTTATCCTTGGACAGGATCCAGACGCTTACTTGGGTAACTTTGAGGCCAAACAGAGTTTTGTTGGGGAGATCGGTGATGTCAATATGTGGGACACTGTCCTCTCAGACAGCACGATCCGAGACATGTTCAATGGGAAGAAAGTAGAGAGAGGAAATGTTTTTGACTGGGAAAGCACACAGCTCAGAACTAATGGGGACGTGGTAGTTGTTAACCGTGAGCTGTAGCTGTACACGACATGCTGGAGTAATGTCAGTAATGTCATAATGTCAAACAAGGCAATATAAAGCTCTGCAGCCAATGGAAATCAGTGTAGCCACATTACATGTATGTATGTATACATTATGTGAAGTAGATGATTTATTGATTAAAATGCGTCTGTGCACCAATATCTAATAAAAACTTATGGTGACAATGTCTGTTGTGATGGAATGTATTACATAATAATAATCAGTACTCACCTAACATATACAAAAGACTGGACCATTAACCAGGGAAAGTGCAACTGCTCTGATGCTCCTGAAGCTCCAGTCTTACTGAGAATTAACTGATTTGTGCTCATTTAATAGAAATTGTGTTTGGGAATATGCACAATGGAAGTGTGTTTCTAAGTGGGGCCCCCAGATGAGGGGAAATGCTAAATAACAAAAATAAAACTACGAACCCCCTGACTATTGCTATTATTATGTGTATTAATTTGTAAAATGGATAGCTCAAATTGAGGGATCTCAATGGTTCTTAAAAGTATTATAATAACTGTATATAACGGCTATGACGTCTAACTACTTGTCACAATTCGGTATCACTCTGCTTGAGAAAAAATTGTCTAACAACCTGCTACAAACTATTACAAACTGTTACAAGCTGTTACGAAACTGCTACAAACTAACAAAACTGCAACAAACTGCTACAAAATGCAAACAAAATGCAAAAAAAAACTGCTACAAACTGCAACAAAATTCAATTCAATTGTATTTGTATGACACAAGTAGCCCAGCATTCAGAGAACGCAGTGTTCTGGAGGAGAAATAGGGTACTATGAGCTCTTCAAGATATGAAGGGGCCTGACCCTGAAGAGCTTTGTAGGTGAGGAGGAGGATTTTGAATCAGTCACTCGTGCTGCAGCATTCTGAATCAACTGTAGCTTCTTTATGGTGAATGATGGGAATTTTATGCAAATAGGCGTTACGTCAGGCAGTAAGGATCGGTGCACGCTGCTCATTAGACACACACAAATATACAGTTTATTATATTTGCTGATATCAACGTGTCTGTATAAATATACAGTCTATGATTTATTATTATTATTATGATTAGGGATTGTAGACAACAATATTATGATCTTTACTATCAAATTACAGCTTACTCAAACTGTACAACTCTACACAGTCAACATGATTTTATATTCAAGTGATAAAAATGTGCTTTATTTTCACATTTGTTTGAGTTTTCTTCCTATTTTCTGCATTTATTTTCACTCCAACTGTCAGCTGCAGTTCAATAAAGTCACCAGCACGTGTCAGCCTATGAGCAGTGTATGGGAGGAGTCTGAACATTGACCGTATATTAGAGTCTGATTAATAAACATTATTTATAGCGCCTGCTGTAGGTGCATTTATATTCCTTCATGTCAGCTGTTGTATTCTTTAACAATAAATCAGACATAAAACTCTGTATTAAACCTTTCTTCAGTATCACGTTTTTTCATCCTGGGACTCTTTAGTTGACAGCAGATATGTTATTATTGATCGACACTGTGGTGGCATCAGCAATCCTCTATGCAGTAGTCTGGGGGACAGAAAGAGACTGAACAAACTGGTCAGGAGGGCTAGTTCTGCCCTAGACTGCCCTCTAGACTCCATGGAGGAGGTGGGTGAAAGGAGGATGCTGGACCGCTACCACAGGTCCTTCATCCCACCATGCCACTAGTTCCTGCTGTGACCTGTGCAATATTCTATTTCAACTTAAATCACATCTTTATATAAAACTGTATATAGTGTACATACGACCCTAATGCTATTTTTTTCTTTATAACTTATTATTTTTCTACTTTATTGTGTTATTTAAGGTGTATCTTTTTCATTCTTGCTGTAACAAGTCTATCGTATCTTGTGCAAAATGTAGGAAAAGTTGTGCTGTTTCTACACAATGAAGTCTGCGATCACTTAAACTTTTGACGCTCTGAGCTCCGGAACAACACAAGTTCCAACCACCTGCTCCATAAGCTCCAATGTTAATTTACAGCACAAATCTCTGTAGAAAAGCAGACGTGCCCGTTTTTTAAATCCCTGTAATGGTCACATTTTTAACTTTATCCACATGTATATGTACGTTCAGCAAAGCCTTGGGATGCTGACGGTCACATCGTGTCAACAGTACGACCGACAGTTGTTGAATTACGGCGTATTGTTCGAGTGGTAGTTTCAGGGTTTGGTGGTTGCTGGGCTGAAATTAATGCAGCTGACTCTGATTGGCTCAATTAAAATGTGTCTAATTTTATTTTTTAACCACAGGAACTTTAGTCTCTGATACACATCTACAACCATGCAGCAAATAATAAGAAATTAGATATTTTAAAAACAGAAATATGATTAATATTTTTTTTATTTGATTTTGATGTTTTATTTGATTATATTATTATTTTTTTTAATTTAAGAATGTGGGAGGAAACCGAAGCACTCGGAGTAAACCCATGCCAACACAGTGAGCACTTTGTACTCCTCACAGTAATGGTGTTAAGGCCCAAAACTGAACCCTCACCTTATTGCTGTAAGGCTACAGTGTTTAACACTGAGGCACCTGTGTGGCCCTGTAAGACCTGGTCCTAGTTCTAGTCCAGGTTGGACACTGTGTGCTACCAGCTTGATTTTAGCCGGTAGCACACTGTGTCCAACCTGGACCTTTTTTTTTTCATTATTGTCAAATGTAGGAGAAACCGAAGCACTCGGAGTAAACCTCATGTCAACCCAGTGAGCACTCTGTACTCCTCACAGTAATGGTGTCAAGGCCCAGAATTGAACCCTCACACCTTATTGCTGCAAGGCCACAGTGATTAACACTGAGGCACCTGTGTGGCCCTGTAAAACCTGGTCCTAGTTCTAGTCCAGGTTGGACACTGTGTGCTACCAGCCTTAGTTTAGCCGGTAGCACACTGTGTCCAACCTGGAAATTTGTTTTTCATTATTATGTCAAATGTAGGAGAAACCGAAGCACTCGGAGTAAACCTCATGTCAACCCAGTGAGCACTCTGTACTCCTCACAGTAATGGTGTCAAGGCCCAGAATTGAACCCTCACACCTTATTGCTGCGAGGCCACAGTGTTTAACACTGAGGCACCTATGTGGCCCTGTAAGACCTGGTCCTAGTTCAAGTCCAGGTTGAACACTGTGCTACCAGCTGAATGGAGGCTGGTAGCACAGTGTTCTGCTGGACAATTTTTTTTCATTATAATTTAAAATGCAGGAGAAACCGAAGCACTCGGAGTAAACCTCATGTCACCTTTGATTTCTTCTTATCTAAAATATGGGAGGAAACTGATGACTTACAAACTAAATGGAAATGTTGTTTGTCTTCTATGACAAAGTGAAGCCTGTCCCTCCCATCGCGCCCCAAGACTGCAAATGATTATTATTTGCAGCCACATCTACAGCAGGCATTGAATGGTGAGGCCATGGTCTTGAAAAGACCTGTGAAGAACCTCTTAACCCCGGTCTTTTGTGGTGTCATCAGATGACTTTTTAGAGTATCAATTATAATTTCATAAAGAAATTCATCATCTAACATTAGGCTCAGTCGCACTCCGTCTGCGTCACCCATCATCTGGCACAGGTCCTTATACACCGCCTTCGCTATCTTATTAATATTTTTAATCTTTGGCTTTATAGGCACAGCAGAATCCGCAAGATCTGCCCAGAGCCTCTGTTTTAGTGAGTTGAAGGCAGTTTTGGCAACAGGCACATTAATCTGCTTGCCTTTCGTAATCTGGTTAAGCATCCCAAACACCAAAAGCCCAGAGGACGTTTCGTCCCACTGGTGGAGACCATGTGCGATTGCCTTTCCTGCAGGTTTACTGACCTTCTCACTGGAAGCCTTTCCTGCAGGTTTACTGACCTTCTCACTGGAAGCTGGCTCATCAGTGATGGAAGGAGGTGCTGCTTCAAACACTGATGTCAAAGTTTCACCAGCTTCTTTGCTGATAGCTGGCTCAGTGACAGAAACTGGTGCTGAATCTAACACAGGTGTCACCAAGGGGCCCTCGGCAAGTGTCGGCATACTAACTACTAGTCCCTTAATCTTGGTCAGAGCAATGCTCATGTGGTCCCTTTTGCTTTTGCGCAGCTGCACTTGTTGGTTAAGCCAATTCCACATTTGCTTCATAAATGTATCGACTTCAGCTTTAATCTCGACCCGAAACTTCAACTTGCGCCCTTGTCTTAAATGAAAAAATACCAACTTTGTCAGCTGCATAGTGGCCATTTCCAATTGGCCAGTGGAAATGCCCCTAGCAAGTCTTTCATAAATGCACTCTATGTACCGTTGCATATCCATTTCTTGATGTTGGATCATATCCGCCACCACCTGACCCACCCCATCAAATAGCACCTCCACTGATTCTTTTTCTGCCGGTGGGAAGCAGCTACAGTTCCTCCTTAGTTTCTCTACCAAGTCGAGGATTGACGCCTTGGCAAATCTGTTGACGAAAAAAGTCTTAAGTTTCTGTTCCATCCTTCTCCAGCAGGGCTTTCTGATTGACTTAGCCTCCGGGGCAGGCGTTGTGCAGTCTGTCTCCAGTCTCAGCTGCTCCACTATATCGCTGACGATCTCAGAGGCTGTTGTGTCTGCATCCTGGCGGGCGCTTGGCACGAGCAGGTCGTGTTTTTCCTGTGAACTTCTACTATAATAGTCAATGGGACTGACAGCATCTGCCTCGTCCTGCAGGATCTTCTTCACGGCTTCGGTTGTATAATGCATCCTTTCCAGGCAGGTTTCTGGCTCATCTTCAATGGTAAGTATGGGGGTCTGCAACGAATCCCCAGTCAGCTTAGTGTCCTGGTCAGCTGATTTTTCCAGGATTTCTGTAGTTTCATCAGCTTCCATTTCATCACTTTTCGTGTCATTATGCAGGCTTGAAGTGCACGTCATCTCAGAAAGACTGTTTTCTGGTTTGTCTTCTTCATAGGGAAGAACGGTGATTTGCAGTGACCGTACTTCCTTCAACTGAAAGTCTTGGTCCGCGGATTTATCCAGCATTTCTTTGGTTTTGTCAGATTCCAGTTTAGGAGTTTTCTGACTTTTCTTGTCACGCGAGCTACATTTCACCTTAGCTGCGCATTTCTTCAATATCTTTGCCACGTGTTTGACAATTGTCCTTAGTCTGCGGCGGAAGGATCTGGAGACTTGCGGTTCATTGCCTTCACTGCTTCCTCCGCTGCTTCCACTCCTGCAGATCTCAGAGTTAATGCGCTCTGTCACTTCTTTCGACACAATTTGTGTCACCTTCTCGGTGCTCGGGCAACTGATTCCGTCGGACACACCCGTCACCTCTGCAAATGTAAGTTCAATAATGTCACCTAAACACTCACGGACCTGGTCTTCAGTTATTAAGCTCTTCTGAGATCCCTCAGACCCAGAAGAGTCCTCCTGTGATCCATCAGCTCCAACAGTCTGGGTCAAACACAAGTCACTCTTTACTTGTCTTTGTTTAAATAGATCATAAATATGTGTAGATATAACTTTGACAATATCCACACACATGCTTGTTATGATTTCTGCTATCTCGGTATCAACAGACCCGGATTCCAGCATGGACCACTGGACTGTGGTGAGCTGGTCCAGGAAATGTCGCACGAGTGGACGAAGAGTCTCCATTTTGACCGTTTGCAGGTTCCAATCCATCTTTCCTCTGTTTGTTGAATTTGTTGTATGTTGTGAATAAAGTACACAATTTGTCTGCTTGTCTCCTTGGAATGAAGTGAGCGTCCTGATGTGGTTCCTATATATAGACTCACAGAGAGAATGTCAGCGTCGTATCAAAGGAACATCCAACTGACTTTGATCTTTGAACGATATCATCGCATGACATCATCACATTCCAGATTTCAAAGCAAAAAAAAAAAAAAAAAAAAAATACAAAAATTTAAAAAATGCAATTTCATTGTTTGCGTTTAAAAATACACAAGAACACACACCACACACACACACACACATAAATATGAGAATTATATTAGGCCTACTTCTATATAATACTTTTGAAATACAAAATAGGGAAACATAAAAACAAAAACATTTCTCTTCGTAGAATATCATTGAAAACAAATCCAAATCCAATTATTGAGAAATGATTTAGTTATTAATAATAATAATAATAATCATAATCTGAGCACAGCTGGTAGAGTGACACTTTGTGTAGGAAGTCAGTCAATTAAGGGAAGCATCATTTAGCATCTTAACAATACAACCCAACAAATTTTTTTCATTTATTTTGTTTGACTAATTTACTTAATATTCTTTTTTTTTAATTGACAAAGCATCAAAACAGCTTTAAAACATTTGCCAGTTGGCTCGCCATCAGATTCGATTTGCCCTGCAAAGAAAAAAACGGTTAAACATTTTTTTAAATATTAATACCAGTTTATGGTCTTGTAGACAGGTTCACAAGAGAGAACTTATACCCAATTTTTACCTGATGAAGGTCTAAAGACTGAAACGTTGTGACTTGGTTTCACATAAAATTTTAGCTGGAATCAGTTTCTTTAGTTAAATTAACTTATCTGGTTTTACAGTGTAAAATAAGGTATACCCTGCACTACTCCACTGATCCTAATGCCACATATATATAACAGATAGGCCAAAGATAAACAGCTTCACGTTTTAATTCACAAAGCATCATAACAGCTTTCAAACATTTGCATAGTTTATATGTTGTCTCTAACAATAAGATGGTGGTTTTCGATTAATAAGCACAAAATGTTTTTTCTCCACTGTGCAATTTTAAAACACCAGAGTCCAGCATAGTTTAAAGTTCATAAAGTGCTAATGCTTCCACACAGCGAGCCTCCACTCTAACACTACTAGACTTTATTCAAGGTCAGTGTCTACTCTGCAGCCATCAGATTTTTACTCTGAAATGAGAAAAACTACATTTAGAAAACAGCTTGTTTCCTGATTTTGTTTTTCTCATTTCAGAATAAAAATCCATTGGCTGCAAAATACACACTGACCCTTTAAACATCCTACATGTTGCACTGTACTAAGTATTAAAACTGCAGTACGACTGAATAACACTGAAGAGAATAAACACCATGTTTGTGTTGTCACTGTGAATATTCTTGGCAGCCGGTTCAGACACAACTAACTAAACTTCTATCGATTGATCAACAGTGCAATTAAGACAGTTTGGACCTGAAGACCAGCCTGTGATCTGAAATGTGTTTGTAAAATATAAAGTGCATCATGTGTTCACTCATCTAAATGTGTTTGTGGAGGTCTGTGGATCGGTTGGAGGCAGAGCTGCTCCTGAGACAGAAATAAATAATCTCACTTTTTGACTTACAGTCAGTTCACACAAGTCACAAAAATATATTTTCTCACTTACCTGAGATACAGGACGTTTTACAGACTATAAGCATCAATAAATATCATGTATCTATATTGATTAAGTCTCTTTTACCGGATCTGTGAGCCAGCACATGTTTAGTGTTTCTTACATAAAATATGAGAAGCTAAAGAAAACATCCAGGTCTGTGATGTGGAACACGACACAGATGAATAAAAAATAAGATGTTTATGGAATGTAACAGAGGCATGCTCTTTGATAACTGCAGATCAATATATTATATATATAAGCTAATAACTGGTGTTCACCTGCAGTATTGTTGAGTTCAATTTGCTGATTATACAGTACAGTGCTTGTTTCTCAAACGGGAGTATGTGTCCGCCTGGGTTTCTTTTGGAGTACTGCAGGGGGAACGTGACATTATTCTAAAATGAATAAGTCCTATAATAATTATATTACAATAAGTTCAATAAAACCCATTTTATAGTTAATATTCCTGTTTTCAAATTGTCAACTGCCTCACAGAAGAAGAATAAGAAAGCAACAAACGCAATCATGTTCACGATGTTTGATAGTGGCCAAAACTGATATTCTCAAATTGCCATTTGGGAGAAAAAAAGCATAACAGCCAAATGCAATTCATGTAATTTCTTTAAATTTCCATTTGAATGTTTGAATGGTGCTCATGAATAAAAGCTTAAATAAATAGCAGCTGCAGCATCGTCACTGAGTCACGTTATGGGTTCTGCACTTCCTCCTTCGTGGCAGTAGAGTATTTGTATCACAGTTTGAAACTCAACAGCGTAGTTGTTTATGAGAGGGAAAAAGACAGTATTGGATTGATATCGGCAGATACTGAAGATTATGGCATCGGTATCGGACATGGAAAAGTGATATCCAGCCATCCCTAAATTTTTCGCTGGTCAGGAGGTGGTGAAAAAAATATTTTATAAAGGTGGAACATTAATGAGAAAAGTTTAAGAATCGCTGCTTGAGAGGAAAACGTTGCCAAATATCCAAAATATCTATTTTAATTACTTAAACTAACTGATGCCTGAATTGCTTCCAACTATGTTGATGAAATAAAGTGGAAATATAATTTTTAATGAATTAAATATAATCCCTCTGAAAGGAGTTGGCACATTGATACACCTCTCTGTCAGTCCACTGTGTGATCAGACTCAACCAGTGAGATTATTTCTGTCTCCAGAGAGTCTGCTCAATCAATATGATCGTCTCTTTGCAAATATATTTCAGTCAAATGAGACAGACGGGTATTTCCTAAAGTGTTGGACTGTTCTTTTAGAGAAGCTGCCTCCATGATGAGGTCTCGTGTATGAATCGGGTCTGTTATCTGGTTCCTCCCGGTCTGCGGTCAGAGGGGTCGGGGCTGATGCAGACCGGCGGTCTCCGGGCACAGAGCGGGACTGTGTGTCGCCTTCGAGGGACTCCAGTTTCCCAGAGAGGCCTGGACGGCCTTCCGATGAGCCAGCCTGTGTGTGATGGAGAATCCAGCGTTTCCTTCCAGCTGAGACAAAACCACGAGTACCTGTCTGAGATAGAAATACAGCCTAATTCACGTCCATCTACCCATCGACTGTTTCTGTTTTATCTCTTCAAAGTACAAGACACTCTATGTTTTCCTTCATGTTCAGACTCAGCAGTGTGTGTATCACAGCCTGGTGTATCTTAGAGCTCCACTGTTGTCCAAAAACTGTTCAATAATCCACTGTTCCTTCACTACCATGACCACACACACTGTAGTTTTCTTTATACACCCCAAATACTCACTAAATCACCAAATGTGGATTCATCCGCCACTGAAAATAGTCCACCTGTTTGCTTGATTAAAAACTACAGTGAGCAGCTGTTTTATGGAAAGTACTGAACCTTTTTTAAACATGAAACTATTTGTGAGATACTTTTAAAGATTTGCAGTCAGAACCAGTGAGCTCAGAGGTAAGAGACGTAGATAGGGCCGTGCAGAAGAAAGTGCAGTAAAAAACGGTGCATTCAGACCAACGTTAGCATGTAGCTGCAGTACCGGAGGCTGCACTTTCATCACCGCGATCCTACAACCTACATTTATAGGTTCAACATTAAAAACTGGTCTATAGTTTACCTCACCTGTGTACAGTGTGAATGCACGCTGAAGGATGGACCTATAGTGACCTGAAACCTTTTTTTTCTGTCAGAGAATATGAATAATTTCATTTCAAACATCAAAAGAATGATCAGTCTGATAATGTCTGATCATTTTAGTTTGTAATAACCTGAAACAGACAAACATAATCTCTGCCATCAGTAGTTGTCTGTCAGTGTGAGTGATGAATGCACTGTTCAGCGGCGGCGTGTGTTGAACCTGTGCAGAGGGGGGATGCTGTCGATGGCTTTGAGGCTGCTGCGCGTCGACACCACGTTGAAGCTGTCGCTGCAGTCACACGACACGTGGAGGTGATGCCTCGGGTGTCTGTTTTCCACCATGACGATGAGCCCCGCCCAGCCGTGGGTCAGGTAGTAACACGTCATCCCCTCTCGACCCTGACGCCAGCGGAGGGAGAAGTGTTCAGATCCTTTACTGCAGTAAAAGTACAGATAACACACTGTGGAAATACTCCGTTACCTCGTGTCTCTCTCCTTTAGTTTCCGTCAGCTGGATGATGGCGTCGGCGATGGTGGTGTTTGAGGCCGTCACCTGCTCCACCATCACCAGTCTGGAGCTGTAGACCGCCAGCATGTAACCGGGCACCTCTGATCTGCTGCAGCTCGCTGAAAACACACAGCAGCGGCTTATTAATGTGCTGCAAATCCTTTTTTGGGGGGTTTTGAGAATAAATAAAAATTTTAAAATTCTGTTTGTTTGACAATTAAAAAAACACCAAACAAAACACAACATTTATTTATTTGTTCTCCTATTTATAATTGGTAGTATTTTTTTGTTTTCTCACTCATCAACCTGCTGAAATTGACTTTTTTCCTGTTGTGTCTTTATTTTTTAAGCTTTTTATGCCAGATTTTATATTAGATGTCCCGTGGTAAGAAACTTTATATGTAAAAAAAAAAAAAAAAAAAATTTAAAAAAGTAATTTCTCTTTGCTCGCTACAAAACCAGCAACTATCAAACTAAAATAAAATTTAATAATTTATTCAATTAAATATATTTGTGCATCTTGAAAGATGAAAATAGATATATAAAAACAGCAAAAAGGATTTAAAAGAGACAAATTAAAGAGAAAACTAATAAATCAAGCTAATTAAATTAATGGTAAACAAATGATGATGAAGTTTTTAGGTAAACACAAGTTTGAAAAGATGAGTTTTTAAATGTTCTTTCTATCTGAGTCTGGCCGTGGTGAACTAAATGCACAATGGTTAGAAAGAGTTAAACAGGTAAATTTATATTGATTAACTCATCTTCGATTGAATTAAATCTCACCAGAAAGAAAATCTCAGTATTTAACCAGCAAACCCACTGGTTGTAGAAGAATTCACTCTTGGAGCGATGGATGGAAAGCTTCGTTGTCAGGGAATGTGTATTTTTCAATTAAGTTCTGAATAAGAAATAAAGCTCTTACATGTCCCCTCTGCGACAGCGGTGTGCCAGTGGTTAAAGGCGCAGCAGAGCACGGCATATTCACCCGGCTCCAGCATGATGTCGCAGCCCACGAACCTCCTCACCGAGCGCCGGCTGTGAGCCAGCAGGCGACCCAGCGACAGGGTACCTGAGCTGTCGTAGGAGACCCGAAACACCAACACACACAAATCCAACAGGTGGCTCTCTGCTGTGTCCCATCGCCTGAGGACAGAGGGGGAAAAGTTTATACAAGGATCAGTCGACAATCATATCGATCTCATTCATTTACTGGGTCAAATATTTTAGAATGAAATACTCAGAGAAGACTTCTGCTTTTAGGTCTGACAGTAAAAAACTGTTTGTATTAAAACTATTAAAACGGGGGGGGGGTCTCCCATGATGATATATCAAAAGTTTAAAATAATTGTGGCAGCTTGTTCCTCAATATCTATGAATGATGTCTCTTTTATTTATTATGAATTACCATTTCAGTATATATGCATGTATAAGTACCTGTACGCAGTATATATAGCATATATATCTATTTATTTTTTCATTTTGATGTTGAAGAAATAATAATAAATACCAAAAATAATAATAATAATAATAACTTAAAATGTTGCTCAGCGTTTGTAAAATAAAGATTTATACTGAGAGTTGCCCTACCTGCTGCCCTGCTGGAATAAAGCCAGCTCCACAGCCGTTCTCTCCAGCACCGTGATGGACGCCACCGTCACCGGGATGTTGGCTCCTCGGGGGAAGACACCCGGTACTCGAACCTCCTGCCAGTCTGAATGAATCTTACAGATATCCACTGAGTCAAAGTACCTGCCAGGGTCAAACACACACTCACAGACGTGTGTGGACGCATAAACACACACACAAATGCAAAGATCTTCCTTTTCTCATGGATGAATTTATACTGACTAAGCAATCGCAAATTATAAAAGCTTATTTATTAACTCCCAATCTACCTGATGAAATCCCAGAAGTCCATCCAGAAGAGGCCGTCCTCAGCTCGCTGGGCGCAGAGCTCCCTCTTCAGGTGCGGAGGCCAGTTTGGCCAGTCGTCCGCCCAAGGTCCAGTCCAGGAGAAACGGCCCCACGGGTTCCTCAGCTGCAGCAACCTGAAACAGACGTTAGATACTGCCAGAGGTGTGGGCTCCAGTCACAAAGCAGATGACTTTCATAACTGTGATGACTTGAAAACATTTGATACCTTCGCCCAAACCCCGTTAAGGGTTAAAAAATATGTTATATAAAAAGTGTGCCACAAATCAATTAATTCCCTTCATTTCCTAAAACAACCACTAATTATATATTGTCAATAGTTATCACTCAGAGGTCCAGTTTGTAGGCTTTAGTGACATCTAGTGGTGTAGTTGTAGATCACAACTCACTTGAGTCACCCTCCCTTTCAAACCATGAGGGTGAAACTACAGTGGCCATGAAACGACCCTATAGATTCCTCACCTGTGACTGTCGACATCTTTCACATCGAGGACAGAGTAGGCGTGACGTGGACGTAAACCCAGGGACTCGTACTCCGAGTCATCCACCTTCATGTTCCCACCTCCACAAGATGCCCCCATCAGGAAACTGGCAGCACAAAAAAAAAAAAAGTTAATATTTTAAACCAGATTTAATTTAAAAACCACCCTCCCCCCTCACAGCGTGTCCTGACACTCACCCTGCTTCTTTAGAGCTCAGCATTTTGGCCCAGATGAGGTCTGTGTCGATGGGTTCTTCCTTCGGGTTAGTGGCGCTGACCTGGAGGGCCAGTGACTCGCAGGGGGCCCCGGTCAGCGTGGACAGGCCCTCGATAGCGCGGCCCGCCTGCAAAGCGAAGTAGGAACCGTGGAGCTTGGCGAGCGCTTTTTCAATCAGAGCCACCCAGAGCTGCTTCCGCTGCGCCTGGAGAGGGGAAGGGAGGAAGAAAAAGGATTAGGAAAGAATTTATAGTTAAGTAATTAAGTCCTGAAGCACAGCTTAAAAACCATATCTGGTGATGGGCAGCTGAGCTTATTAAGAGATAAGACACCTGGTACAACACAACCTCAGCACAGCAAAAATACAGTTTCTCATTACTAAGAAGAAGAACGCAGATCACATATATACGACATCAGGGACACCAAATGATTAAGACAACAAATCAATCTTATAATGATAATGTCTGTAGGTGTTTATGTTAGTTTGTCATTAATCAGAGAGGAGAGGAGGAAGACATTTTAGGTTTGTTACCAGTGAGATATTATTGAGTTTATACAGTAAATTTTGTGTTGTAAACTTTACTTTTGCTGCTCTGGAAACAATATTTTGTTATATTTAATATATAAATCAATTCTAACCCTGTTCAGGACAGTTGTTCCTAATGTCTGAGTGTAATGAGAAGATAAAAACTACAACCTGTGTGGGGTTTTTGAATAAATATTGTAATAATAATAGTCTAAAACTACCTTTTTAAGGTGTAAAGAGGGAGGAGGCGGGCACCACACTGAGAAATGAGAAAATGTTGTGGTTTTGTGCTGATAGTGTTGATAATGATACTAGGTTATGAAATACACAACCTGAAACAGGAAAATATACAACGTGGGGACAGAAATCTTGTTAGAGTTCTATTAGCGGCAACCGAGAAGGCAATCACGAGGAAAATGGTGCCAAGTGGACCCACCTACCCTCAGGCACACACACATTGTGAGTTTAATGAAAAAACGAGAGACGCTTATAAAACCCATCACGAGGACACAGCAAAAAAAACATTGTGTAAAAATGTGAAAACTGTGGGACAGATTTATTATGAAATGTGCTGTCAGTGAATTTGAGAGAAAGAGGGGCCAGATGCATCCTGAGTGCCGTACAGTGCAGTCATTGTTGAGTTTAAATTCAAGTTTAATGAACAAAAGTCCCCTCATCTCTGCTCTTTTTTACGTTGTTGCAACACAAACCTTTTCCCTCACAGGAAGTCTCTTACTGCTGCTCTGCTGCTGTACTAGCTGCTGTTAGCTAGTTAGGGGTCCTATTAGCTGACTGTACCCGGAACGGAAGGACAGGAGGAGTTTATACAGGGAGTGTTTAGAGTTGAGTCTGTCACCTGAGAGAAGAGGAGGTGACCGTTCTCGTCACACGGCAGCATGTCGTCCACGAGCACCGTGGTCCACGAGCCGTCTTTGCACAGGCGCACCTGATAGGCTCCTTCTGTGCACAGCTGGCGGGTCACCATCACTTTCTCCACCAGCTCGGGACGTTCGGCCAGAACAGCCAAGGCACTCAGGAACCTGAAAGTTACCAGTGAAATGCATTTAAAGTGTGTTGTAATTGTAAGGCGGAGCTAGTTTTACGGCGTAGGCGTCGGGTCGGCTCACCAGCAGTTACCCAGCAGTCCCTGCAGGATGTCAGAAGGGCGAGGCGTGCGGAAAATGGACCACTTTACGACGCGCTCTCTCAAGTTGCAGCAGTTGATTTCTTGAGGACGAAGCCACTTTCTGATCCGATGTTGGACGCTGTCGTCCGCCGGGAAGCCGACGGACTTCGGACCGGGAGGGAAGCTGTCGTCCACAAACGTCACTGCGTTCTGGGAGAGAGCGAATCGAGAACCTCAAGGGCGTTGTAGAAATTCAGACGCTTGTTAAAAAGGGTAGAAAATCACAATCACATTTTCATGTAGAGCTTCATGTGGCTGCTGTTGTGGCATTTTGATGTGTTAGTTTAATTATTATCACTGTGTTTGACTGTGTTTTAGACACATCTGGGGTTGTTTTATGTTGCCATTTAGGTTGTTTTCAGGATGAATAATGTTATGATTGTATTAAAAATGCTATTTATAAGTTTAATCCAAATTAAAAACCAGCTGGAAAGCAGTTGATCAGACTATATCTGAGATTGTTGGAGTGAGTATATATGTGTACTGGGTATGTATCTTTAGTGTTAGCTCCTGCAGGCCGGGAGAATAATAGCTTTATCTTGGAAATGGATGTACCCTCGATACATGTGCGGATATAGGAGATGGTGTCCTGTATTATATTGGAGAGACTGACTTACACAACCAGAGGCAAGAGAATCTGAAACCATCAATGGAGTTTCTTAGACGTCAAGGTGCTCATTCATTTAGAAATTGCTGTATGTTGCTGAGTGGTTCTATGTTGTTGTCATTTTATTGTTTGTTTTTGTTTGTTGGAGTTTTTTATGTCTTACTATTATTATATGTTGTTGAATTATTACCACTGTCTATTTGTATGTGAGCAATATAGGAAAAATTCAATAAAAATACTGTTTAAAATCCTTAAATGCAGATGAAAATATTGTTTGTTTCATAAGTTTTACAATTAGCTGGCTCCAACCTAGTTAGGATGTGATGTCTGCAGTCCAGATGAGATCAGGTGATAAGGTGAGCAATGAGACACTTTCTTCCTTTAGCAGATTAGAGTGAAAACAAAAAGAAAACGTAATGTCTGAGTGGAGGGGGGCTTTAAATTGGAGCATATTCTAGCTATCTTAAAGGTTATAACTGACACAAACCTCTCTGCAGAAGCTGACGATGTTCTCCCACAGCTCTTTGGCCTCTCCCTCGTCGCTCTGCCGCAGCGCCTCCACCAGCATGCTCTCCTTCCTCTTCGGGGACGGAGCAGGTTTGAGCTGTGTCACGTGTTGCTGAGGAGTGTGGCAGGCCAGGCAGTGTTTGGCTTTGACCCTGTTAATGAGAGTGCACGCCGGACACGACCACTCCTCTGACCCGGGAACCACCACGACGCACGCTGGGAACGACCCCGAGGCGTCTGGTGCGGGTGACAGCGGGGACATTTCCTCCTTGAGGATGCTGAGGCGTCTGCCGGGCAGTTGCTCAGGTTGGGCGGAGAGATGTGACACGGCGAGCGTTGACGGAGAGGGACTTAAGTTGTGTGTTTGGCTGAGGCAGACATCTGGAGGGGGCACCTCTCTACGACTGCAGGGAAGAGGATTATTGTGAGCCGAAGACGCTGCACCGAGTGACGAGGAGCTTGTGTGTGGATATGAAGCTTCCACCGGTAAACACTCTCCTCGTGTGGATATGGAAAGGGAAAGCGCCCCCGCTGCGGGATCTGGTTGTTGCTGTACTCCTGTTTGATCGCACACTTCAGGCACGAGCAGGGAGTCGGCAGGGATTTGGGGCAGAGACAGTTTGCGTGGTCCGCCACAAGCGGAGCAGGACATGGAGGTTGGGGTGTTCTGCAGAGTGCACCTTAAACAATCCCAGGTCAGGCTGTTTTTATCTGCGTCTTCCGGCTTTTTTTTATCTTGAGATGTCGATGGCGGCCTCAGGGGGCCGGAGCAGCTGCTGGAGCGCTGGGGCCGGGGCTGGTCTTCCGATGACCCCTGGGGTCGGTCCATCGGTCCGGTGTAGCCACACAGAGAGCAGGCAAGACTGTCGCGGGAGTTGGCCAGCGTGCAGCGTGGGCAGGACCAGCGACCGTCCTCCCTGCTGGTCCCGTGCCACATCCAGCGAGTGTCGGATCTCCGCCGGGGGGCCTCACAGATGGAGCAGCGGGGGGCACCGGCTGCATTTAGAAAGGTACAACAGCCACAGGCCCACTGGCTCCTCTGCATGGGCATCGAACCAGAAGAGAAACTGGAGATGAAACACAAGAATCAGTTTAGATTACTAGAAGCAGTGTATGTTCACTATCAGCCAATTACTGACAATCTAAATAAAGAATGATAGAAAATAAAATCAAGAGCTAAACATAAGTAATTTGTTGTATTATTGCTGAGTTTTGGATAACATATGTGCCGATACTGATACGATGTTGATAAATCTGCAATATGGCAGCTTTAATAATCCTCCACAAACATCTGCTAACAGCGAGTGTAATGTGAAACACATCCAAACTGTTTTCAGCTGAACTCAACTGCTTTTATATAACTGTAAACTCCCACAGGGAGAAAGGGGAAGAAAAAGCTGTGAAGATGAGGGGGGAAATGGGTGCATTAGCAGTTTTCTACACCCTGTGGTGGCTGGGAGGAGAACATTAAAATGCATGAATATGGAAATGACACAAGAAGCTTCAGTACAGAAAGAGCATAAAGTGTTCTTCAACTGGTGCCTCAGACACTGATAGATTATTCAATATTTATGATTTATTACAGTCCTCGCAAGAGATCAGTAAAGAGTGTGTGCAAAGTGTTCAGTCTGAATTTGGTACAAAAAACACAGTTTCACATCTGAGATTCCTGTTCCTCGCCGTGCTCCGAGGCCGTGGCTGTAAAGCAGACCCAGATTATCTGCGCTGTGGCATCCAGCGGGAAATTTTAGACCGGAGGAGCCAGTGGGACGTCTGTGTGGAGGCTGGCCCACATTTTCTAGCGCTCTAAGTAGCTTTGGCATCAGGCCGGAAGCTTCCAGCACAGGACGGGTTACTGCAGGACAAACGGAGATACAGGTGTTTCTGAGACCGAGAGCTCGGTGGTAATTAATGAAGCAGAAATATTTTGCTGCTGCACGACCTTCATCACTTCCTGAAGACATCCCTTCAAAGTCCGAGACCGTGGGCCTCCAGACAAAGCTTGGACTAGGATAGTTTTATTTTTCCATTTTAAATATGTTTCATCTGTTAATTTAAATCTTATTTTATTGTTGGGTGTTTTATTATATTTTATTCTCCGTGCTTTTTATTTGCCAGATTTTATTGTTTTATTCTTGGGTTCTGAATAAATCAAATCAAGTTATTATTATGATCATTCACTATAAAAGAAATATGTAAGTTTATAGGGTTTTCCTGTTTATTTTACAGTTTTTCTCAGTTTTTAATAAAATAATTAAAATACAGTTTTTAGCTTTAATTTTACATAAACTTTTTGTTTAATTAAAGATATTTACACTGTAAAAACAATGAAATGACCTATAAATACAGGCGAAACACTGCTATAATACAAATAATCAGGCTTAAATTTAAAGAGTTCTGTTATTATTTGATTTTTCTTATTTTAATCTGAATTTGAAAAGTTATAGAACTGTAATAAAAGTCATTATCTGTGAAATTACAGTAATTATTGCTGTTTTCACTGATAAAAACTGTATTGGGACAGTTCACCAATGCTTATACGCTGATAAACAACATTTATTCAACGTTTTTGTTCCATAATTAAACAAAATATCTGTCAATTAACAAACAAATCCACGTAAAATTACAGAAGAAATACACTTTTAACTGTTAATGTCACTAATTTGACATAATTTAAGTAATGTATAAACAGTATTAAACTTGACTTTAACAGTTTAATCTATTAAATGAATTATTTAATTAAATATTATGTGACTTTTTTTCTTTAAATGAGCAGTAATTTTATGATAATTTACATTACACATGTAAATTCATAGGCTATTAAAAATCTGTAAAATAAACAAGAAAAACCCTGTAAATGTACAGATTTTTTTTTTTTACAGTGTAAGCTTTATAAAACTTCATCGCGATCAAGGTTTTTATCACTTTTTGATCGTTATGCATCCGACAAAACCTGCAGTGATCTGTGGAGCCTGACTCCCTCTAGAAAGCTTGTGTGTGTGTTTCCAGACTACCGTCTACGGTTCAATCTTCAGGGATTTCCCCGGTAGCGTTACACTTCCTGTCAGAGAGTAACCCGACTCCTGGTAGGACCGAGTCAGACGGCGGCTGGGACAATGTGGCAGCAGAGGAGACTTACACCAAACAGAATAGACTCAGTGCATTAGACAGAGATACAGTAATTATTAATAAGTGGAGATTTGTAGAATAGGCTGGGATTTATATCGACCAATTCATGAAACATTCATGACCACACATACTTGAGCTTCGGACGTCCACACAAGTGTATATTATAAATTAAGCAGCCGTCACATTTATGGTGCAATGTGTAATAACATTAATAAATCATCTTTACAGGTAGCATTAACAAACAAACAACACTGTCTCAGAGACTGACTGAACTCAATTCAGGAGGATGGCTCTGGCTGAAATGGACGATGACCTCCAGGGTGCCGGTTTGTCCTGTGTGTAGCAGCTATGATGAGTGTTTGCAGGAAGAAAACCTCCAGAAATGGCGGGGAACGATGGCTGGGAGCAGGTTTCTGTCCCAAATGAAGGAGCTGAAGTATCTCGGGGTCTTGTTTATGAGATGCGGCGAGAGATAAACAGGCCAATTAGTGTTGGCAGTGAAGAGAGAGCTGAGCCTGAAGGGAAAAAGCTCTGAATTTAAACAGAAACTCAGCCCGAGTGCAGGAAGATGAGTCCTGATTATGTGCACACAAAGTTTTAAACCAAAAGATTTTCCAGAAACGTTTTAAAACTTATATGAAATATGACTGTGTGTGTGTTTAGAGGAATATAAAGTCAACGAAAAGACTAAATTAGATGCCAATTCGCCAGATGTAAAGTTTGTATCTGTGTTAGTCAGTTTTATGAATCTGCCTCAGAGGAAAAGGGAGAGTGACAGGGTTCCTGCTTTTTTAAGAAATCATTTTCCAGGAGTTTTTCTTGACAATACAGGACTTAAAAATGCGGTTTTGGGGAAACTGACTTCATTAATTTGTCCACAGACCATCAGCAACAGTTCAAATCAAGTAGAATTAAATTTATTTTACATGAGGGGCTAAAATATAATTAAATTTTCAAGGACAACATAGATGATTTCCAAGATATTTGGTCATTTTAATCCAGGTTTTCCAGGAATGCGTGGGAACCCTGGTGGAGCTGAACAAACACGCAGACACATTAAAACCGTCTGTTGCTAACTCGCTTACAAGTAATGACTGTACAGTTGGTATAACGGCTGTTTGAATGGACACAAACGGTGCAGAGGTCTTTATTTTAAATCATAAGACACCTTTAGATGTGAAAGCATTTTATAGTGGGAGCACCACGGCAGATATAAGGAGTAGGGGTGGGTAAAAATATCGATACGGCAATATATCGCGATACTTTGCCGCTCAATATAATATCAATTTTTCAACTCCAAAGATAGATGGCGCCGAAGAGCGACTCTGCTCAGTTCATCTCTATTTATATCACAATATCGTGATATCGTGATACGTATCGTATCGTGAGGCTCTTGCCAATACTCACCCCTAATAAGGAGTATCTTTAATAACATCAGATAATATATATATAGATGTTTTTCAAGTCAAAATCTTTCTGTGCAACCTCACAGCAAATTAGTAAATGATGTAGTTTCCAAAGTGTGACCCACCAGACCCTTCAACGTGATAGCTGCTAGTCTGGTGCCAATATCTTGTGTAACAGGGACCAAATCTTATAGAAAATATGTTTTAATTTTAATGAAATATAATATTAGGCTTATTAAGCTTCAGGAAAAACTCCATCACACTGCAAAGGTCACACACAGGAGATCGTTTAAGCTCCATCTGGTAACATCACTGATGAGATCAGATTAAACTCAGCAGGTGAGTAACTGATTGAACTGATTGATCACTTAGTAATAATTAATGAGAGCAGCACATCTGATCCTATCCATCCTCTACAGATCTTGTTCTTCACGTGTTTGTTTGCTGCAGACTCCAGCAGATGTCACATCATCATGATTTTAATAATTCTTTTATGTAAAGATGAAGATTCTGATGCAAAAATTATAATTTCCTCTCATTTTGAATCACATACAATCATAATATCTCATAAAATACCATCATGGTCTGTTAAACTGCAGTTCTTTGACTCCGCTGGTACTGCCGACTGTCGGCGAGCTCGTCTCTTACCTGCGCTCTCTGTGCCGGCCGGGTCGGGGAAGCTGCCGGGGGATGGAGGTGCTCTGGCTGCTCCTCAGACATCCCATGATGGGGGATGGAGGCAGTGCAGCCCCCCGGGGTGCGTCGCCCTCGGCCTCCTCAACAAGGGAGGAGGTGGAGCCTCCCATGATGCAGCTGGCTCAGGCAGAAGGGACCTGAAGGAGGAGGGAAATACTGAAACTGATTGACCAGTTTTTGACTCTTTTGATAACTGATTCATTTTAGTCATTTTTCCAACAAATTCAAAGTATTTTCCAATTCTAGGACACTTTTTAATAAGAGCAGGTAGACGTTACTCCTTCTAAAATCACCTCGGCCTCTGAGAAATTATTATTTTCTGACATTTTCAGCCAATGCTGATCAGATATGGATCGAGGTTCTGTTACTGCGTTGACTATTTATCTCTCACAAACATATCTTAGTGTTTATCTGGAATACAAGATCGTGTGTGAGCAGGCATTGTGTCCTGATACAGACGAGTTGAAACTGAAAAAAACAAAACAAAAGGATTTATTTCTAGGAAATTAGTCTAATTTTTAGTCAAAATAATGTTGTTAAGCATGTTCTGCTTTAGAAAAGTAATCTGGTTTTAATAAAACATATCTAACTTTGTCTTAACAAGATATTACAGCTAATATTGAGCTCAATTTAACCAGTAACAACAATGGTTGCATAATATCCCAGCAGAGGAACAAGATTATTGTCCTTATTTTCAGAGTAAGAGCACTCGAACAACTTCTCAGTTTAAGAGAAAGTCGTCTTGTTTCAGTGTTGGAAATCAAGCAGCTGTTTAGTTTTTTATTGTTTTAGTAAAATGATAAAAATAAGAACGTTTCTGGAGCCTTTATTTAAGACCAAGTCACAGATTGTTAGTATGCTGTCGCCTATATTTATAGGGAATTTCATTGTTTTTACATGTATAAATGATCTTTAATTAAACATTAAAAAGCCAAATAAAAAAAGATTTTATGTAAAGTTAAAGCTAGAAACTGTATAAGTCAGTCATTTTCTGTTGTTTTACAGTATTCTTTGACGGGCTCCAGCTGCTGGATTATTACCAGTTGGTTTTTTTTTTACAATTATTTTCTACAGTGCACTTCAGGATTCATTTAGGTAACAGTAAATAATCAGCATACAGTAAGAAGACACTGATGCACCAACTGGAAGACCCCTTAATGTGAAGACTTCTTATCACAGATGTCATATTGCTTGTTTCGGTATGTGGTTGCTTCAGCTCCCTCCCGGCTCGCTCCACTCCAGCTGTGTCCTTGAACAAGGACTTAAAGTCTGTCTGATAACATCAAGAGCTCGGATACAGACGCTGATCAGAAGACACATTACCAAAAAATCTACTACTTGTATCCTTATAAAATCTAAATTATATCTCAAAGCGTTCGTCTCCCTCGCTGTCTGGGTTGTGTGGGTGTCTCTGAATGATAAAATCACATTATAAATCCACATTTGAAGAACTAAAACTGACTCTCTGTGTGGTTTGCATGCGAGTGAATTCCTCTGTACCTCAATGCAGATGCATCCCTGCTGATGCTGAAGTTCAACATAGACTTCAGGTATCCTGGTGCACCTGCAGTACAGCCGGTGGCTGGCTGAGAGACTGCAGAGCGGCGAGAGAGAGAGAGAGGACACTAAAAGACACAGCAGCGCCGTGAACATCTGGACTCACCCGACTGCAGAGCGGACGCGTCACGCACGAAGAGGATGGACGTTCCTGCCAGCTGTCTGAGACCTCCATGCATCCTCTTTCACTGAAGCCCCGACGTGCACAGTCACCACCACCGCTCTCCTCTCACCACCTCCGACAAGCCACAGGGAAGAAATGACACTTCCTGTCACAGAATTCAAAATAAAACTCCCACTGGACATTGTCAAGTAACTTCCAAAACCCCCAAAAACCCACAAAGAATACAAGATTAAATCACAAACTGCATGACTGTGTACTGAAATAATGTCAAAATATAAAAAAAAAAAAAAAAATTTTTTTTTAAAATTTTAAAACAATTTAAATAAATTTTTTTTTTTTTATTAATTTAAAAAAAAAAAAAAATAAGAGAATGACGTTTTTAGTCATTTTTTAAGCAAAAATATCAAATATTTTCACTTTACAGCTTCTCAAGTGTGAGGATTTGCAGCTTTTCTTTGTCGTAAAGGACAGTAAATTTAATATATTTTAGTTTTGGACAGCTGGTTGGATAAAACAAGCAGACTGAAGCCATCACCGTGGCAGTTGAGAAATTCAAAATGTCATTTTTTTCCACTGTTTTTTTAAATTTCATAGACTAAACAATAAAATAATCTGGATATTAATTCAAAGCTAAATTAATCTTTAGCTGCAGCCTTAAAGCACATATAGTGTCATATTTCAAAACCTGTTTAATATGATTTTTATTAAGAAATAAATTCAATAAATAAAGTACAAACAAGGGTTTCAAAATAAAATAAAGGAAGATGTAGTTTTAGCTTGTTGGACCCAAATTTGTTGGACTTCTCAGGAGTTACAGGTTATGTAGTACAATGACTAATAGTTATTCATAGATTCATTTGTTTTTTTATTGTAAGTAAAGTAAGAGCCCAAAACGTCTTATTCCAGTTGCTTCTTTTTTTACAAACCAACAGTCCAAAAATAAATACAATAATAAATATTAACTTCTCCAACAAGAGGGGGGAAATCATTTTATTTTACTATCGTCATTATCATTATTTATTTATTTATCTTTTGTAATTGTTTTTCTATTTAGATAGTCTTTTAATTCTGTTTTTTCATTTTATTTTACCATCATCATCATTATATTTTTTATATATTTATTTGTTATCTAAAATAACAAGCAAAATTGATTTAATTTTCTCTTAACTGACCAATCAACTAATTGAGCACTAATTATCACTCCCATCAGAAAGGCAGTAACCTGTTTTATTGCTCATATTAGCTAAATAATCAATTTAATTCGACTTTAATTGATTGAAAGAAACTCTCAACCTCTTAATACTTTACCCAAACTGTTTAAAAGTAAACTGGGTTTGGTTGGCCCTGTTATAATCCTTACCTTCCCACATTGCTGTGCTTTTATTCTGAAGGTCACTTCCTCCTAATGCCGGGCTAGCTGTGGCTAACTGTTGCGAGCTTGGCGCGCTTCTCCTTCAGCTCTCCGCCGTGGAGGGTTCCCTTCCTCCGGGGACATTTTCAGGACAGGACACCGGGCATCAGCCGGGACGTATCGACCTCTTATCCGGTCAAGATGAATATCTTCTTTCCTCCATTACGGTCCGGGAGGATGAAAGATACCAAACTCCATTATAAATCGACAGTAATTCCCTGGTTTACAGCCGCGTGTGCATATTATAAAACATGAATTTAAGTTGCTCTTATGAATCATTGCTGCTTTAATACACCAAGCGCCACTTTACATACAAATCTCAGAACTTTAAAACAAATCACTGGATATTCGGCGTTAAATCAGCATAAATGATTCACAAACGTTGCTTAAAGTCTCTTACACTATTTAAGTTACTTATAAATGTATCTATAGTATCTATGAGGGTTTTTATTTGTGGATTTTTTTTTAATAGTCTTATTAAATATTTGATTCTAACAGTTTATACAGATAACTCTTAGTACTTTAAGATATTATAACCTACCTTTATCCTGTTGTGTGGCGGTTATAAACTTTAATTTCATTTTACGTTGTTTGTTTTTTTTGCCGCCGTTTTTGAAATAACGGTTTTCTGATTAAGGAGCACGAGCTTTTATACTGTCAATGAGCACGAGCCGTGGATGAGAGTTGGCACACGTCACTTTCAGAACGACCACGCCCCCTTTTGGGAGAAACCATAAACCGTTAAACCATTGTTAAACTATTAAACACAAAAAAAAAAAAGTTTATGATTTTATTTACTTCCCAAAAGAGTGAAGGGCAGTAAAAGAAGACAACTGTGGTTTTAGGTCGTCATTACACACGACAAGACATTATTTTGAGTTTCTATAATCCACATTGAGCATAAAAATGGTAAACTGTGGGACTGATTACTGTACAAAAACAACTTTATCAGTGATTTGGGTGAAACTGGATCATAATGTATAGAGAAAATATTGTCTGGTTGCCTTCCCGTCCTCAGGCTGCTCTGCCTTAACAGCTAACGTAGCTGCTGTTAGCTAACTGCTAATGTAGCTGCCGTTAGCGTGCAACCAAACGGGCCTCAGCAGCCTCCCAGTGACAACACAACCTCTGAGGTACAGAGGTGATTTACCACTTGCTAAAAGAAGGTAACTCTCACCAACAGTAATGTTAGACGTTAGAAGAAAAGCAGCAGGGATTGTCAGTGAATATCATCAAATATTGTACTTCAGCAGACGTTTGTTACTTTAGTAGGCTATTTCCATTATATGTAAGTTCATAGGGAAATAGTGCTTTTTATTCAGATTAAGATGTTGTATATATAAAAAAAAAAAAACCAAGGTATTAAACCATTTCCAACCTTCTAGTTGTTGGCTGTTGCACATGCCAGTGATTTCCCCTCATTTATGACTTATATATTACATTTAAACTGTAATAAAAACACTGGTTTGATACTTTAAATACATACAGCACAGACAGCGTAGACACAAAGCCACCGAAACAGATAATACAACAAGAGTAAATGTTATTGCTCAGAAGAGAAACAATCATGTCTCTGAAAGTTGATTTATCCAGTTTAATAGCAAAACATCAATATAAATGTGATTACAGTAAACTGTAAAGCATCTGAACGCAGCCTAATAACAACCTGTTTACAGTAATCATTCATAAATCCATTAATATGTCATCTATGAAACATCAAGACACCCAGAATAAACCTCAAATCCAACACTCAGATAAGAGTCAATAAGAGACTCAGATTGCTGATACTTGATGTAATTTAAAAAAATACTGATTTTTAAAGAGGAATCAAAGCACTGGCTGTTAACACTGTTCTGATGAATTAAAACATTCACCAGATTCGTGATTCTGTGATGAACAGCGTCCCCTGAAGGCACCGCAGGTCCCAGCTGTCTGATTTCTTCTTCTATGGTCCTCTGCGCCAAACCTCGTCTCCAGAGATATACGTGGCGCTGACGTTGAGGCCGTCATCGAGCAACACAAGGTCTGCGGCAGACACATAATTAATATAATTAATGTTAGCTGTGTGTGTGCGCTGCAGGAGTGATGATTCTGAGTAAACCCTGACCTGCGTCTGAGCCGTAGTCCAGGTTTCCCTTCTTGTGGCTGATACCCAGGAGCTGAGCTGGATGCAGCGAGGCAGCTTCCAGAGCTTCCTCCACACTGCAGCCTGTTTACAAACACATTAAAAAGGACATCGAGAATAAGTGGCGGCGCTGTTGTGGAAGCGAGATCCTGATAATTTTCGCCAAAATCTGTTACCGCTTCCTGTTAAAGAACCTGCAGGATTCTGGGATTTTAAACATGTTTTGGAAGAAAGACGGCTTCTCCAAACCCCATCTTTAATATCGAGATCCAGATTACCATACCTCTCAAACTGTGATTGAAAGTAGTCTATTTTTGACAGCAAAGATATGAAAATATGTTGCTATGGTGATGTTATTGTTCACAAAGAATACAATATATTAAATACAATTATTGCATGGATATTATTTTATTATTAGCTTTTAGTTGTCCAGATAAACCAGGTTTTCTCCCTGTGTGAAGTAACTACCTAACATTCATCGCAGAGGACTTTAACTTTGGAGGGCGAGGCTATCTACAGTCATTCTCTGCCAGCTTCATCCTAATTTTACTAAAACTCTTAACCGGTTTTACCGTGGATGGCCGGCTGTTAGAAGACCCACCATCTTTATATAAAGTGTTGGTCAAGAATCTCACCTGAAGCCTGTTTAAAGTGCCGTATACACATATCCAGTGTGGCTATGCTGCCGCAGAGGGTCGTAGTGCCTTAAAGACAGTGGAGATTAATCAATTAAAACTCAGTTAGACAGGGCAACGCATTTAAAGATCTAGATTAACTGGTTTCATTGCTAATAGATAATGTATTTATAAAGTTAAAATAAACTTGAGACCTGCTACGTAAGCGTTGAGACCCTGGATCTCGATCACCTGCTGACCCAGAGTGTGACGACCCGGAGGAAGACCCATCGCTGTGATCGCATCGGTCACCAACACCAGACCTGAAAGAACAAAGAGTAGCATCTATTCTACATATTTTACTATAAAAATACACCGGGAACGCCCCCTACTGGTTTAAACGAGCTACTGCAATTGAATTTCACTATTAGCTGATCTGGAGGCAGCTTTCATCAACAGCCAACTCCTGCTGCTATAAAACCAACGTTAGCGTTAGCCGCTACGTAGCTGTTAGCCACAGACACCGGAGAGTAACCCTCTCTGAGCTGCTAGCTTAATTAGCTAACGTTACAACACAGGTAGCACTTCCATGCAGCGTGAATGTGCTTCTAGTGACTGTAAAAGCACACGGTTGTGCAGAATTCACAAAGATTGGTTGAATTTGTGTTAATTGTTGCAAATGCAACATCATGGACTGGTATTTTAGGTGTTCATGTGCGATTGATTTCAAAAGTAGAGTCAGCTTTAATTAAATATAAATTTTTAAGGATTATTCTTCTTCATCAGTAAAGTATCACCAAAATGATCAATATTCATCCTCCAGGGAACATAAATGTCTGAACAAATCCATCTGGATGGTGGACCGACACAGAGACGTCACAACAATCAAAAAAACCTCCTAAACTAATATACGGATGATTGTAATTATCTCTAACGGGTTTCAGGTGATTTGGAAGTTGAACAAAATCACTTTAATCTTTCCAACAGCGTGTTAAATGTAAGACGACGGTGAGAAACTGGACTTACAGAGTGTTTTACATTCTGCTTCACTGTGTATTACAGTGGGGGGGGAGAGAGATGGTGATAGACATCCTGTTCTATTTTTACGGCCTCCCTAAACACCCTGAGAAAAGCCCAAAAGCCTAAACAAAGAAAATAGCAGCTGTTACAGTCTCTGAGAACGGCTCATTGGGTGTAGCGGCCTGTAAGAAGTGCTCGTCTTCAGCTGGGAACACCAACTGTACACGCAACAGACAATGCAGCCACTGCAGCTAATGATGTGTCCGTAGTGGGTAATTAATTCAACACAGCCCACTTACTGAAACAATTAACATTTTTGGGTGCTACAATGGCAGCCTAAAGGGAAACAAAACTGATGTACATTTTTAACAATTTACAGGAAATACCTCAATAAACCTGCTTCCATGTAAACATTACAGAAATAATAAGCATATTCCTAAAAACACAAGGTAGTGTTACTAAGCTTCATCAAGCTGATTCATTTCTTTTACACACTTTTAAAAAGCTTTACCTGCTGCTTTTCAATAATAACGCGTTGGTCACATACTGTTTGTTTCTTAAAGTCCCAGTGAAATTAAAAATATCCTTTTAACCCTTTAAGCTCACATCATCAGTTGTACTGTTCCCCTATTTAACCATGTGTGCAGAAAAACTCAATTTCTTTGTATTTTTGTATCAAAATCCAATAATTTTGTCTTCCTTTAAAACAAAATGTGACGCGTGCTTACGTCAGCATGAACTAATTTCAACCAATAATATCCTGACATTCACTCGTCAATCAATAATAATAATAATAACTACTAATGATAGAAAAAGCACCTTCACTGACCTGAAGGGTGAGCTCTGTGAGCGATACGCAGGGCTGCGGGGTTGGTGTGGATCCCGTCTGCTATCATGCCATAGTAGACCGTCCTGCCTGCAGGAACCTGATCACTGGTCAGCAGACCCACAATACCAGGGTCCCGATGGTGGAACTGGATCACGACACAGGAGAGGACAGAAGAAGATGCTATAAATAACGATTATGATTTAACAAGAGCTACAAAGAGCCTGGATATGGATATAGAAGAGAGCGGCCCCAAAAATGTGATGCAGCAGCTTCCAGACATTGTACCACTGGACACGTTTACAGATGTTAAGAGCCTGCAGTGGAAGGATGAGGAGGGACTCACAGGCAGCATGGCGTTGAAGAGGTGAGTGATGAAGGAGGCTCCGTGCTTAACAGCCTCCTCAGCTTGGGCCAGGTTGGCCACAGAGTGACCTACAGGAGGGAAACGGTAACAAACAGAGTGTTCAGTTAGCTTAATCCACACTCCCACGGCTGATCTGGCTGTAACGTTATTCTAAATATGATTGTCAGTTATTTTACAGCGTTCAGTCGAGTGTTTGTCACTGTTGGCCGATGCAACAGGATGCTGACTGAGGTTCATTCAACGGCCAATAGTGATGTTAACGGTTTTACATATACAGTGCATCCGGAAAGAATTCACAGCGCTTCACTGACAGTCCTTCAGGTGCCTTTTGGCAAACTCCAGGCGGGCTGTCGTGCCTTTTACTGAGGAGTGTCTTCTGTCTGTCCACTCTACCATACAGGCCTGATTGGTGTTGTGCTGCAGAGATGGTTGTCCTTCTGGAAGGTTCTCCTCTCTCCACAGAGCAACGCTGGAGCTCCGTCAGAGTGACCATCAGGATCTTGGTCACCTCCATGACTAAGGCCCTTGTTCCCCAATCGCCCAGTTTGGCCGGGCGGCTCTAGGAAGAGTCCTGGTGGTTCCAAACTTCTTCCATTTCCACACTGTGCTCATTGGGTCCTTCAACGCTGCAGACATTTTTCCGTACCCTTCACCAGATCTGTGCCTCAATACAATCCTGTCTCAGAGGTCTACAGACAATTCCTTAGACTTGGTTTGTGCTCTGACATGCACTGTCAACTGTGGGACCTTATATAAACAGGTGTGTGCCTTTCCAAATCATGTCCAATCAACTGAACTTACCACAGGTGGACCCCAATCAAGTTGTAGAAACATTTAGAGGATGATCAGTGGAAACAGGATGCACCTCAGCTCAATTTTGAGTATCGTGACAAAGGCTGTCAATACTTATGTACAATAGATTTCAGATTTCATTTTTTATTTTTTATTGATTTGCAAAACTTTATGGGATATTATGTGTAGAATTTAGAAGGGAAAACATTAATTTAACGCATTTTGGAATAAGGCTGTAACATAACAAAATGTAGAAAAGTGAAGCGCTGTGAATATGCACTGATGCACTGTAGGTCCTTTAAATTTTAGTTGCAAAACAATCAGACTCATCACCATAGAGCGAGTAAACGATGCTCACCTAAGGACACGGTGATGCCTCTCTTGGAGAGCTCCCTCACCACCGATTGGCTGCTGGCCAGCTCCGGAGCCAGCGTCACCATGGCGACGTTGTCCAGGCTGCCGTAGGCCTCCATCACGTCCTCGATGCCTCCAGACCGGAAGGTTCGGAGGAACTGCTCCGGGTGAGCTCCTTTCTTCTCCAGGCTGATGAACGGACCCTCCAGATGAAAACCTGCAGAGAGAGAAACAGCAAATAATCACATTTGTATATTTTTTTGTTTTGAATGTATCTGCTAACAGGTATTGTGTGTGTGTGTGTTAGTACCTCATACAAACCCACGTCAAAATACCCAAACAGAGCGACCTCCACTGAAAGAAACCTTACCAAGAACTCCAGCTCCATGAGCTCCTCCATTGTGAACTTTGACCTGAGGCAGAACCTGGAACGCAATCCAAAAAATACATTTTAAAAGTCAATAATTTTGTCAAAAATACTCTCAAAAGCACACGTGGAAGGTCTGTAACTGGACTGGACAAACAGTCAGTGAGTCAAGGTTATTCATGCTTTGATTTTATCCCATCTAGACTACTGCAACTCTTCCTACACCTGCCTCAGTCAAAAATCAATCTCACGTCTCCAACTTGACCTGTTCTGAACTTGCTCTTAACAAACAACCCCCACATTATAAAAAACTAAACTAAAACTAACACTGAGACAAATAAAAACTAAACTAAAATGAGAAAAGACACTCTGGAAACAAACCAAAACTAAACTAGACTGAAAACAAAAATGAAAACATAAAGGAAAATACAAAACTACAATAACTCTGGAGACACATGAGAGTAATGGACCGACTAGTTAAACGACTCTAAAAACTGATAATTTGTCTAGAAGCGTTGTTCAAAAACAATGAAAGCAATACAGGTGGAAATGATATGATATACAGTGAGAAATAACTGTGTGCGACTCATCTGACAGAGTAGCCAAACTGCAACACAGCGGGACAAACTGACACAATATTTTTTTATACAAATAAATAAATAACTTATTACGTTGGCCGAATTCACAAGAGGGGACAAGTAGTGAAGAATGTTATAGATAATGTTTCACAAAGTTTATAAAGCTTCCTTTGACTCAGCATCTCACAGAAATATGATTTTTTTTAAAGGGAGCTGATTTGCAGCCAGTTAAATTCCTCACGTGGGGGTTTCACTCAGTAACTGTTTAACTGACTTAATTCTGACATTATTGAGATCAAGAATTGTTTGAATGTTAATATTTTGAACTTCATTATGATTATTCAGTGTTATTTGTTACTCTGTGCAGCTGCTGATTTAACCTGGTTGAATAACGAGTACTTTATTTAGTCATAAGAATCCTATTTTATACCAATATTTGGTTAATTCTTATGTATTGAAATAAAAGGTTCATACAGTTTAGTTCATGGTCTCCTGCTGTTGTGTTTATATAAAAAACATCATATTCATACTCTAAACCAGTGGTTCCCAACCTGGGGGTCGAGGGGGAGTCGCAAGGTTGTTTAAAGTTTAGATTATTATTTAAGATTTAAACTCTGAAATTCTTCCTGCATTAGAAAAGTATGCAGTTAAAACAACAAAGAGCAGGGAGCAGAAAGTCTGTGTGATTGTTAAATAAATAACAAAATACATTAACACAGACAGAGAATTGTATAAAAATATCAGGAAAACTCATCTCTGATTAATATTCAGAGGAATTAATCTGCTCAAAATTCATCCAAATCTTTGTTTGTGTTCATTGTTTATCAGCTGTTCTCTGCTGTTACTGTTATTGTTGAATATGAAATATCCATCCATTATCTTTCCTCAGGATCACGAGGCTCCAGTGTCGGTGGTACCTTGTGGTAGACGGCCGGGGGAGAGGTGACCAGAGTGGGACAGAAGGACGTCACTCCGTGTTCCAGGATCTTCTTCGCCACAAAAGAAATTCCAGCGACGACGTCCTCGGAGGCCTGAGAGAAGTCGATGCCGTACCCTCCTGCAGGGAGAGGAAACACTAGCTTTCTGTCTCTGGAGTCTGGTGGAGAGTGATAGTGATATTACGGCTGTTTGTGGTTAAACTAAAGGTCTATCTCTGTAGGGATCCTTTCCATAATGCTGTCAGACACTGACAATAACGACATGAAACATAACAATTTAGCGGAAGTACTTTGATGGTGTGATTCTTGGAAAATATTCAGATTTTAGAGGCTGAAATTATTTGAAATTAATGAATTTTAAGTATTTTTCTGTTAAAAAGTCACCTAAATGATCAACTGATTAGGTAGTTAATGGATATTTGAGCTGCTGATTGAACCAAAACGAGACATTTGAAAGCTCCACTCTGAGCACTGGGAACTTTTGTTTGGGAACTTTTTCAGGGAGCAGATGAACTGAAATTAGAGTTATAGATAAAGTACTGATCAACGTGTGTGTGTGTGTGTGTGTGTGTGTGTGTGTGTGTGTGTGTGTGTGTGTGTGTGTGTACCATTGATCTGAACGTCTATGAAGCCGGGGGCGATGATGCTGCCTTCACAGTCCACACGCTTGTCGGCGTAACCCTGCTCATCGAAGAACAGCTTCTCCGGATCTAAAATCCTCCCATCACGCACCCACAGGTCCTCTCTGCACACACACACACACACACACACACACAGGTGAGGTGTGTGTGAGCAGGTGAGGTGTGTGTGTGTGTGTGTGTGTGTGTGTGTGTGTGTGTGTGTGCGTGGTACCTCTGCAGCTGGTGGTCTCTCAGTATCCTGCAGTTGATGAACTGGGTGATGGGAGCATCAGACACTGATTTGTTGGACGGCATGTTTTCCTCTCTCAGCAGACGAGTGGAGACAGTCCGCTCTTCCCGCTCGGCTTCAGATGAACGGGAGACACAGTAGAATAAATCAAACGCTCCACAGGAACGTCACAGGTGAGTGTTGGAAGATTGAGCATTCAAACTGTGACTTAAACGGACTTCAAGGAGTTTCTAACTGGGGGTTCAGTGAAGGCGGTGTTCAACCAGTCTCTTTCAGGCTATTTTTTATATAGTTATTTTTAATGGCTGCCTCTGGATTCCTCTTGAAATCAATGAAACACTACCGCTTTTGTCCAAATGGGGCACCAGAATCAACACAACATGAAAGTGTTCTTATAGCTGCTTAAAAACGAGGGTAGGTAGCATAAAAGTATAATTTCCAAATAAAAATCCTTAAAAGTAAACACCCACTAATTTAATTTATTTAGTTATTTGTTGTGTTTATTTTCTTTTGATATTTATTTATCTATTTCTAATTTCTAATCTATTAAATATGCTAATTTTGTTTAATTTCTAAAGTTTTCCAGCAACACAAGATGTCTCCTCCTTCACTGTAAAGTCCATCCTCAGTGTCTGATCTCACTGTAGAAGCATTAAGCCATAGTTAGTTTTTATTTACTGCTCTCACTGAGTATGCAGCGGGATTAAATGATATCTGATATCTTATCACTGTAGGTGCAGCCGCTGACTTTGACCTCTGATCTTCTTTATGATCTCATGGCGGCTTTATATTATGTTGCAATAAGCAAATTACTGTCAAACTGTGCACAGGTGTGTACTATTATTACCTGGCTGTCTTTGGGGAAACTCTGTGCTCTGCCTGAAAACACACAATGCCAAACTCCATCTAGAAATTAATCAATTTAAGTCTTCCTTTGCTCTGACCTTCTCTACACACCTGAAGAGAGAAAGCATACACTAAATAACTCTGTCTGCAGTTTACTGTATGAACACTGTATACAGGCCAGAGGTGGAAGAAGTGTTCAGGTATTTTACTTAATGTACAAAACCATTCATGTAAAGTTAATACAGAAGCTATGAGTAAAGACCCTGAATTTAAAATCCTACTCCAGTAAAAGTATAATCTGCCAGACTCCATTCAGAAAAGAACCCATTTAAGACTTCCTTAGCTCCTGACTTTTTCTACATACCTTAAGGGAGAAATATGTATGATGTCTGCGACTCGGTGCAATCCAGTTGTCAATTCGGTGCACACTAAATGCGCAATACAATCCCAATTCCTGTCCGATTTAAACTTGTCCAACCGTCACCACGTCGCTCTTCTTCCACAAAAACACCGGAGCGAGGCGCGGGAGGCTAACGTCAAACTACCGTATTTTGAACCGAGTTCGGCGACGGTACATTCCGCATTTCCCTTCACCTATTTTGCCAAAAAACAGGCAAAAAAAACACACAATAACCAAACTATTGTTTTACAGTGTTAGTTTACTTATCTGGTGTTGTTCAGTTCAGCTGAGTCTGACGGATAGAAACAGGGGGAAACGGATGTCATGTGACGAGCCGGAGCTGCAGGTCAGCTGATCACAACAGAAAATAACTGTCTCTGCAGTTTACTGAATAAATAATGTGTACTTTTACTCAATGTACAAATAATAATAATAATAATAATAATAATAATAATACTGCATTAGCTGTAAGTAAAATCCTTCTATTTAAGTTTCATCAGTTAAATGTAAAAACTCTCCTGTGACATTTTTAGATTGTTTAATGATGATTATTAATGATTTTGGAAGAAAAGTTTTGTTAAATTACATTAAGAGGTTGTTAGGTATTCACATAGTCTGACAGTTATCTCTATAATGAGAGCGTCTGACCAACTACGGAAGCCCTGAGAGGCAAGTGACTAAAATCAATCCGGTGATCCATTTTTCAAAGTCTGATCTAAATAGTTTTCTCTCCTGTGTTTATACAAAGAACACGTTAAATAACAGCCTTACTGTTTTGGTAAGATGGGTTGGATGAGGAGGAGGATTTTCATTTTACAGAGAGCCACTGCAGAGAAGCTAATACAGGAGAAATATGATCTATTTTCCTAGTTCCTGTCAGTGGACTTATTGGGGCAACCTGATAATGAGGAGTTGCAGTAATCCAGCCTAGAAGTAACAAATGCATGGATTAGTTTTTCTGCTTTATGTGGGAGTTAAAGGACAAACCCTGATCAAAGATTCCTGCCATGGTGCTGGAGGCCAAGGTAAAACCATCTAGAGTAACTATATCTTTGGATAAAGATGTTTCCTGTGCCACAGGATAGATCCACCGCCATGAAGAGGAGAGAGGGAAACCTGATAATGAGGAGTTGCAGTAATCCAGCCTAGAAGTAACAAATGCATGGATTAGTTTTTCTGCTTTATGTGGGAGTTAAAGGACAAACCCTGAACAAAGATTCCTGCCATGGTGCTGGAGGCCAAGGTAAAACCATCTAGAGTAACTATATCTTTGGATAAAGATGTTTCCTGTGCCACAGGATAGATCCACCGCCATGTAGATGATCTTAACATGAATTTCTGCTCCTTTTTCCCTTTGCTGATTGTGGCCAAAGAGTCCTGTTTTAACCATTTTGTTTATGTTTCTACATTCAGAATTCTTTTTTTTAATGTTAATACAATTTGCTGAGAAAACAGGTCCAATTGAATAAAAAGTGTATTGGTTTTTACATATATTGTACAATAGTAACAATAACCATAACAGTAGTTCTCAGTATCTTAAAAGTAAAATAGCGACAGGAGAGGAATGAAACAGAGGAAGAGGAGCCAGTTTGTATCCAGTTAATTAGTCAGTAAATGCTAACGTTATCTATCATCCATCGTATCGAACAGTCAGACTACTAAATAGATAGAAACATCCACCCAAATGACGCACATAGACTGACCGCGTATAAAGTATAGGGTATAGGTAACAGTATCCCACAATACAAATATCAATATGAGAATGTTAAAACCAGTGAAAATAAATGTAACCAGACTACCTGTCAACAAGTTCAGTAAGTAAACAAAGGAACTGCAACAATATTAATAATATTACAAAATCTTAAATGTTCAAAAAACGTTCAGTTCAAATAAATAGAACAAAAAATTAATAAAATGCAAATAAAGCCGCCCTCTTTTACAGTGAATGTCCAACCCAGGCGATGACTGTGATGTTGGTGGAGATGAAGGTGAGACGGCAGACAGACGACGGCTCCAGAAGATCCAACGGAGGAGCTCTATAGAAAAGTCAGCCTACACACAGGTGGAGGAAAATTACTCATCACAGGTCCATAAATGTCTATTGAGATCCTTGAGGTATTCTGTGAGGACATAGTAACTCACAGCACACCTCGAGGTACATCAATTCAACATAAAACATAACAATAAATGTGGATTGATATAATTTATAATATATATGTTATGTATATATGTTATGGAGAGAATTACATTCAAACTAAGGAACCAAACTGATATTTTTGAAGAGAACAGGTCAAAATGGCTCAGCTATGTGTCAACTGTAAGACCTGATTTCATATAGGTTGCAACGATAAGGTTGAATCTAATGACAGTCGAATTTAATAAGAAATGTTTTTTCCCTATTTTTAAGCAGCATCTTTATATTTTTATGTATGATGTGCTTATGTTGACTGCTGTTTTACTTAATGCACAGATCCTCCCCTCGTTATGTTATGTTATGTTATGTTGTATGTTTTGTGCCCAGCTGGCACATATGTGTTTGTTACTAAAAGAAAACAAATGAAAAGTAAATTAAAAAGTGATTAGCAGGATTCAGTCAGACTGATCTTAAAGCTGTGACAAAGATGACCAACCCTCCACTAACCCTCACTGACCTCACAGTCTCCAGTCGATATTTTGGACTCTCCACAAGTTCAGATAGTGGCCTCACGCCTGAATCCTCCAATTTGTTTCCCCACAGCTCCAACTCTCTCAGATGCAAGGGGTTGGACTTCAGCGCTGAGGCCAGATAATCACAGCTGGTCGGTGACAAACTGCAGATACGCAATCTGAATAAAGAATAAATATCAGCCTTATGTCTGCAGGTTAGTGCTCATCACATCAGATTGATCTCAGCACGGATGTAAAACATGGTGCCTGACCTCAGAGTCTCCAGTCCACATTGTGGATTCTCCAGAGAACCACACAGCAGCTTCACTCCTGAATCCTGCAGGTTGTTGTCACTCAGCTCCAGCTCTCTCAGATGGGAGGGGTTGGACTTGAGAGCAGAGGCCAGATAATCACAGCTGATCTCTGACAAACTGCAGTCAGTTAATCTGAATAAAGGATAAATTATGTCGATTTAGAAGACAATTTTACTGCTTGAAATCTGTGTTTTATAAGGTTTATTATGTAGAAGTTTACAAACACCTGAACCCAGCAGGAAGCAGGTTGAAAACTGTAAAATACATCCATCCAACTCATTTCCACCTGTTTCTACAGATGTTCTTAAGTCATAAACACGAGAAAAAAAACAACTAAGATCAGATTTATAAAGTGGATCACCACAATTGGATTTTTCTAACTTGTCTTTATTATCATTTATTTTTTAAGGGAACATAAGGTGAAAACCAAATGTTTAATTGGCTCAGAGTGAATTTTCCAGTGAAGAGTTTTCTTGTTATATTCAGGTTTTAAGTATATAGCTCTGCCTCAGTCAACGCACCAAACCACTGAGGAAGAAAACAGACGTTTAGCATGAAGATACTCAGATTGGATCAGTATAATATCAGCCTTATGTCTGCAGGTTACTGTGAGCACAACGTTTCAAACATGGTTTCTGACCTCAGAATCTCCAGACCACATTGTGGATTCTCCAGAAAACCACACAGCAGCTTCACTCCTGAATCCTGCAGCTTGTTGTAATCCAACTCGAGCACTCTCAGATGGGAGGGGTTGGACTTCAGAGCCAAGGCCAGAGACACAAAACTAACCTCTGACAAACTGCACTCGCTCAATCTGAATAAAGGATAAATTATGTCGATTTAGAAGACAGTGTTCCTGTTTGAAATCAGTGTTTAAATAAGGTTTATAATGTAGAAGTTTACAAACACCTGAACTCAGCAGGAAGCAGGTTGAAAACTGTAAAATACATCCTCTATAAACTATCTGTAGGCACAATATCAAAATTAAGTGTCTGCACTTAACTGTTATCACAAAGTTACAAACATGGTGTCTGACCTCAGAGTCTCCAGTCCACATTGTGGATTGTCCAGAGAACCACACAGCAGCTTCAGTCCTGAATCCAGCTTGTTTTTATTCAGATCCAGCTCTTTCAGATGGGAGGGGTTGGACTTCAGAGCTGAGGCCAGATACCCGCAGCTGACCTCTGACAAACTGCAGGTCCTCAATCTGAATAAAGAATAAACTATGTAACTTAAGATCACAATGTGTTACCTGAAATTACTCAGTGTTTAATAATTTAGGGTGTAGAGTTTAGAAAATGGAAACTGGAATAAACTGCAAAACAATTTTCAGAGACACTATAATAATGTCTAATATAGATAATGTTAGAGAACTATCTTGTTGTGATGTTTTTGTCCATAATCTGATCTCTGTCTGTCTCTTTTGTAAAATATCTTTACAATAAGTAGAATAACTAAAGCTGAACTATCTCACTAAATTAACCTGCTAACTTTTAGGTTGAAACAAATGATGAAATCCTATTTTATAGTTTTAAATCTGACACTTTCAACCATTTAAATCTTATTATAACAGATACAATATGTCCCATCTCTGCATTAAACTGTCTATAAACACTAGAGCTATGTTCTATATGTAATTGAGTTTATTCAGGTAACGCTGCGTTTCACCGGTCGCCTGTCGATGGCGTCATATCCCCTTTGTGCCTGCGTCAGCGTTGTGGTTGTCTGCCAGAAGATGTCATACATTGACTGTTTATCCAGTCTGAAGCCTCATTGTTACCATAAAAAAAAAACAGTGTCTGACCTCAGAGTCTCCAGTCTACAGTGTGGACTCTCCAGAAAATCACACAGCAGCTTCACTCCTGAATCCTGCAGCTTGTTGTTGTCGCTCAGGTCCAGCTCTCTCAGATGGGAGGGGTTGGACTTTAGAGCCGAGGCCAGATAACCACAGCTGACCTCTGACATATTGCTGTAAGTCAAGCTGAATAAAGAATAGAAAAACTGATAAAAATCAATTTATATTTGCTATGATCAAATCTAATATAGTGTTGCTTTAAATGTCACAAAAATCATAAATATCAATTCAATTCTGCAGCACGTTGAAGGATAAATCCGTTTTCTTACGAACACGAATACAATTTGAGTAGCCTACAGAGTAAATTCAGAGATTGTGTTATCAGACAAACCTAGAAAACAAATCAAACTGAGGAGATTTTAAAAATAGATTTAAATTAGGAAGATTTACACAAAACAAAACACATAAACTGACCTCAGAGTCTCCAGTCTACAGTGTTGACTCTCCAGTCCAGCAGACAGCAGCTTCACTCCTGAATCCTTCAGTTCCCTGTTCCCAGTCAGGTCCAGCTCTCTCAGATGGGAGGGGTTGGACTTCATAACAGAGACCAAAACTTCACAGTGAGCATCTGAGAGTTTACAATGAGTAAGCCTGTGGATACAGATGAAATAAAACTATTAAACTATTAAAATATAATAAATCAGACACAGTAAAAATACTAGGGATGTCCCCTTATAGTTGATCATTGAGTGAGTGAGTTAAGTAACTGTTAAGATTATACATCATCCATCGTATTGCTATGTCCGTATTTGTTTTTTGTGAAGTTATTTATTCTAGGCCACCCCCTCATAGTCGACTTAACCGTTGATGAGAAGAGAAGTATATAGTTGATGAGGAGAGTCTTGGTCGCTGCACTTTTCATTAGTCGCGTAGACGCAGAAAAACAAAACTTAAACTCTGTTCAGGAGCTGGACCTTGTCACCGGGATAAAACTATTGCAATTGTTGCAACACAGACCTTTTCTCTAGTAACACAGTTACTTGCACTGCTGCTGCTACTAGCTAGTCAGTGATGCTACCTGGACTGGAAGCTCAAAGGACAGGGGGAGTTTAAACACTATTCCTGTGGAAGCTGGGGACCTTGCGGGGAATGCTGCCTGGGATTGGGGCCGGTATGAGTGACAGAACCAGAGCAGGGCAAGCACGCAACTGAACCAGGCTCACAGCCTCGAAGACCAACTGAGGCCGGCTGATGTCCAGCTTCTCCGACCAGGACTCTGACTCTGGGGTTGAAGACACGACGGGTTCAGGCAGCAACGGGAGAGGAATGAAACGGAGGAAGAGGAGCCAGTTGTAGCAACTTAAGTAGCTTAACCTTATCCATTATCCAGGTTAATCGATAAGTCCACCAGGATTTGTGTTTCCGTTTGCTTTGTTTTGTGGGAGTTATTTTACCACAGTTATTGTTCCGCCTTGCCGTGAGGAGGGGAAGGCTGAAGGGACAAATAGCTGATAAATGTTTGTATGTTTGTATATTGATGTTAAAATGACTCATGATTAGATAGATAGATAGATAGATAGATAGATAGATAGATAGATAGATAGATAGATAGATAGATAGATAGATAGATAGATACTTTATTTATCCCGAGGGAAATTCAAGTATTAGTAATTTCAAGATTAGTAGACTATCATGTAAAGGCTTTCCTCGTGCATTTAGCTTAACGTTGCTTTATAATGTTGATAATTAAATCAGGACTTACAGAGCCTTTCTGCAGTTCCTCACAGCTGGAAGCAGCCTCAGTCGTCCCTCGTCTGTTGTTTTGTACTCCTTCAGGTTGAACTCATCCAGAACCTCCTCTGACATCTGCAGCATGTAGGCCAGAGCTGAGCAGTGGATCTCAGAGAGTTTCTTCTCCGATCTGTCCTCTGACTTCAGGAACTCTTGGATCTCCTGATGGACTGAGTGGTCGTTCATCTCCATCAGACAGTGGAAGATGTTGATGCTTCTGTCAGGAGAGATTTTTGTCTTCTTCTTTTTTAGGTTGCTGATGGCTCTCTGGATGATTTCTGGTCTGTTGTCTGTCTGACCCAGCAGGCCTCCAAAGAGTCTCTGGTTGGACTCCAGATAGAGACCATGAAGGAAGCGGACAAAGAGGTCCAGGTGGCCATTTTTACTATTCAGGGATTTTGTCATTACTCCCATCAGGAAGACATCCATAGTTGAATCCACATGTTTTTTTCCCAGGAAAGCTTCTAGTACCTCTTTGTTCCTGTTGGTGTGACAGTGGAACATGTAGACTGCAGCCAGAAACTCCTGAATGCTCAGATGAACGAAGCAGTAGACTGTTTTCTGGAAGATCACACACTCTCTTTTGAAGATCTCTGTACAAACTCCTGAGTACACCGAGGCCTCTGTGACATCAAGACCACACTGCTCCAGGTCTTCTTGGTAGAACATGATGTTTCCTTTCTCCAGCTGTTCAAACGCCAGCCTCCCCAGCTTCAGAAGAACATCCCTGTCAGCCTCCATCAGCTCCTGTGGACTCGTCTCATGTCCATCATCATACTTCTGCTTCTTCCTCTTTGTCTGAACCAGCAGGAAGTGTAAGTACATGTCAGTCAGGGTCTTGGGCAGCTCCCCTGTCTGGTTTGTAGTCAACATGTGCTCCAGAACTGTAGCAGTGATCAAGCAGAAGACTGGGATTAGACACATGATGTGGAGGCTCCTGGAGGTCTTGATGTGTGAGATGATTCTGCTGGACAGCTCTTCATCAGTGATCCTCTTTCTGAAGTACTCCTCCTTCTGGGCATCAGTGAAACCTCGTACTTCTGTTACCCTGTCAACACATTCAGGAGGGATCTGATTGGCTGCTGCAGGTCTGGAAGTTATCCAGACGAGAGCCGAGGGAAGCAGATTCCCCTTGATGAGGTTTGTCAACAGCACGTTGACTGAAGACTTCTGTGTGAAGTCAGACACAACCACTTTGTTATTGAAATCCAGGGAAAGTCTGCTTTCATCCAGGCCATCAAAGATGAACAAAGGTTTACAGACAGCGAGCTGCTCTGCTGTGACCTTCTGTAATGTTGTATGGAAGACATGGAGCAGCCTGAGAAGACTGTACTGCTCATCTTTGATCAAGTTCAGCTCCCTGAACGAAAGCAGAACCACCAGACTGACATTTTGGTTTTCCAAACCCTCTGCCCAGTCCAGAGTGAACTTCTGCACTGAGAAGGTTTTTCCAACGCCAGCAACGCCGTTCGTCAGAACCACTCTGATGTGTCTCTGTTGGTCAGGTAAGGCTTTAAAGATCTCGTGGCACTTGATTGGAGTCTCATGGAGGGTCTCCATCTTGGAAGCTGTCTCAAGCTGCATCACCTCATGTTGGGTATTGACCTCTTCACTCTGTCCCTCTGTGATGTAGAGCTCAGTGTAGATCCTGTTGAGGAGGGTTCCACTTCCTGCTTTATCAGTTCCTTCAGTCACACATTCACATCTCGTCCTCAGACTGATCTTGTGTTCATCTAAAACCTCCTGCAGACCATTGCTCTCTAAAAAAGAGAACAAGTGTGAGATAAAACAACATAACATCCGCAAATTATTTTCATTGCTGATATAAAAACAGTCAATACAGGAATAGATGAAGAAGTACAGATTATGAAGTCCACCAGAAATTAAAGTGGTCATACTTTCTTGAAGTAAAAAATAACATCAGTGATTTTTATTTTTATAATTAAGATTCTGAAGCAATTTATGTATTATTTTTTATTTATGAAACCCTTTTAACCGCCAATAAGTGAACAGGTTGTAACGTAATTTAAAAGATGAGACCTTACTTCTGACTTCCTCTGCTGTCTGTGGACTGATTTCTGTGTTTCTATGTAGGGATGAGGGTCAAAGGATGCAACGTTTATGCTCCCGAGTGGAACAAATATAGTAGTGTAGTCAGACAGATGTACGGTCTTACTTTGTAGAGTGTTGGTCTGAATGGCTGTCTGCAGTCCAGGTCTTGTGGTGGATTTCTCTCCAAGATGGGAAAAGGAGGAGTTTCCGGATGTACCAAAGCTGGTAGAAAAATAAGTGATTAATAAAGTGATTTGTTGATTGCTGAAAAGTATCAGTATTTGATCGACACAGTCTAGAAGCTCAGATGCTCACAGAGATTTAAACTCTCCTCCTTCTATGTACCCTAATTAACTGCTTGTCCTATCTGACTGTCTTATTAAACATTGCTGATCCGCCTGTAGTTTGTTGATTAATTGAAACAGCACTTTTAATTCTCATCGCATCATGACACTTTTTGTCTTGATCCTCAATGTATCATCTTCATCAGGTCGGTTTAAAGTAAAAGCTGCCTCTTACTTTGTGTCTGTGGGTCGAAGTTCATTACTGAAGAATGGAGGTTCATCTTTGGAAAAGTCACTCTTCATAGACAGACAGCTGGACACTGGAGACTCTGCTCTCTGTCTGCTGAACTGAACTCTGCAAACAACAACATGTAATTATGTGAATGTTTGATCAATTCTCTGATAACAAAGTCATTCAGGAATTTCTAAATACTCAATCATTTGGATGTTTTACAAGTTTGTAATTGTCATCTTTGATTAGATCACAGCTTTATTAGTTGATAACCAGATGGGACCAAGTCAGTGTTTTGCAAGTCACAAGTTTCAAGTAATAGCACTCAAGTCTCAGGTTCTAAACATTCAGTTTCAAGTCCTAAACAAGTCAATCTGTTTTCCACCAAATCTAATGACATTTGAACAACAGAACAAACCAAGCAAATTGATCTTTGGAATAATTATTTCCAACTTGCGCTCAGTAACGTAATGTTGGTTCTTCATGGTTCTCCCCTGCAACCTGATTGGATGCTGTCGGATCGGTTACTAAATGGATCAGAGGAATCAAGTGTCGACTTGCTGGGAATTAATAATGTTATAGTTGTTAGTAAATAAGGGGAAATAATTAGATTCTTGGCACACTTTTTAAAAGCAAACTTTTTAATATTTGGGTTTCGGGGAATGTGTCAAGTATTTCCTTAAGTCAAAAAGTCAGAGTGAAGTCATAAATCATTGGTATACTGGCCAAAATCAGTGGATGGGATCAAATCAACAAAACAAACATGGTCTCAGCACAATGAGTCATATAAATGAGTTAGTATCAAGTATCTTACTGTTTGTCTGAGGGTCGAGGTTCATTACTGAAGAATGGAGGTTCATCTTTGGAAAAGTCACTCTTCATAGACAGACAGCTGGACACTGGAGACTCTGCTCTCTGTCTGCTGAACTGAACTCTGTAAACAACAACATGTTATAACGTAAATGTTTGATCAATTCTCTGATAATAATAATAATAATAATACATTTTATTTAAAGGCGCCTCTCTGGGCACTCGAGGACACCATACAACACGTAAAAAAAATAAATAAATACAATTAAAATGAATACTCAATCATTTGGATGTTTTACAAGTCTGTAGTTGTCATCTTTGATTAGATCACAGCTTTATTAGTTGATAACCAGATGGGACCAAGTCAGTGTTTTGCAAATCACAAGTTTCAAGTAATAGCACTTAAGCTACCAGTCCTAAACGTTCAGTTTCGAGTCCTAAACAAGTCAATGCCTTCTCCACCAAATATAATGTTATTTTAACAACAGAAAAAAACAAACAAAATTATTTTGGTTATTATTTTTTCTAACTGGTGCTCAGTAACGTAATGTTGGTCCTTTATGGTTCTCTCCTGCAACCTGATTGGATGTTGTCTGATCGGTTCAAACTAAGTGGATCTGAGGAATCCAGTGTCGACTTGGTGGGAAATAATATAATTAATGTTAGTTGTTTTTGAAAATGGAAGGAAATCAACTGATTCTTGGCACACTTTTTAGATAACATATTTATAATCTTTGGGTTTCAGAGAAGGTATCAAGTATTTTGAAGTCAAAAGGCTCAAGTCAAAGTGAAGTCATGAATCATTGGTGTTAAAGTCCAAATCTTTTTTTTGATTTTCTGTCTAAAGTCATCAAATTTATGACTCGAGTCTGACTTGAGTCCACACCTCTGCTGACAGCTGTCACAGATACTGAGAGGAAGAAGAGACAAATCTCTTTGTCATGAGTAGGAATGTGCTGATCCGATACTCAGTATGGGTCCGATACTGGCCAAAATTAGTGGATGGGATCAAGTCAACAAAACAAACATGGCGTCAGCACGAGTCATATAGATGAGTTAGTATCAGTTCTCTTACTGTGTGTCAGAGGGTCGAGGCTCATTACTGAAGAATGGAGGTTCATCTTTGGAAAAGTCACTCTTCATAGACAGACAGCTGGACACTGGAGACTCTGCTCTCTGTCTGCTGAACTGAACTCTGCAAACAACAACATGTAATTATGTGAATGTTTGAGTATTTAGAAATTCCTGAATGACTTTGTTATCAGAGAATTGATCAATCATTTGGATGTTTTACAAGTTTGTACTTGTCATCTTTGATTAGATCACAGCTCTATTAGTTGATAACCAGATGGGACCAAGTCAGTGTTTTGCAAGTCACAAGTTTCAAGTAATAGCACTCAAGTCTCAGATTCTAAACATTCAGTTTCAAGTCCCAAACAAGTCAATCTGTTTTCCACCAAATCTAATGCCATTTGAACAACAGAACAAACCAAGCAAATTGATCTTTGGAATAATTATTTCCAACTGGCACTCAGTAACGTAATGTTGGTTCTTCATGGTTCTCTCCTGCAACCTGATTGGATGCTGTCGGATCGGTTACTAAATGGATCAGAGGAATCAAGTGTCGACTTGCTGGGAATTAATAATGTTATAGTTGTTAGTAAATAAGGGGAAATAATTAGATTCTTGGCACACTTTTTAAAAGCAAACTTTTTAATATTTGGGTTTCGGGGAATGTATCAAATATTTCTTTAAGTCAAAAAGTCAGAGTGAAGTCATAAATCATTGGCATACTGGCCAAAATCAGTGGATGGGATCAAATCAACAAAATAAACATGGCGTCAGCACGAGTCATATAGATGAGTTAGTATCAGTTCTCTTACTGTGTGTCAGAGTGTCGAGGCTCATTACTGAAGAATGGAGGTTCATCTTTGGAAAAGTCACTCTTCATAGACAGACAGCTGGACACTGGAGACTCTGCTCTCTGTCTGATGAACTGAACTCTGCAAACAACAACATGTTATAACGTGAATGTTTGATCAATTCTCTGATAACAAAGTCATTTAGGAAGTTCTAAATGCTCAATCATTTGGATGTTTCACAAGTTCATTGCCAGTCAAAAGGCTCAAGTCCGAGGGAAGTCACAAGTCATTGGTGTTAAAGTCCAAGTCTTTTCTTGATTTTGTCAACTTGAGTCTGAAGTCATTTAATTTGTGACTTGAGTCTGACTTGAGTCCACACCTCTGCTGACAGCTGTCACAGATACTAAGAGGAAGACTCTCTTTGTCATGAGTCATGAAAAGTTTTAAATATAGGTGGCAAATACATTTTAGTAGAGATTTGAATATGCAAAAAAAATGAAAAGAAAATCAACTCAACAAACATGGCGTCAGCAGAATGAATCATATAAATTACTTAGTATCAATTATCTTTCTTTGTGTCTGAGGGTCGAGGTTCATTACTAAAGAATGGAGGTTCATCTTTGGAAAAGTCACTCCTCATAGACAGACAGCTGGACACTGGAGACTCTGCTCTCTGACTGCTGAACTGAACTCTGCAAAGAACATGTTATGTGATTGTTTGATCAATTATCTGATAACAAAATAATTTAGGAAGTTCTAAATACTCCATCATTTTAATGTTTTACAACTTTTTATCTGTCCTCTTTGATTAGATCACAGCTTTATTAGTTGACAACCAGGTGGGACCAAGTCAATATTTTGCAAGTCACAAGTAGGTTTCAAGTCATTGCACTCAAGTCTCAGATCCTAAACTTTAAATTTTGAGTCCTAAACAAGTCCATGCGTTCTCCACCAAATATAATGCCATTTAACAACAGAACGAAAGTTGGTTCTTCATAGTTCTCACCTGCAACCTGATTGGATGCTGTTGGATCAGTTCAAACAAAGTGGATCTGGGGAATCAAGTGTTAACTTTGCTGGGAATTAGTAGAATTACTATTAGTTGTTTTCGAAAATGGAAGGAAATTAGCTGATTCTTGCCACACTTTTTAGATGACATACTTTTTAATCTTTGGGTTTCAGAGAAGGTATCAAGTATTTTTAAGTTAAAAGGCTCAAGTCAAAGTGAAGTCATGAAACATTGGTGTTAAAGTCCAAATCTTTTTTTGATATTCTGTCTAAAGTCATCAAATTTATGACTCGAGTCTGACTCTAGTCCACACCTCTGCTGACAGCTGTCACAGATACTGAGAGGAAGACGGGGCAAATCTCTTTGTCATGAGTAGGAATGTGCCGATCCGATACTCAGTATGGGTCCGATACTGGCCAAAATTAGTGGATGGGATCAAATCAACAAAACAAACATGGCGTCAGCACGAGTCATATAGATGAGTTAGTATCAGTTATCTTACTGTGTGTCTGAGGGTCGAGGCTCATTACTGAAGAATGGAGGTTCATCTTTGGAGAAGTCACTCTTCATAGACAGACAGCTGGACACTGGAGACTCTGCTCTGTCCTCGTCTTCCTCCACACAAACGCTCATCTTCTGGTCTGCAGTCAGTCTGAGCTGCAAAACAGGAACACAGACGAGTTTGTTTGAGGGGTCAAGCGCAGGACAGCAATAACAGGAATGTATTATGTAATACCCCCCACGCTCTCTGTCTCTCTCTCTCACACACTTTCTCTCTCTCACACATGCACACAGAGTCACTCAAAGTCCAAAGTCCAGATGTTTCTTTATAGCAGATTTAATGTCCACTTTGTGTCCACAGATTAATTAAACTTCAGTCCACAGAGATAAGATAATAAAAATGTTGTATTAACACACACTTGGCCGCAGCTCTCTTCCTCTTGCGGGACTCAAGATTCTGAGTCTGAACTAAGTGAATGTGTTTCAGTGTTGCTCCTCCTCTCTTCATTTACAGGAAATCCGTTTTTAATGTGTGTGTGTGTGTGTGTGTGTGTGTGTGTGTGTGTGGGCGGTGGGCGGTAGAGGGGTGTTTAAACCCATTTCAACATCTAACCTTTGATATCAGCAGAGGAGGCCCGTCAAGATTACGTCCTCTCCCCCGGACTCCTCCTCCCTCGCAACAGTTGTACATCCCGTCCCAGTTTAGTCAGTTGGCGTCTGTACATCTAAAACGGAAGTGTGCTGTAGTTGTGATAGAAACACTCCTTCTGCAGTGCATTTGTCAAACAAGAAGCCTATTAAGTGTGTATGATTGTTTAAAAACGACGTAGGCAGAGAATGGACCAAACACAACAGACCCTTCTTTTAGGAAATGTACGAAAGCACTCACACAAAAAAGAGACAGTTGATATTTCATTAATTGTATTAAAGCAATAAAAGAGCCTCCATGCAGATTAAATGAGGTTTTGCGATCACTACTTGGTGGAGAAGTTAAAGTTAGGACAGCTTATCCTAAAGTTAGGAGAGTTTATTTAAGATTGTATGAAGTTAGGATGCTTGTGTAATACACTTTTCCTATCTTGAGGTCAGGATAGGAACATTGATTGAGCAGCTGCTCATCTGTAATCGCTTTTAATGGCAGGATCTGCACGTTAGGAGGTTTCTGTAACACGTTCCCAAAGAATATGGGTTCAGGAAGTTCTTCAAAGAGATTCCAACACAAGACAGAGGACATCATTAAGGACTTCAGAGAGGTTTCCCCAGGTTTGTGTCCACCCAATGCGCCCTCATTATCAAACACCTATCATTCATCAGTAATTAATGCTTGATCCTTTGTTGAGGAATCTCTGTATTTCAAAAACTCATTCCTCGCGCGTTCGTTTAATGAAGCAATAGGAGAAGATTTAGTTTACTCAATAATCAGCTTTATTCTTAACACCAGTAGAATGTGCAAAGTTTACAAAGCTCTGGGTTCAACAACGATTAACCTGACATGCACAAGGTCTGCCAGTTCACGAAGTCTGAGCAACCTCTTGTTCCTAACATCAGTTCTTATATTATTGCAGATAACACACATAGCACCAGATGGTAGAATCTCCACCCTTCGTCCACTTGGTATCTCGACTCCAAGGATGGTGTTGTTGGGGTAGCCACAACCTGGAACTGGAAGGAGTCCGTCTGGCTCCATCATTGTTTTGTCTGATACTGACCTCGGAGTCGTGTTTATCGCTATCTCTCCAAAAGAATGTCATGTTATATCTGCAACTACCCACACTCTTCTCCCTTATACTGTGTCTGCTATTCATATTCATTAATAAGTTATAATTCTATAACACATCATACAAACATCTAATATTCCCTTAACAGCCCTTTATCAATGTAAGCATAATCAATGTAAGTACGAGTAAACATATTTCTATTCTAGTTAATAATCATACAGGTAAAAATATATAGAGTATAAATCACAGAATATCGCAACACCTTCCAGTAGTCATATTTCACCCTTATGGACACTTTTATTACTGATAATCCATCATTACTTCATTATTAGCTTCACCATCATGTTTAATTTGAACTTTAATTTCATTTTATTTGTTTGTTTTTGCTGCGACAAAGAGAGAATCCCTGGGCAGGTAGACATAAAAGTCCATCAGATAATAAATAGAATCAATATGATAATAAATACAAGTCAATCAGATTGTATTACACAGGTTATTTTATTATATTAAATTATTCATTGTTAATTTTTGACCTTTAACCTGAGTTAAAGTTAAGTTATCAGAAGAGAATGAGGAAAAATCAACTGGTGCCTGATGCTCTTAAAATTATTCTACCCCTGAAGTTAGTTAGTGTGTGTGTGTGTGTGTGTGTGTGTGTGTGTGTGTGTGTGTGTGTGTTCTGTCATTAAAGGTAAATCTCCACTAGAGGGAGCTAAAGTACAACATTTGACATTCCTCCTGCTCTGATGAGCTGTTTGGGTTTTTGTACCAGAAAACTTATCTCTGATCAATATTCAGAGAATCTTTCTTTATCAGCTGTTCTCTACTGTTATTGTTATACATCAAATATAATATTAAATATCCATAAAACAACTTCAGTCAGGGGTCGTCCCTGTGCTTATATAGCAGCTTGGTGTATGTTTATGAATCTACTGCTATAATTAATGTCTTTAGTTAACGTCTGAGAGGCTTTCTATCAGATGACCTTTCATTATTTTATGCATGTTTGTAGGTTTTTGTACTTTTACTTCAGTAAAGTATCCAAATACACCTGATTACATCTTCCACCACTGTTATATATATATACACTGGGAAAAAATCACCAGGTTTTCACAATAAAAATAAGTATTTTTACAGTGATTTTCACCTAGATTACTGTAAAATAATTTAATTTAAAATTGTATTTATTTATTATTATTATTTATTATTAGCCTTATTTATTGTAAAAGTCCAGTAATATATTTTACAGTGCAAGTGTGAGCATGCACTACCACCACGTGCAGGTTGAGGGCCTGACCTGACCTGGACGATGGAGTTAAAACCCCGCTGAGACGATATTCCCACTACCAGGAAGTGCTGCCCCCAAACTCCGTCTCCAACCCGCACCCCCGCCTTCCCGCTCCGGCACAGAGCAGCAGCCCCCCTCCCCATTCCTGAAAGTCAACAATAAACCACGTTTCCAGTAAGCCGGATACCTCTCCAAGTCCTGCTCATCCCCATGGAGACCACTACGAGAGTCCACAGCCCTGTGTCCTCTGGCCAAACCAGGCCACCCATGAGGGGAGAGAGAGGCTATATTTTACCCAATATGGATCAAAATGTGGAACTCCTCTGGGAAACGCTGCGAATGCTCCTCTGTTTTCTCTGTGTGGACACAAAGAACAGAGTTGGCAGCAGCTCCGGTGCATATTTGAGGCGAGCAGCAGTGGCGGTGTACGATATTTTACGGCCTCAGTGTCCCCTCTTTTGTGAGACGTGACGTCAGCATTCCCCTCGGTGCTGCGTGAGTGACACAGTAGCTTTGTTTTGGAGTCGCCACATCTCATTCACGGCCGCTTAACTCCTGAGTCCGGGGGCTGCGCGGTGGCCTTTCAGGATCCCTGATTCCTTAATCCGCTGGTTTTTTAAGGCACTGAATAAGCGGCCGTTTGTATGCTCAGTCCAGGGGCGGCGGGGTGCTTCTGCTTTATGTGAATTGTTGACTTGCAAAACACGCCCTTAAGGCACCGAGTGACTGATACAACGAGGGGACGACTGCCAGGAAGGTCATGGTGGAAGGTCAGTCACATGTGGATGGTGCAGAGAAACAAGATCCAAAGAAATAAAAGATGGCAAAGAGTTAAAGATTCAAGTCAATTAATTTGTTTTAATACAGCCAAATATCCAAAATTCAACATGATGGTTTTTCAGAGCATCCAAATGGCGGCTCGCCTGCTCACACAGGATCTGATATTCCAGATAAACAGTAAAATGTGTTTGTGAACAGATTTGGGGAGAGAAATAGTCAACAACAGAATGTGGATCCATATCTGATCAGCACTGTTTGACAGTTTGATCTGAGTTTGGTGTGTTGAGCTGGACGGACTCACTGAGAATGAGCTGTCAATCACAAGGTAGCCCCGCCCTAAAGCATACCCTGCTTTATGGTCTGTTTTACTCTAAATGGGACCATCAGTTACTAAATGAACATCATGCTGTATGGAAGAAGACTGAAACTAGAGACTGAGACCAGAAACTCATCAGGAAACTGTTTACTAAGCTCATAAATCAACTGAGAAATCAGATCATTTCTCCATAAGACTGAACGGTATCTGTTTATATTGCAACCAGTGTAGCTGCCCCCTGCTGGTCATTACAGACAATGCAGGTTTGAGAACCTACTCGAAAGCTTTGTCCATTTATTTTGAACTCACGCCTGTAAACATTATTTGGGGGGTTCTTGATGAAAATGTTTGCAGATAAATAACACAACATTATTCTTCTGTGGTAAAATATTTAAATTACAAATCTGAATTTAAAATACAGTTTTTAAAAATACATTATGGAACATGGAACCAATCTTCTTTCCATCTTCTGGAAAAAAATAATTACAAAATAGAAAAACAATATAAGAAATTGGAAAACATTAACTCAAGTAAAAACTATATATAGTTTTAAATATATTCAACCTGTCATATGTTCTATCACATTTCAGTACGTCACATTAATTGCTTCATTTACACTTATACTCAACTACATTTATCTTTTTATTTTCAGATTAAGATTAAGAAGAACAAGTACTTTAATTGTGATAATCCTTCTCTTCTTTTACCTGATTAAGGTTTGTTGTTTTTTACATTGTTGTATTGCTACTGAAGGATCTGAATACTCATCCTACTGCGACACCCTCGTATCCTCTGACATCTGAGAGGTCTGGATCGTTCGCAAACAGATCTCAAGCGTTGGGGAAAAGTCAAATCCATTAGCAAACAAAGCCACAGTGGGAGCACCAACACCTGACATCCTCAGCACATTATCTGCCCCCCTCATTCCTCCACTCGTCCTCACTGACGACGGCCCTCTCTCCTCCACAGCCTCTTTCACTTGTTTACATGTGGATTAAAGACCAAACTGTTGATCTGTGGATCCATAAAGGCTGATTTTATCCTTTTAAAAAAAACACGGTAATCAATGTTCAAGCAAACAAACAAAAATCAAGATTGAAAAGAAACTAAATTTATGTGTGCCGTGAACAACAGTGGTTCCTAATCTGGGGGTCGGGTCCTCCACTAACTTCACGGAGGGTCGCGAGGGCTTCTTTATTTTAAGGGGTGTAAGAAAACTTTAACAGATATACACAGTGGTCCTAATATCTCATCATTTAGTTACTTTTTGTAAAGAAATCTAACTGAAATTGTTAGTATATATTATATTATTATATACTTTAAGATCTAAACTGACTCCAGCTATATTCTCAGATCCTTCAAACAACCAAAGAGCTGAAGGAACAATGAGAAGAAAACACTGAATCTGTTAGTCTGTCTGATTGTTAAAATACATCATAGAGACAAAGAAGTGCATTAAAGTTCATACAAATATCAGGAAAACTCATCTGCTCAACATTCATCCAAATCTCTGGTTTTACACAAACTTCCTGCAGTTATTGTGTTCACTGTTTGGGTTCATTGTACAGTTGATCAGCTGTTCTCTGCTGTTATTGTTAACAGTTAGGGCTCCTTTAAAGCGGCGTCACAGAACAAACCACGCCGACTACAGCAAGCGGCCAACTAGCGCTATGTTTGGTGACTGCGTGAGAGGTTGTAACTCTCCACACCGGCAGGCGGCGGTACTCTACATTCAACACCGGAAGACCTTTGGATAGAAGCAAAAGCAGCCCTTTGGATGTTCATTTGGTTTGATTCAATTTTGGCCAGACGAGGGCCGAAAAGTGCTAAAAACTGGAGCTACAGACGCTCACCAACCGCACGACGACATTAAATCCTACCAACAGTCGAGATTCAAACAAAATGTTTCAGGACAACGTCGATAATTTCAGTTTATTTGTTCATTTGAATCCTTTTCCAGGTGTTTCCACGACTGTAAAACTAGCCTCTAAATCTCTGTGTTTTTCAGTATAAGTGCATAAAGAGAAATAAACAGGGAACTGAATCTGAACTAAATCCCAAAGTGACGTCTTCAAATGTTTGTGGATCAATAAATGCTGATCTTATCGATATAAAAAAACGAGGTAATCAATGTTTAAGCAAACAAACATAAATAAACAGACTGAAATGAAACTTTATGTGTGTCAGCGTCCGTCTGCAGCCCATCAGGTCGCCGCCTCCTCTGCTGCAGGAGCTGCATTGTTCTCCAAAACTCTCTGGGTTTACAAGGAGTAAAAAAAGGAAGAGGAGGAGGAGGAGGAGGAGGTGTCTTCTCCGTTTGCTGCTTTCCCTTTCCCCCCCACACACATCCTCCCCCTGCCTCCCACCCTGACCTCCCACCCTCCACCCTCCAAGCCTGTCCTGCGTCTCTGCAGCTCCGACCTGTTTGCATTCCTCTCAGTTAATAAGTGTTTGTCTGATCCCTGGCGGGGGGTGTAAAGATTCTCCCCCCCCCCCCCCCAACCCCCCACACACACAAACACAGTGCCCCCCCCCCCTCCGGCTCACCCAGCTGTAAAGACGACAGGAGCGATGCTGCGAGGAACAGAGGAGGAGATGTCATAAATTTCATAGACACGCTGCTCAGCTATTAACTTATAATAACCAGCAGGCTGCGACGCACTTGTTGTGGGTCCATACAGGATAAACACACACACACACACACACACACACACACACACAGGATTTAAAGGGGAAGTTTTAATTTAAAGCTGAATCCACAAACACACAGTATGGATAAATAATAACTGCCGTTTCCTGATCTGCAGGTAAAATGTTGAACATTTTGGAAGCTGGTTTCTCCTCCCTGCCGTGAAGTCAATCATTCCCCGACTAAAGAGCTTATTAGATCACATATTAAACCCAAACCTGGAGCTCCAGCGTTGCTTTCCATCCTTGTTTTTGGGAAGATTGGAAGAGAAGTGGAAAGAAACGAGACCAAGAGTCACTGTGCTCCAGTGCGACAAATGCTAACATCAGCAGGCTAACAGGCTATAAATAGCCATTTCTTTATCAGTGCCAAACAGTTGTGGAGCCTCCACTGAGACCTAAACAGGGCCGATTCCAGAGGGGGACCTGGGGTGGCACTGTAATCTGATTGGCCACCCCATTATCCTTCTCATACTGTAAGATACTGGTATCATATGAAACCAGATGTATGCCTCCATTGGTACCAATCATATTGGTATAACCACACTGGCGTCCATAAACAGTGTTGGAATTGTCTAAATTGGGAATCGCTGGAAAGATGAGACACATCCGTCATGCCAGCCCTGCATAACACCTCACGAACACAGAGTCAGTCGGCCCTATACGGGCTGCACAGGGTCGCCCCCCCTTGATGAGAGGATGAACACCAGAGTGTATATAAGGAAATCTGTGGATCCAGTTTAAATGGACCTGATGCAGATATTTTGAGACTTAAAGCTTCAGTCAGAGTCTGTAGACTTCTGTTTACATTGTATAATATATATTGTGAGGACTGGACTATTTTCTACAATATAAACTTCATTCTGTTCTGTGTAGATCTAATTCTTAGACAGCAGACTGTTTTAAAAGAGGGAGGATTGTGGCTGTGTGGTTTACGTGGCTCATGGGTCAGGTTGGCATTTTGCTTCGGGCCCCATAAAATGACGTAATGTAACATCAACCCACAACGTACAGAACAAGACAAACTGAAGTTGGGCCCGATGTGATAGGACTGACTGTGGTGATAAAACACGAGCTGCTGCATCACAAATCAGCCGGCTGCCGTTAAACGGTCCCACTGCAGCGGACTGATAAAGCGCAGTGCCAGAAACATCCCGACTGTGAGCTGTTTGGGAACCGTCCTGGAGGCTCGCTCTCCCGCTCTATCCCACGTCCACTCTCATCACGTCATTCTGTGGACGCCCTAAACGCAAACACAACAGAGGAGCTGTGCGGCTCTTTGCTGGGGGTGCAGCAGTGAATGGGGGCAGGGTTTCAGACCGGCGGAGGGCTGCTTGGGAGAAATCCCTGGCTGTGCCGAGCAGCGAGGGGGTCTGAGGCTTGGACCAGGCCTGACCGGGTGTGTGTGCGGCGGCGGAGGCCTTTGTCGCTGTCGTCGCCACGGCAGCTCACCTATTGAGGGTAGAGTCTAAGATATGTAAAGCAGCAGCGTTTCAAAGCTTTCCCTCCGCTGTGGAACAAACAAAGACATAAAGAAATCAAATTAAAGTTTGGAAAGGGGTGAGTAAAGAGCGGGAATAAGAGACGGAGAAGAGAGAAAGTATCCTCTGTGGTAAATGCTTACGCGCCGCGCCAAGCCGTGTGTTGGAATCCGATGAGTGTTGAGAAATGGAAAAAGAAAGGAATCATTAAAAAGACGGAGCGAGGTGGAGGGAGACCACTATGCCCTTGTTTGCCCGGTCTGGTATTTTCTTTTCTCATTGAGCCGGTCCAAGTCCTGCAGGCGGCTTGGTGAGTCTCCCACCCAGCATTGAGAGGCAGGCCTGGGCATGCCCGGCCAAGGTCAAACTGTGGCCGCCAAGAACGTGCACGCGGCTCAGCCTGCCCCCCCACACAGCTGCCACGGCTCTGTTTATGTTTGTTTTGTCGGCCGTTTCCCTCCCTCTGCCTCCACAAGGGATCGCCTCGGCAGCTCAGCCTCTCCAGAGGCTTCGGCGGCACACGCAGGTATCAGGTGACTCTTCCTCCAGTGCGACGTGCTGCTGCTGCAACACCTTCCCCTCACTATCAGTATCACGCTGTATGTAGGGCATCAGCACACCATCCCAAAGCTGCTGACTCACCTGCACGTTCAGCACCTTTCTGCAGAAAACTGTGACGGTTATTTCAAGTGAGATTTTTTCTTGTTTTTCGTCGTCACATGAGAAGAGAAATTTCGCAGAAAAACAATGCACATAGTTGGTGTGAAGTGTCGTAGACGGGAGCGTAAGCTGAGAATATGTTTGGTAACCGACTCTGGTATTTAGAGACCATTGTTCTGTCACTGCAGTGAGTCACTAACCTTTACGTTACCTGGACAGCATAACACTGCCGAACCCTCGAGGACAACAAAGAGGAAAAACATCTGAAAGCACAGGCTGCTGAAACTTTTAATAAATATATTTCCTCCTACTAAAGAATACACAGAATGCAGTTTTAATTAAAAACCTGTTTTAGAGGCCGTTTGCATTATATAACAGTTGAAATGTGACTATATTGTGTTTCATTGGTAATAAATGAACCTTTTCACAGAACCAAACAAGTGCGTTTTGAATTTATTTAACTGCACTGTGTGGAAATTGTTTATAAAGTCTACTTAAAATGATCAACGGCAAAGTAAAATAGTGAAGTGAAACAAAATCCAGTAGTAGACGCACTTATTTAAGTCAGTTAACTTGGAACTACAAAGTATAGTTTAGTTGGTTGTAATAAATGAAGTTGAGTAACACGTACATAAATGAGTTAAGTCAGTGAAATTATCTTTATGTTGCCATTAATCAACAGAAATTAAATAGTTTTAAATGCCATTTAAATAATATTATTAAAATATAATATAAGGTGCTGGAGGAAGAAAATGTAACAAATTATTTTTTTAAATGACTACTAATATATTTTATATCAGTTTTTTCATCAGCAAAATCAAGGAAATGTTTAATGAACACGTCTGTTAATCACATATTAGCAACTTGCTTATTGACCGCATGTTAAGGAAAGATGGCGGTCATGGTTAAAAAGTCAAAAGTGGCTTAAATATTGGACTTAAATATTCGTTTTAACCCCAGGCAACATTTTATCCCTCAAATACAAATACACACAAAATCAGTGCCTGAACTGGACCAATTCACCTCAACCATAAACACAACTTAACCCTAATTCTTTTGGAGTTTTTAATCCATTTTAACCTTATATTCACAATTGTTAAATGTTCTTACAGTCACCTTTAAAGGGATCTGCATAACATAATATACGTATGTGTTTTATATTAAACTGTGCAGAAAGACTTCAGCTATCTGCACACTGAAACACAACTTTACTCATGAGTTGTTTTGGTGCTTGAAATTGGTTCATGAAAGTCTTGTCATGTGAATAAAATAGTATATAAACGTATAATAAAGTTAGTTTCACACAAAATGTTCGCGGATACACCACCAACGAGGCTCTCTGCTCCCCCCCCCGCTGCTAGTTACGTCCCTTTCGTAAGGATTTAGAGTGCATAAAACACTCTTTGCAACCTGTTTCTGGATTAAAGATTATAAAAACATAATTTGTTCCTTTAAGGTTTGTGTGTTGAATCACAAACATCTCGCCAGGATTAAATCTAAATTAGTGGGGAAGTGGTATCGGACCAATCAGCGCCCTTTGAGGAAGTTCGAAGTTCGTTTGTGATAGACGCCGATAAATCGATGCTTCATCCAATCACCTGTCAAGTATTTTTTTAACGTACCGGCCCTTTTACAAACAGTTTCCAACAACGACTTCCTAGATGGCGCAGTCGGGTTAACTTCTCGCTACGTTTATTTGTATAGCGCCAAACTATAACAAAAGTTACCTCAAGACACTTTTCAAATAGAGCAGGTCTAGACCCAACAGTTCCCACCATGAGCACGCACTTGGTGACAGCAGCAAGGAAAAAAACTTCCTTTTAAGAGGCAGTAACCTCTTGCTGACCACGGCTCTGGGCATCGACCGGTTGGGGTTAGTTACTGACAGTAGTTCATCAATGGACGCTGATCAATGTACACTGATTGGTGGAACCACTTTGGAAAGATGGATTTCTCGTGTGATTTTGTGATCTTACGCAACCTTCCCAACATTTTTCCTTGAGGGACGTTGACAACCCCTGAATATATTTTATGTATATTATATTAAATGTATAACAATAACAGGAGAGAATTTTTTTTTATTATTTCCTGTCAAAATTGATCAGAGATGAGTTTTACTGATATTTTTAGTAACTTTTTATACAATCTGTCTGTATTATGTATATTAATATTTTTTTAACAATCATATATAATTAACAGGAGTCTCTTTTAAGGAAAATTATGAGTTTCTTCTCCTGCCGATTGTTCTACTAATGTGTGTGTAAAGGCTCTTTGCCTTCAGTTTAGGTCTTAAAAATAACAATTTAATTTAGTTTAAATTAGCTAGTCTTCACAGAAATGAACAAAATGCTGAGATAGGGGCTTATTGCACTTTATATTTTAAGGCCTTCTCACCCTCCGTGGAAGCTTTTACCAGGCTGGGAACCACTGATCTTATGAATCCAGCTGCCTCAGGTGAGTAGCATCGCTGTGTACCTGTAACTGCACAGCTTCTCTGGTGAACCCCCAGTTCGCAGTGTTTTTCCACAACAGTTTCCCAGCTCGCTGTGAAGGTTTACTGGTCACTCCAGAATTGGCTTTGTCATGCTGGTCTTCTGCTGCCTCATTCAGTCCTGTGAAACACCTACAAAAGAGCGTCCCCCAGCCTTGTGTAATGAATAAAGAGGCCCTCCCACTGTTTCCCTGGGTATTGTTTCCTTGTTGTTACACAGAGTGTGTATTGCTCACTAAGCCTCTGATGGATGTCGGATTACCCCTCCGCCTGTGTCCTCCTCACAAAGAGTCGGCACTGCAACACACACGCAGAGGCAAACATGCAAACACACACTCATGCACTCCCCAAACATACACCCACCATCATCCTTAACATCCTGCATACAATGATCTACAAATCTTTGTGTCCTGACCCCGACAACCCAAACACATCAGCATCCATATGGCTCTGACAGGACAGTTTATGTTGTAGTGCGTTTTGATGAGATATTGGTACAAAGGGACCCAATAATAGGAAGTCTACAGTCATATAGTCCTGATGCAGGAGGGGAAATTAATCAAAACTCTCCACCAAACCAGTTTATTGCTCGTATCAGAGGTTAATTCAGAGCACTGTGTTTTATGGTGATGATTTTTAATGTGCTGCTGTAACAGTAAGAAGTGTTTTCACTTCAGGAGCAACACAAACTGTTGAGGAACAACAACTTGTTACCAGCTCCTGAACACTGACCAGTACTGAGTACTTCTTATTGAGTACCGCCGCCTCCAGTGAGCGTGGCTTTACCCACCACAGAGGTCACAAAGGGGTAAACAATTAAAGTTGTGAAATAATTGCCTTAAAGTGTCTTTACTTTGATGCTTTGATCCCCAAAACCCTCCTAACAAGTTCAGTTTTTTGGACCTCAGCAGTGCATCTCTATGTAAATACAAAGCTAGCTTATATCTTATATCTCTCTCTGTTCAACTGGATTAATGGACTGCTAAAGGGTTGTGCTGAATATGGATACTAGCACCAGGTCTGTTTTCCTCTCTTTCCAGTGGACCATCACATGTACAGTATACAGATCCCGTCTGACTTGTGCCATGAATTACACATAATAATGTTCAGATATCGCAGTTTGTCCTAAAACGCCTCTGGTCGTCGCTTTATGACGTCACATAACGCGTCTTCAAACCCCACGAGAGCTACATTGTTGACTTGTGTATTTTGGGTAGGCTATGCGATTAAATGTTTTCTTTTTGGCCTGTTTGAATTGTGTTTATTGTTATTTTATAGTTTTTTGTTGTAGCATGAAATTTGTTCTGAATCTGGAGTCCGCATGGGGTATTTTATTTTGAAAACTGACCACATTCTCTATACTGTTTCTGACTTCCTGCCAGTGCGATCTGCTCTGTGCTGCTTCTGCAATCCGTTTCTGTCAAAAATACATAAATTGATGTAATCGCGTGAGAAACGTGATACGGTACTACGACAAACTGCAATTATTATAAATTATCTTTTAAACTGAAAACCACAAACATAATTTGTCTCTTGCCCATTAATTAACCACCGTTGAGTCTTCGCTTCTCTAATTCTGAAGCAATGAAGTTCATATTTTTCCAACAGATCCTCGTTCCAACTGGCAACTCATCGTCATCCTCAGCTTTGATCTTCTGTGGAGTCCCCCAGGGTTCTGTACTGGGTCCGATTGTATTCTCCTGTTAGGTCACATTACCCAAAAAGCGGTTTGTACTGTTGGTTGGACTAAACAAGCTTCCTGAAGGACTCATTTTGAACTTGTGACGGCATTTCTCACATTTTTACGAAGCAATCAATCAATGGATTAATGGAGATAATAATCATTAGTTGCAGTCTGATAGAAAATAGTTAAAAATTTGCTCCAAATCCACAAACTACACATCAGTTTAATACTTTTAACTACATTTTACTGATTATACTCACATACTTTTACTGTAGAAAGGACTTTTAGTTGTTTAAGTGCTTAAATAAAGGATCTGAATACTTCATCCACCACTGGTGTAAACTGTATAAATAAAGTTGAGTTTAGGATTAGAGATCCTGGTTTCTTCAGTCAGTGGAGCCTCACTTTGGTAAAACAGCACTGTAATAAATCTGGGGCTCCATCCAGCCTCTCTTTCTGTTACACCGTCCCTCCACAGTCCTCATCAACCCCAGAGCCTCGCTAGCACCAGTGAGAGACCCTCACCCATTCCCGCCCCCCACCCAGCCCTACATGACAATGGTACCAGCCGTTACCCAGGAAACAGGCCTTTCATTAGCTGTGTGATAAAAAAGATGTATTCCCAGTCTCTTCTCCGTCCACTTTTTCACATCTTTGTTATTTTGGGGGAACCTGTAGATAAGCTTCAGCTCGCGAAGGCCGCCGATCGCTCACCGGCCGTCGTTCTCCGGTGGAATACCAGCGGAGTCGTGGGGCAACGGACTCGTTCTGACCACCGCTCCTGAGAACTGATATTTCCATCAGTTTGAGACCTCCCAGAGTCTCTTCCTCTGAATTATCAGTCTGAACTTTAACACGTTTCCAGTAGAGTTGTAAAACTGACATTTCAGCCCCTCGGCTCTCAAATCAAGCCTTTGGTTAAATATCACACAGCAGACGTTTGTTTTTTAGTATTTTCCTTTTTATTTATTCATCTAATTCATGATTTTTCAGCAGGAGTTTCTTTAATGAAACTCTAAAGCACCTCACTGCAGATAGAAATTAGATGGGATTGGACTAAAAAATCATACGCAGCCAAACTTATCGATTCCTTTGATCGATGCTAGCGTGTTCTTCTCACAGTTGATGTCAAACTTGCGTCCAGGCAGCTGGAAACAACAACAAGGAGCTGGAATAACGCAGCAGACTGTGTTTAAACGCCTCACTGATTAACTTACTGTACAAAAGAAACTGGATCAGATTTTATGGAGAAAATGTTTTCTTTTACCTCCCTTTTCTGTGTGCTGTTAGCTAAGTTAGCCATGCAGTTAGTGCTAGTCCTATTAGCCATGCCGAGCTCCGGTAATTTGCGACCAATAGGAATTCATTTTGAAGTAAACTAAAATCATTTTGTTTTCTGAGAACAATAATAATGGTATTTGGGGAAACAGCTTATTTCCCAGTTTTGGTTTTCTCATTTCAAATTGAAAGTCAATCGACTGCATCGAACCCGGTTCTGGTGCCCATTCCGGCTAATTCGGGTCCCGGTAACGACAGAACACTTAAGGAATCCTAACCAGGAGAAGTCGACTGTAATGATGGGAAGAAAACTCCCATGATCCCACGCTGCCTCACCAAACTTCATCTTTTGTTATTGTTTAGATGTTAGAAACAGAAACTTTAAAGTGGTCAGAAAAATACATAGACTTCACGATAGACGATGTTTTGTCAGCATTTATACCACAAATTAAGTGCAACATGTGCAACGTAAGATTCCCTCAATCTTTAGATCTTTAAGTGGCAGCGAATGTAAAAAACACATCAAACAGCTGGCGTCTGTAAATGGCTGCATCACCATCCCGGCCACATCGGGTGTTGGCGTTTAGCACTTTCAGTTTGCAGCGTTCCTGGGTTGGAACAAGCAGTCGGGGGTTAACGTTTCACCTGGAGGCTCCTCTTACCTGCAGCCGTCAGCAGGGTTCAGGGAATAATACCTGCATCGGGTTACCGCGGGCCTCTCATCTAACCGGCCTGCCACATTATAATCATGAGCCCTGCAATCCAGCTGGAGAGCCAGTAGAGTCCAGCAGGTAATAGCTGTCCAGGGGGGGCTTTGCTGGGAGCTTCAGGCTTGCAGGGGGGGAGGCGGAGGAGGCGGAGGGGAAACGTCGGCTCTCCTTTCCAGGAAAAAAGCAGTCCGGCTGGGCATGAAGCTGCAGGATCCTGCCCTTCCAGAGGAGTGTTGGGTGTCCATCATACAGAGGTGTAACATTACAGCACTCTATCTTTGCCCTTCATCTCTCAGCCATCGTTACCTCATCAGTGACCACAGACGGACACGCTCGCTGACAGAGAAGCTCGTCTGTTCGCGACCCCGGGAGGGCAGTTGGGGGGGGGTGGGGGGTTGGACACAGGCTTCTTAAATTCTATGTATTTGCATTTGATTACTGCGGCTATTCATCTGACTCTCTGAACGCGAGCCACCTTGCTAATCTTGCCGCCGGGTCAGAGGGAGAGACGGTGTGGTCTACAGCGGGGGCAGACAGGCGGTGATATATGGGGCCGTGGGACACTTGTCCCCGTTAGACCCCACACCGACCCAATGAAGGACCACAGATCCAAGCGCCATGGGGAACAAGAGTCTGAGTGAGCGCAGACAAAGCCCTGAAAGAGAAACCCAGCCACCCCCTGCTACTATTACCCATCCACTGCCTGATCACAGCAAGAGTCCCCAAAGAGATGAGCAGGAAAAGACCAACGTAAATCTCACGTACAGGCGCACTAAAGCAACGGGGGGAGGGAGTGTAACAGCAAGCAGAGGAAAACAAGTCTGCAGCCAAGTTAACAGCAGAGCGTTGCTTTGAGCTAAATGCTAACATCGTATGCTAATGTTTAATTAATTCAGTCTTTAGATTTAACGATGAAAAACTGTGAAACCGTGAGAGTAAAACACTGATATCTCACAGAAAAACCTTTATTTATGCGGCAAATTACACAGAAAACCTGCGGTGTAGCATCATATGGTGTTTTAAATTGTTTCTTTTGATTGTAAAAACATTTTTACAGTATTTATACTGTAAAAATATATATATAATATATATATAACATCCTTTTACAGTAATAGCAGGAATAAAGCTACTAAAACTACAGGTGGATTGATTTTAAAGGCGCTGTATTTTATTCCAGGAATCAGGTGAACATACTTGCAATAACTAAAAGTTATTAATATAACCAATGTTCACTGAGGGAGTATTGATCGCACAGTCTGAACCTCTTCTGTCTAATGCTTATTTCGTAATGATCCTGCAGCAGAAGTTAAATAACTATTAGCAGTTACTACTGACTCAATATTTAAGAGTAGACTTTACATGTCACTGTGTTTAACAAAAGATCTGGGGCTTAAATTAAGAGTATACTAACTTCTCCAGGTACCACTACACATTTTTACCATCCACTGTTTAGATCTTGGTGCTTTTTAACTCTTTCATCACGTCATCGGATGTCTGGATCTGAACTTGTCAGAGCCACAAGCTGAGCTAACGTTGCAGCTCGGCTCAGTCCGCTAGCATTATATTGTAACCTGGGACCTGTTAGCTTTTGCATAAATAAGTGAAATAATAATAAATGTATAATTTAGACAAGCAAGATGCAGTACAACTTATTTGTCTTTATTTGTCAAAGCAGAAAATAAAATAAGAACAGTAAAGTAAAAGAATGAATACAGCGTCTCTGACTTTACAGAACCAATCATGAGGTAAGATGCCTTTATTATGTTTTGTTATGGATCAAGAAGAAGCTAATACACAAACGTTTCATGGTTGCTTTGAGTGTATTCGCACCTCGTAACACACAAACCTGTGAAAACTAAAGTAAACTGCATGAACTCCTACAGCTGAAATCTAACAAGCATCACTGTACATTGATTGCACTTTCACACATTTTAAAACAGGAGTTTATAAGGAAGTGATTTGGTTTTAGTTAGTCCAGGCTGCGTCCAGATGTTCACGTCCTCTCCGTCTGCATCGCCGCTACGAATAAAAAGACATCTAGTCTTTGTAATAAAAAACACTGCCACCCTGTCGAGTCCCAAGTGTTGTTCTTGGCACATAGAAGGTCGGGTATTCATTTACGAGACTTTAAAAACCGACCGTTTCAAGTTCGCCTCGAGCTGTTTCGTGAAGCTCAGGTGTGTCCTCGACCGCTGCAGTCAGGTTCCCTTCCTCTTGTAAAAACAAAGTTATGCTGAGTAATTATTATCATTAATCTAGTTAAACTGCTCCTAAGTATTTTTTGAAAAATGCATACAGAGAATAGTTAGTACCAAAAAAACCCAAAAACAAAAAACAACTAGTAAAGTAAAATCACTCCTAACACCAAACGTCATTTGGCAAATAATCTGATAATTCATCATCATAGTGCTGCTGTCAGTATTTACAGATTCCTGTCAGACAAAACGCATCTGAGTCGGTCAGACAACGGATCCTGTTGATAAAAGTGAAAACGAAAATCAGGATAGGAGCTGTTTCCAGACTACCGTTAATGGATAAAGGAAGAAATAAACGGAAAACGACAAAAAGTTTTCTTTTTTTTTATGTTTTGAAAGAAAAAATTCTTAGTTTTTCATTTTTGTTTTTAATTTTTTAATTTTTTTTAATAAAAAACTGAAAATAAAAGACCCATTTCCGTTGAACTAAAAAAAAAACTGGGGAAAAAAGACCGAAAAACAAAAAAGCAACTAGTTTTCAGTTTTTTGTTTTTAAAATAAAAAAAAGTGAACAAAGACCCATTTTCAGTTTTTTTGTTTTAAAAATTTGGAAATATGGGGGGAAAAAACACTAAATATTACGTGTTGTCCATTTTTTGTTTTGAAAATGGAAAAAACAAACGTCCCATTTCCATTATTTTGAAATTAAAAAGGAAATTGTTTTTCCTTTTTTGAGAAAAGAAAAATGAAAAAAATGGAAAACAAAAGGTTCTCACTCATTGTCAGGAAACAGCTCGTTTTCCAGTTTTGGTTTTCTCATATTCAAATCGAGGATCCGTTACACTGACCGCCGTCCTGTATAGTGTCAGCCGTTTCTTTCTGATGCCTCGTGTACATGAAAACACACTTTTTACGATGTAAACAGAGACCATGATGTGTCATCCGAAAGGGTCTGTTCACACCTGCATTTAAAACGTCAACATATTTTTTGTGATCTCAAGTCATTTCCTGGTTTCGCCATAAAGGGACGTTTTCTCCACCGTGACGATGTGAGCTGCTGCTGTACATTGTGGCATCTTTGCTCTGTAGGCGTTTGGGAATGTACTTCCTGTATGAATCGGCATCAAAATGTAATTCTAAAAATACTTTAAACATCTTGAAAAGGACAATAAATGTTGTAAAAAAACAAAAACAAAGAGTCTGTTATTCCTCGGTAGCCAAGAGTTTACAGCGTGAACGACGACCAGCTATTCCTCAAAGCAGGGAGTCAATCCGGGTGCTCGGGTCTCCGCCTAGCGAGTCTCCGAGGTCAAACAGCTGGTCGAGGTTGACGGTGGAGCTACAGAGGAAATCATTGCGGCCCTGCTCCTCCTCCTCCGGCCAGGGGCTCTCCAGGAAGGCCGTGGCGAGGAAGGTCTCCTCGTCAAAGTCCGACACGTCATTATTCCTTTGGGTCTCCGCCAACACGTGGATGTCTTCCGTCCCCGCGGGGGCTTCCACGGGGGAGATGTGGGTCCCCCGCACTGTCAGGTCCTCCTCCTTCATGATGGGGCTCAGAGGTTCTTCTCCTTCCAGGCTGAGCTCCCCGCTGAGGGCGGAGTCCAGCAGGGCATCCCAGTCAAAGTCCCCCTTCAGAGGTCCAATCTCCTTCTGTTCGTCCACGGTGAGCAGTGGGGAGCTGGAGCGGCGTGGATATTTGGCGCCACCAATTCTGGAGCCCAGTTTCCTCTTTTGCCCCCCTCTTCCGCTGACCACAGGCCAAGACCCCAGCATGGTACCTTCAGCCAGATGAGGGTCCCAGTTCTGGTCGGCGCCGGTCGCTTCTTCGAACTCCCGGAGGAGGCGTTGGGACTCCGGGTTGATGCACAACCCGCTCTGACCTCCCGCGGGGCCTCTGGACTGCGGCTGGAGGTTGATCCTGAGCCTGTTCTGCAGGGCCGGGTTGATCTGGACCGGCGGCATCCGCCTCTTCTTGTACGCACCGCTCAGGAGACGCTCAGCGTACTGCGGGTCGATCTTCCAGAAACCGCCCTTCCCTGGCTCGTCCTTCTGCCGCGGCACCTTGATGAAGCACTTGTTGAGCGACAGGTTGTGTCGGATGGAGTTCTGGAAACAGAGACAGAATATTTTTACATGATTGCTTCAAAAAACACTTATTTTAGACGCCACATTGAAGGAAACTGTTTTCGTGGGCTTTTTTGGCCGATTGTTGTTGCTTAAAATATCTGATTCCACAGCAGCTTTTCCAAGACATTGCAATGTTTTTGGCAACTTGTTCCAGTGAGAATAAAAGCTCAGGGCTCAACGTTTTGCTGATATGGAGACTGATATGATCGGTGAAACTCACAACGATTGATACAATTTGCGGAAAGGTTTCATTGATTGGACAAAAATGGAAATTTGCTTTCTTGCTGAGCACCAGCCAGAATTTCAACATTGATTTATAGAACAGAAACTGGGTGATATTCGGTCTTTTTGCCTCTTTTTCAACATCAACATGTCATAAAACACAACATTTTTGAACTTATTGATTAGTGCGAAGGTGTTTCTCCAGAGTGTTTGTGAGAAATCGTTTTCCAGGAGCTTTTCTTGACAATACAGGACAGCACTTGCTCACAAAAAGCTCCAACTTCGACTCCAACTTTCCTCCTAAACGTAACATTAATCAGTCCACAGCTAAACGGCTAAATTACAGTAAAACTTATTCAGGATATTTGGTCATTTGAATCAATTTCCAGGTGTTTCTATTGTAGGGATTAAACAAACAGGAAGTTTTGTGTTAATCAGTTTTAAAGGTGCTGGTAGGTGGATGTTGTTACCTTTGCACACAGCCAGGCTAGCTGTTTCCCCCTGTTTCCAGTCTTTGTGCTAAGCTAAGCTACACCAGCTGCTGGCTGTAGCATCATGTTTACCGTACAGACAAGAGAGTCGAGTAAATCTTCCAATGCTGAACTTAAAAACAGAAGTTTATAATGAAAGTCACCTTTAAACTGACTGTGCATCAGCAGGAAGTAGAGATGGGATCACTTTAATGTACTGTGCACCCTTGCATTCATCCAACTGCCCCCCCTCCTTCCACTGAAGTCTAAACAGAGCTGTGACCTGCTGACCTTTGTTAAATATTATCTGCCCCATGTACTGCCTTACAATAACAAAACGCTCTGAAATGTCTGAGCCAGACGCTGAAACACGGGAGTACAGCTAACGGCTTCATCAATCATTTATCCGGCAAAATTAAACTTTGTTTGAAACCTTTTTTTTTCGGAGGGGGAATCTGCTGCCCCCCACACACACACACACACACACACACACACACATCACTTGTTTTTGCTCAAGCAGAACAACCAGTGAACAGAATACGTAAAAATAAGTGTTTTTCCTGCAGGTTTAGTGCAGCTGAGCGAAGTGTCGTTGGCTTCTGGAGTTTATTAATTAGCCACACAGCGAAGTCACTAATACCTGAGAGTGTGGCAGCAGGCCTCGCAGTGTGCTCCTCTCAGATTCAGGTTTTCTTTACTAATCTTTAAATAGAAGCAAAGCCCAGCTGTGAGCCAAAGGACGCTGGAAGTCAGTCCGAGTTGAGGGGGAGAAAGTTTATATCAGTGGTTCCTTAAGGGAGCCATTTTCTATCATTTAGTAAACTGACTCAGTGGCACATTTTATGGATATTTAATATTATATTAAAAACTGTAAACAGTGAAGTTTGTGTAAAGCCAGTGATTTGAATTAAGTTTGAGCAGATCATTTCCTGTTTAGGGAACTTTCTATACAATTATCATTTATTATGTATATTTTATAATTTTTAACAATCAAACAGACTTAATAAGATTCATTTTGGACAAATTCAGTGTTTTCTTGTCATTCTTCGATTACTTTACATTTACTTTTTTTTTCTTTACAGTAGTGAACCAAACACTGAGATATCGGTTCTCTTAAATTCCTTAAAATCAAGAAGGTCACACAACCATACATGAAGCTTTGGTGACCTCTAGTGGGGGTCCCAGACCCTCGGATTGGGAACCACTGGTCTATAAAATTACCTCATACATCCTAAACGCATCACATTGAGGTTTTTGCTTTAATTCGAATGGCGAAGATCATTTATAGCCTATTTAATATTTACTAACAACATTTTAAAACTTTTTAGGGGATAAAATAAATTAAAATAAAACTCTTTCCTGCCTTAAATGCCAGTAAACATTGTAACTCCAAACCGTTTAAGTTTATTAACGCAAACATATTAAGGATGAAAAAATATTCGAGGATTTATTGTGAAGGTAAATTGGGTAAATTAAGTTAATTGTACCAATTCCATTAAAAGTAATAAGTATTTTACACTCAATGCAGGATTTCTCCAAACTTATTTAAAATGTGTGAACAGAATTTATCAGAATAAATTCACTTAAATCCATTTTCTTTAACCAAATGTTTCCACTAAAGCAAATTATACATTACGTGTTAAAAACAGCTGATGTAGGATAAAAACTATTAATAATTAATTGATTATCCAAATAAAGCTGCAGAGCCATTTTAAGTTTTTATGAATTAAAGGTTTTTATTATGTCCGATGTTAGAGGGTCCTGCAGACAATAAACAGTCTGTTGGAAAAGATGCATCCTTTAAAGAGTCTATTGTTTACTCTGTGGGGTCATCTGTCTGTGTGTGTGTGTGTGTGTGTGTGTGTGTGTGTGTGTCCTTTACCTGCCAGGTGGGATCAGCGTGTCTGTAGTAGCAGAAGTTGTCGGTGATCCACTTGTAGATGCAGGACAGAGTGATCTTGCTCTTCTTGCTCGCCTGCATCGCCATGCAGATGAGGGTCGCGTACGAGTACGGGGGCTTGATGTGCGCGTTGGTCTTGTAGTCCACCTCATCGGGGCAGTGACCGTGAGCCACGATGCCGGGCAGGGACTGCATCCTGCTGTAGGCCGCCGCTGTGGGCTTCCCCGGGGTCAGAGGCATGCCGATGGAGGCGGGGTCCCCGGCCAGAGGGGAGGCCGGGGCGTCGGAGCCCAGCGGCTGGTGGCCGAACAGGTGCGGCTGGTGGTGGGCCTGCTGCGGCACGTTGGCACCGAGGATGGAGAACTCCTGCAGCCACTGCAGGCTGGTCAGGCTGTCGTCCAGGTTGATGGAGCTGCAGCTGCTGCTGTTGTTACTGACGCTGTCCCGCTCCTCAGCCTGCGCGGCGGCGGTCACCACCTCCTCCTCCAGCCCCACCGAGCCTTCGGGCCAGGGGTCGGCACAGCTCAGAGACAGCATGGCTCTCTCCAACACCTCTCTGTCACCCAGCTCCTGCTCCTCCTCCCCCTGCCACCGCCTGACAGGACCGAAAATATACACCCGACTTCAACAAGTGCGAAAGGGCAAACAATGATGGCCCCATTTGAAAACAGAGCCTCTGTGTGCGTAAAGATCTCCAATCCCCATTTCAACCTGCCGTCTGTCACCTGGCTGTCTGCGCGAGGAGAACATGTGCTAAAGCTAAAGACTCTGAAATAAATAAAATAAAACCTCTGGTCCTGATGAGCAGGAGCCTTTTTCTTTAGCGCCAATGTCGCAGAACTTTCCAGAGAAACTCTGTTGCGCACTTGACGCTGAGCTGCGCGCACAAAGAGCGCACGGCGTTACTAACAACACCTGAAGGCATTTAACCCTCAGAACTGAATTAAAGTGTTAGAAACTGTGGAAACATCTCTTTAAAACTGTGTTGTTATAATTCAGATGCAATGTTTGCTGTATTTCTGAGGATATTTGCGCATTTGGGCTTTTTTACGCGTAAAATCAGGAAATGTTTTTATTTAATTAAAAGTTATTTTACAGTCAATATTATATAAAACAATATGCTTGTAAGTAATTATTTATTATGCTTTTATTTGTTAAGAGCTGATACAGTTGACCCGGATAGTTCAGGCCTTCAGATCCGTTTCCAGGTGCAGATTCAGGAGAATGGGGGGGGGGATAAATTCTGTTCTTATAAATAAATAAAGTTTAAACTCACCTTCTGTCTGCTCCTCTGCTGAGTGGAGACCTTTTAAATCCCAAAACGAGCCGCTCTTCTAGGCCTCAGCCTGCTCTCGGTGCACCTGTTGTCAGCTTGTGTGCGAAAGAAAAGAAAAAAGAGGAATTCCTGCGGACTGTTTGGCGCTTCTGCTCCTCTGCGGAGGTCTTTATTGCGGGTGTCAGCGGGCTGCGGGATCTGTCGGGGAGGCAGTTTAATACCTGGTGCAGGAGGTTTGTCCAGCAACCATAGAAACGGTACACCCCCCCCTTGTAAACAGCTTCCCGCTCCTCCATTGGCCCGCTGGTTTCTATAGCGCTTCATTTTTAATCACTCTCGAGTCAACTGTGGCCGCTGCAGCGCCGGTTCTCAAACTGAGGCCCGGGGACGCACCAGGGGACCTCTGAGGACTTTTAAATGAAACCGACGGATTACTTTAATTCTACAGTAATTAAAACTCTAAAAATGTGACTCATTTGAGAACATAAAGGAGAGATTGTGGCCTAAACAGGGGCGGATCTAGAGGAGCATGGTGGCCAGGTGGGGGGGGGGACTTTAAAAGGAGAAATATATAAATTATTATTAATATTTGTTTAGAAAAAGCCCCCAAATGGAGATATTTTAACTTAAAAACATGATTGTAGCACATTATGAAAGCATATAGAAACATATAAAGGTGGCATTGGAAATCAATACATTGTTTTTATTGCCAAAGACATTTTTCACTAAATGGAAGTGAGTCTGAACTGTAACAGATCAATACGTTGATTTTTTAACATTTTATATTACAAATTAACAAAATAGAAGTACTGTAACGCTGCTGTAAGATGAGATTTAAGTTAATTAATTAATTAATTAATTGTTAACTACTATAAACACACTTTATATTCTGTTTGTATTCTAGATTAAGGTGTCTGTGATGTTATTGATGGTTTAAATTGGCAGTGTGATACGATTAGTGAGGTAGTGAGGTGATACCTTATTGTTGTCAGCATTCAGTTGTCAGATAAAGACAAACTGGTTTAAACTTTAACAATGTGCTGCACTTTATAAGGTTATTGTATGTTTTATAGCTGTCAGATGAATGTAGTGGAAATAAAAAGTAAAATATATCCCTCTGAAATGTGTTTGAGTTGAAGTAGAAATACTCAAGTAAACTTGAGTAAAAATAAGTAATATTTATATATATATATTTAAGTCCAGGATTGGATACAGAGCTGCCAATTTAATACTTTATAATGTGTAAAATCAAAGTTTTGTAGATTTTACGGTAAAAGACCGTAAACTCTAAATAGGTTAAAGTTGTTTTAAATTTAACAGAAAACCACCGTCAGCATCATATTTTTATTCTGTAAAACTGTTTAATTTGATGGTAAAAACTTGTATTTATACAGTAAAATATGGATTAAAGCTCAACAGCACCGTAATAATAGAAAAGTTCTACCGTATTAATTACGGTAAAGTTCTGTAAAACAACAGCTGGCGGTTTCTTTACCATAAGTATGTATTGATCTGTTATGGGCACATTTTAGACTTAGAACAATGTATTGATTTCTAATGTGCCACAAAAGAGTTCCCATCAATATCTCTCTGTTGACACGTGAATCTTCAGGGTCAAGATGATTTTTTTTTACAAATTAAAGTCATAACCTTCAGAAGATCCAACTTTAAACACAATTTGTCTCATTCCTTGAGAGTTTGTAGCCAGAAAATATGTTTACACGTGTAGAAATGATAGTTAAAGCGTCGTTTAACTGCTGAATAGACAGAATGTAAATATTTTCTGCATCACTTTAATACTTCAACTCAAGTTAAAGAGGCCGCCCGTTGTTCGGTGGCGTTCTCTGCTCACCGTCCAGCTCTGAGGAGACGTCAGGACTCGAGAGATGAGGAAGCCTTTTTATTGCTTTACAGTTGCCTTTGTGAGGCGCCTCAGGAAACCACTCAGCCACACTAATAGAACGTTCAAGGGGCCAAAACCTTTTTGTTTCGCCTTTCTCTTTCTTTCTGTCGTATGAACAAAAGTACATTCCTTCACACACACACACACACACACACACACACACACACACACACACACTCCCCAAGTCCAAACGCTGGGTCCAACTTTTAGGTGGTTGCTGATTAAATATATTCAGAAACAGAATTTGGACACTTACACAGCGTCCTTTATTTAAGTTAAAGTACAAATATGACAGTACAAGAGTCCAGGTGACATCAAACATGTAATTTTAACCCTTTAAGATCACATCTTAAGTTATATTGTTCCTCTGTTTAACAATTTACGCCCCAAAAAATCATAAAAACTCAATTTATTTGTGTTAACGTAGCTGCCGTTAGCTAACTGAACAACACTTAATAATCAATTGTAAATTAATTTTACATGAAATCTTTTTTATTTTAGTCTTTTTAATGTTTAATTAAAGATATTTACACTGTAAAACCAATGAAATGATCTATAAATCCAGGTGAACTCTGCTATAATACAAATAATCAGACTTACATTTACAGCAGAGTGCTGTTATTATTGGATTGTTATTATTTTAAATCTGAATTTTAAAAGTTATAGAACTGTAATAAAAGTTATTATCTGTGAAATTACAGTAATTATTGCTGTTTACACTGATAACAACTGTATTTTGACAGTTTACTAACTCTTATACACTGATAAACAACATTTATTCAACGTTTCTGTTGTGAAAACTTCCAGAATTATACAAAATATCTGTCAGTTAACAAACAAATCCTTGTAAAATTACAGAAAATATATGTTTTTTACTGTTAATTGTCAGAATTAAATTACTTTAGAAATGTATTAACAGTATTACACTTAAATTTAACAGTTTATTCTATTTAATAAACACTAAATATCTGTATCTGTTATAGATTTGTAGATTTTTTTATATGTATTTTAACTGTTTTATGTGAAAAAAGCAGTAATAAGCAGTAATTTTACGATTATTTACATATTTGTTCTCATTATTTTACATAAGACGTGTAAATTCACAGGATATGTTTGTAATGTTTAGTAATATGAGACCTTGTGAGGAGTTTAAAGGAGCTGACAACTCAAAGTTTGTGAATCGCTGCTTTAATCTTTAAAACTGTGTTTATATTTTACGTTTTTTATGTAAAATCTTATAACAAAAGCTGTCAGATAAGTTCAGTATTTCCCCATAAAGTATTAAAGTGAAACATTCAAGCAGATAAATGTACTTAAGTAAATGTATTTAGTTACTTTTTCAGCACTAAAACATCCACTGACTGAAAAAAAGAAAGTTCAAGATTAGAAGACGAGTCGCAGACTGGATCAATCAAACCAGTGAAACCAGACAGCTTGACGGGACCGGGACCAGGTCTCATTGTTCGGACCCTGTAGGCTCAACAAAACCCTTCATGTCAGAGTCTTCATATCACCAGAGGTCAGAGGTCAGAGGTCAGAGCGGGAGCAGCCGACCACAGTAACCTCGCAGACGGGAGGGTCAGAGGGATTAAAGGGGGTCTGATGGTGGACTTGACTGACAGACTGATGCAGATCAATGTGATACAGACCAGCAGACATTATTAAATATGATTCATTGATTAGTGGCAGCTGTTTTAATAATCAATTAAATCACCTTTTAAGTTGTTTATGTGAATATTTTCTGCTTTTCTTTGTAACATACGACAGTAAACTGAATATCTGATGTATACGATTCACTTTATTCATAGATTTTAAGATCATTTATCAATAATGATCATTTAAAATAAGATTATATAGGATTATAATTGGCAGGTTAATCAATAATAATAATGGTCTCCTGTTTCCTGCCTGTGTAGAAGTAATGGCTGCTGGTGGACAGACGAGGGCGCCAGATATCTTTCTGTGCTCTGAGTCAGTGGATGTTTGAGTTTATTATGAGGAAATGTAAAAATGTTGGTTATACGACTGTATTTGGAAGAAAAAGTGCACAATAACCACATTATAAGTCCAAAAATACAAATTTTTCACAAGATAGCAGATGAAATATTGTATAAAACAGCTTTATTATTATTGATATGATGTTAAAATGAACATTTTTAATGATTGAGGGTTTATTTTGTGGGAGTTTAATCATCTAAAAAAGGTTTTATCAGTTTAAATGTTCAGATGTGTCCTTTAGTGCAGATTATCAATATAAAATATTATCAACAAATTATTTATTTTATAGATTAAGCTACCGGCAGCATAGTTAAAATGAGCTCCACTTGAAGTGATGAACACATGAATGCATCAATAATGTGATGTCTTACACTGAAACTGGCCATTTATATATATAAACTGTTGAAACTGATAAAATGAAATAAAAACTGCTTCATCAGGAATGTTTCTTTAACATTATTCTTTAACAAATATTAATACTTTTACGTAACGATTAAAAAAAAAACGTAAATGAAAAAGTGGTCTGCTTATTCTACCTCGTTAAAAATCCCAGAATCTATTAAATATGTAGTTTTTGTTAATTTCTAAAGTTTGTCTGATGTTTCCTCCTTCAGTGTAAAGTCCATTCTCAGTTTCAGCTCTTCAGAGATCTTAAATAATAATCTAAACTTTAAAAATAACAACTTCATTTAGTTCATTTCTGTGAGGGAACTAAATTATGTTATTATTCTTAAAGTTTAGCAGCATTAGAAATATATATTAGAAATATACACAGTTAAAACAACCAAAGAGACAACAGAACAATGACCTCAGTAAGAAGAAAACAGACAGAAAATTATATAAAAAGCTCCTAAAAATAGAATTCATCCAAATCTCTGGTTTCACACAAACTCCCTGCAGTTATTTTTATTATTAAATATAATATGAAAGATCAATAAAATATGCTTTAACCAACCAGAGAGCTGATTTACAGACTACAGAGTGTGTGTGAATTAACATACAGGTGAAGAACATAAATTGGGGTTGTTAAGTTTCTCTTTGTTGTCGGTGCCTTCAGGTAACGACGGCCTCCAACTATACATAATGGATGCTGTCGGTCACGTGTGCTTTAACCTCCAGCAGCTGAATTATTCAGACAGAAAGTCGACTGCAGGAAGAATCATCTCAACCTCGATGGATCGTTTTTATTGTTGTACACTAAATGTTTCATCAGTATTTAATGTTTTACCTGATAAAAACTGTTATTAGAGGCTGTATTATATTTGTAGCACAGTCACATAAATAATATGATGTTAAATTGATCAGTTGCTGTTTGTTCCTTTCATTTGTTTTGAGCATATTTATTATGTTGTGCATATTTTATATCTTTTATTAATATTTGATCAGGAATAGTACATAAAAATCAGCCTTCACTTACAACTCTTACATACATACAGTATATAGATCAACATCTCTCATAAGAACATAAACTTATAAATTAAATATAAATTAAGAATAATATTAATAACAGTAAAATGATAAATTATATAATGACACTAAATCACTTTAGCCATATATAGATATAAAGATATTAAATTAAGTGCATCACAACAACATATATTAGAAATACATGCAAGCCTACATAAATATATGTGTATAAAATAAAGGTTTGTTGGATATTAGCACATGTAGTTGTTATAAAAACAGATATATGTGTCCATATTTATTGAATATAATAATATATATATTAATATTTGGCCATTAATCATTTCTAAATAATAAATAAAATACAATAAACGTTGAATAGTTCTTTCTTACAACGTTCATATCGATCAGAATTAATAAATATATCATAACAACATAAGTAAATATAAATATAATGTACTGTTTACTATGTGTGTGTTTGTTTTCTACCTGTCAGACAAACAGCCAATCAATTCATCTGAATAGCCAATCAATCACATTACGTCAGTGTAACGGACACGAATAAAGGCGCGTGTACCAACGTGCGGGGTGACCGCAGAGGGCGGGGAGGTTCTCCCGCACTGCTACTCCGCTAGACTCCACCCACCGGCAGTGTCTCCGAGAGTTAAAACAAGCGCTCCGGTGAATTTAAACGCTTCTCCGGCGACAGCCAATCAGCGCCTCTGTAGTAGCGCGTCACCGCGGAGCCGTCCAATCAGCGGCCGCCTCCTCTTTGTTGTTGGTGATGACATATTGAAAATATTGTTGTTGCTGCTGGAGGCTCGCGGAGACTCGGCGGAGGGAGACAGCGGCAGGGTGGACGGGCTGTGAGGCTTCAGTGCGGTCGAGTCCCGGCTCTTCTCTTTACTGTGTTCGCCTGTAAACAGCAGCGATGTCGGTGAACGTGGACGAACTCAGACACCAAATCATGATCAACCAGTTTGTTCTGACGGCCGGTTGCGCCGCGGATCAGGCGAAGCAGCTCCTCCAGGCGGCCCACTGGCAGTTCGAGGTGAGCGGGGAGATTCATCCGAGCCCCGGTGCGCGTGTGTGTGCGTGCGCGTGCGTGTGTGTGTGTGTGCGTGTGTGTGTGTGTGCGTGTGTGTGTGTGTGTGTGTGTCTCTCTCTGTGTGTGTGTCCAGCGGAGCGGGAAACCGTCCTCAACCCTCTGGTTCTACTTCCTGGGTTTATTTTAATGTTAAAGTGTTTAAAGTCTCTCCGCCTCGCGACCACGCGCTCGTGACGCCAGCTAGCTTCGGAGCTAACGCTAGCTCGCGCTGAGGACGTGGTGCGCGCGACCCTCAATGGCCGCCGTTGTTTACATTCTGCTCAGGAAACCACCGCGTCATCGCACAGCTAGCTGTTGTTAGCCTAGCCTCAAGAATGTAATCTATTACTAGTTGCTCAAAAGTAAAGTTATTACTTTACAGATTACTTCCTGCCAACAGTAATTAGTTACTCTGCTAGTTACGTTACTTTTCTGCTACTCCCAATAAAACTGGTAATAGAGTAATATTATTATTTATATTTATTATTTATTATTATTATTTATATTTATTATTATTATTTAAATTTATTATTTATATTTATTATTATTATTATTTATTGTTATTATTTATATTTATTATTATTTATATTTATTATTATTTATATTTATTATTATTATTTATATTTATTATTATTTATATTTATTATTATTATTATTTTAATTTATTATTTATATTTATTATTATTAATATTTATTATTTATATTTATTATTATTATTTATATTTATTATTATTTATATTTATTATTATTTATTATTATTATTTATATGTATTATTATTTATATTTTTATTATTTATATTTATTATTAATTATTTAAATGTATTATTTATATTTATTATTTTTATTATTATTTATATTTATTATTATTTATTATTATGTATTATTTATTATTTATATTTTATTACTATTTATATTTGTTATTATTTATATTTTTTTTTATTATTTATATTTAGTATTATTTATATTTGTTATGTATTATTTATATTTGTTATTATTATTTATATTTATTATTATTTACTGCCTGACACTGCTCCCAATAAAACAACATGGCGGCTCATTGTTTCAGAGTTTAAAGCTGCAGTTGGTAACTTTTATAAAAATAACTTTCTGTAACTTTCACTGCATCCTGACAGAGAATCTGTGAACGATTGTTTATAAAAGTTACCTACTGCAGCTTTAATGCAGCGTCCTGGAAAACACCTGGAAATTGATTTAAATAATCAAATATCCTGAACGTTTTTGTATTTTAGCTCCTCGCTCGGGTCGCCTGCTGATATCTTGTTGCTGTGGATGATAAACACTCAGTGACCACGAACACTTTCGATCTGTTACTGATGAGCTGTGGTCAGATTAATGTAGTGATACGTTGTCTTCATTAACGCTGGTCCATCTGACAACAACCTCGTCCACGTTATAAACTACAGGTTTGTCTCGTTTGTTCAGCTCAGATCTGTAAACGCACACAGGATGATAAACGACCTGCCAGCCCGGCTCCAAACAATCCCTTAATCACATTTCCTGCTCCAATGTTGAGTTGTAAAGTTTATTTAAAGCGGTCAGCGAGAGAGAGCTTGTACAGTTTAAGATTGTGTGTTTTTGAACTGCTGAAACCACGGGGGTTATTTTTGTTTCTGGTAACTTTACAGGAGGATTTAAGGAGGTCAGACTCGCTGTACTCGGAGCTAAGTGGTCTGACATTGATCCTAGTCTTGTTCAGTTATATATAGACTGATTAAGATGCATTATCCGTCCAGCTGTTCTCGTATAAACGAGCCTTTCCTGTGCTATTAACGGGCATCTACAGCTGAAATGATTCATTTAAACTTCTGCTTCCTCCAGTGTGAGAAAATACTGCTTTTTTAATATGTTTTATTGAGCCCACAGACACAGGAACAGTAAATAAATATAAATATCAACACTAGAAAAGATAAATGTCTATCAAAAGAAAATAAACACAGTGAATATTAAAAATGAATTAAATTAGCTCTTCCAAAAAGATCTAAACCTGTAGAATATCTATAAAATACACTTAAAATATAATAAAACAGAGAATATAAGCAGGGTTAAATGCTGTATAGAGAATAGAGTGTGGAGAAGGAATATGATTGTAAACTGAATATCTTTTTATCTTTAAACTGTTAAATAAGACATTTGAACGCATCACGTTGGACACCTGAAGGTTCTCCTCAGACCTCCGCCCGCTCTAATGACCGATCTGTTGGGGCTGCAGGTGCTTCACCGGTCGGGAGGAGGCGGCTTGTTGTGATCCACTCCGTCATCTTAACTCGCTCAGGGAGCTGCAGAGGAGTCGGACTTAACTCGTTGGGCGTTAGTGAGTCAGGGAGCCGGTTTATTTTAGTTCTCATAATGACTTTTTTAGGTGTAAAGTGGAGCTGAAACCAGGGCGGCTGAACGCAGCGTGTAGAAAGCTGAATCTGATGAAGATAAAATGTAAATAAGCTTTATAATGAAGTGTTGTAGGCCGGTGAATCCTCTGTGCTCACAGGGGTTGATATCGGTACTGGGGATGTTCCTGGAGACTAATTTCACTGTCAGTTGAACAGAAACGCTCTCGGTCGGAGTAAACAAGCTGTTGTTTGCTTGTTGTTTTTCTTTCTCAGTGAGACGGGAAGGCGTCTTCTGTCCTCAGCTGTCCCCCCCCGTCAGTCCACAGCGTTAACGTCTCATTTTAGATGCAGTTTGTTGACTCTTAACGCAGTTCAGGAGGTCGAGGAGGGTTGTTTGAGTTGGACTTTGATTCCTTTGACTTCCTCAAACGGGACATCACGAGGAATGATTGAACCGCAGAGATTACAGGATGAATTGATTTCAAGGTTTAAAAAAATGTTGTTTTTGTGAATTTGTTTTACGAAGAGAACAAAAGAGGCTCTGCTGTAGCTAAATGCTGTAAAATTTTGAGTTGTTGTGACATTGAATGCAGCTTAATACTCACAACAGACGTCGATTTGATTAATTATTTACAAAGTGATATTAGAAAATCAGTTAAAAATAAATAAATGTGTTGAGATGAAACAATTAATGTTTGTGAAGTTTGAAGCAGCGAATCATCGTCGTCCCTTCGAGGCTTCGCTGTTTATCTGAAAATGTAATAATAAATAGTAACTATTATTATTCTGTGCACATTTATTTATTGTTGAACCATTATTCTGTGGTAGTAACAGTCGCCTTTGTTATTATAACAAACGCTACGTTCTTAGTAAAGCTTTGATCGGGGCCAAAAACATTCTGTGCGAGCCCGAACTACAGGAACAGTTTTGAGCCGGAGCCAAACACGAATTTCCTCTTTAAATAAATAAATAACTTAAATAGTTTATCACAAGCGAAACTCATTATTTCCAGCTGCGTGCGTTATTGATAAAGTATTAAATTAACATGTTTGAATTCAGCAAACCAACAAGGAAACGACACTAAAGTTAACGTTTGCTGATATAAGGTATATATTGAACTTAAAGGTACAGTATGTAATGTCTGCCTCTAGGGGGTCTCTCACGTCAAAACAATAAACGTTTGACGATGCCGTGAAGTAGCGTGGGATCATGGGAGTTGTGGTCTTCGTTGATAAACAACCATCGCTAATTAAAATGTATCTGACGGGATTCAAACAGACGAGTTAACGTGTTGAAGTTTATTCACGTTTTCCTTCTACGCAGCGAACGCACCGTTAGCTGAGTGAAATTGTGGATTTAATTTATAATTAAACACAGGTAAAGTGTTTATACACATATTACTGCAGTAGTGTTACAGATTACTGCTTCTCTGTTTTCTTTATTGCTTTAGGAAGAACATCCTGGTACATTTTGTTCCCTTTAATGTGAATCAAATGTAGAACCAGTCACTAAAAATACCCTCCGACGTTACATAAACCATCTTTTTCTTCAGCGTTTCCGGACGCTGTCTTTGTCACTGCTGAGGGAAACGGAGTGAAGGAACAGCGCTGGCGGTCAGCTGTGTTTGTGTTTACGGCAGCAGGAAATGTGAACTGACCGTGTGACATTAGTGAGTGACGCTCAACCAAAAACCGGGTCCTGAAAAATAAACCCGCCAGGAGACAAAGAACGGCCTCCAGTGCTCACAATGGCAGCACGGCACTTCCACGCTTTGATATGTGTGTCACGTTGTACGGCAGACATTCCTGCGCCGCCGCTGCTGTTGTCAAACAACCCGAGCGTGGGGGTGAGGGGCTGCGGGGGCGGGGGTGAAACCACTGCATTCATTGAAGTGTTGTTGGCAAGAAAGAGGCCTCCAGTGAAGGGGAAATGGAGGCTAACGCCAGGCAGTAAAACAAGCTCACACTCCCCGTCTGAGGCTTTCTGTCCTGGTGAAAACACGGCGTGGTTTCTCACCGTTTACTGCCGCTCATTGTGTCTCATTCACACAGCTCTAGTTCCTAAAGAAAAAGGTTTAACAACAACAACTCACTGCTGTTCTGCCTCGGGACAGACGAGACTGAGACTGGGTGTTAAAACCAAGTAGCTGTAAATGACGTGTGTTTGCTCACGGGGGGAGGAGGGGGGGGGTTAATATATGTACATCAGAGGAGTGTTTGAGGAGTCTGGAAACAACAATAATATTAATAATAAACTTTATTTTGAAAGCACATTTCAGAACAGAACAGGAAGAACAACTGAAAACAACAAACATTAGAAGGTCAAACAGTAAACAACAATATGAAACTCAACTGACTCTGTTAGAGGAGGACGGAAACACCCTCAGAACAATAGTTATTAATAACATTAATGTAAAGATAAATATGTTGCAGAGCTGATAATTGAAGTAGGTAACCAGTTAGCCTTCCCGTTTCCTTCTCATCTCTGTCGCACGCGCTCAGTACTGACGATGACCGGCTAAAAATAACATAATAAATATCTGCTACACGGTTGTAGACTGAAGTGAACGTCTGCTCTGTGCTCTGAAGGCTCTCTGTTGTTTGTCAGTGGTTCCCACATGAGTTAGTTTGTGCCTGAAGGGAGTTGACGTCAGCCTCAGCCCTTCACAGGAATGCCTCTTGTTATCGGTTCTCTGGTTGTTTGTGTTCACAACAAAAGAGGAACGACACAAGAAGCCAACGCACTTCCTTGTTTGTGCAGGGAGGAGGCCGCGCTGTCCACAGCTCACACGTTGTTTTTATGAGTCAAAAGGCTGATTATTTTCCTGCTGATCAATTAAACAACGAATTGTTTCAGCTTTAATTTAGTGAACTGTCGTAGAAAAGTTCATTTCAGGAGCTCAAACCAGTGATTAAAAAGGTACATAAACAATTGTGCAAATATTAAAGTGGCTGCCAGTTCGCCATCAGTTCAATAAACTACTTTTTATTTATTTAGTTTTACTTTGGTGTAAAATGTGTAAATTAATGCTCTAATGAATTTCTTCCAGCATCTTAAATGTGAATAATTGCTGGTTTTCTTTGTCTCCTGTTTTATTAAACCGACGATCTTGGAACAAAATCATTTTGAATAAGTCGGCTTGAGGTTGTTTTTTTTGTATTTTCTGTACTTTTTCTAACATTTTATGAACCTGTGAGCTCATCAAACAATCAGTTCTGCTGTATTTGTATTTGTATTTCCTTCAGTTTCATTATTATCACAGTTTCTTTCTCAGACTGAAACTTTTGCTGTGAAACGTATTCAGTCAGTCTTCCTGTCAGTGTCTCCCTCAGGATCTGGTCTCTCTGGTCTCTGAGGTTTAAGAGCCCAGCATGGAGGTAATAGTTTTAACCCTGAGCTCAGTGGGCTGATAGTGGCGAGGAGGAGGAGGGAGGGTTGTGAGTTCTTCCTCTCTGGTGGTCGGGGAGGAAAATAAGACATGTTTGATTCATGTGTAGCGTGTTTCTAATCTTAAATAAATCATAACACACGTCTCTCTGTCTCTCTCTCTCTGTCTCTCTCTCTCTATCTCTCTCTCTGTCTGTCTGTCTCTCTCTCTGCAGACGGCCTTAAGCTCCTTCTTCCAGGAGGCCAACATCCCCAGTCACCACCACCAGATGGTAAGTCCATTTAGTCCCCTTTAAAAAAATAAAAAGACTTAAGGCGTGTGTTGATTCCTTTGCAGTGGACGGTGGGACGGACCCACTGACCTGCTGGTCTGACTGGGACAGTTTCAGACACACAGCTGCAGTCAGGATCTGAACACTGGGGCTATAAAACACACAATCAATACCCCTTTATTTAAATTAAATAGCGTTTATAGTGTTTTATTTCAGGGCTTTTATCTGGTAGAAACTTCATATTTTGACAGATTCGTGTGGGGATGATTTAATTAACTATTAAAATAAAGATGATGTGACGTGTTTTCTTAAATCTGGAGAACTAGATTTGTAGACCAGGACATCAGAATCGGCTCTCTGTAAAGTTCAGGTGTCAAGATGCATCTGTGATTAATTTTACCGGCAATCAGATGGAGAAATAATGATAGTGATTAAAGGAAACCGCTGAATATCAGATCCAATAATCGTCTGTATGGTTTTTGGTCGGTGAGTTTCTGAGCAGGAAACAGCTCGTCTCTCTTCATGTGAAACCTGGTTGCAGAGGGAGTGTCATAATAATTATAATAATTATAAAAATCAACGGCTTATGAGGAGGGTTGAGTCTACAGGAGTCTGAATGAATGAGACGACGATTGTGGGAGACGTCTGTTCTTACGCAACCCCCCCTGTTTCTCAACCCGTCTGCGCTGCGTCCAGGGGAACAGCGTGCCGACATCTGCAGCCGTGTTTTGTTTTCATTCTTAAGAAAGCTGTTGTTTCCTCCTCCCGCTGCTCTCGTGGTGGTGTACGTGCTCGTCCATTGCTCTGGGAGGAGCGTGGTGCAGCTGGAGAGAGTGAAGGAAGTGTGGGTGTGTTTGTTATTATTTTGGGTGCAGTGAGGTGACATCATCTCGCCCGGGGCTGCGAGGCACTCGGGGTGAGCGTCAGCTGCAGGGACTTTTTGCCTTAGTACACCCCCCCACCCCCGTTCACCTCCTCCTACACTCAAGCTGGCCCGACAGGCTCCAAGATGGCCTCCGAGGGCGAGGAGCGTGGAGGAGAAAGAAGTCAGTGTTGCAGCAATAACGAACCTGTAATCAAATATTAACTCTCTGTCGACAACAAGTTATTTTGCGGTTCTTTCTGAGCTACAACAGCTCTTATTGTGAAAAGTCTCTCTGTAAGAAAAAGAGACAGACGTGTAAATATCAAACTAATGGACCCTAATTGATCATTGATCATTGATCAGGCAGCTGATCGAGTGAATGAATGAAAATAGAGCTTTTCTTTTTGGATTCAGTGCCCTGAGTTTACAGCAGGACTATTAAAGGCCCTCAAACAGCTGCTTCCTTAAACAAAAGACTTTATTGAACATGTTAAATAATTTAACAGATGTGTTGTCAATCAATACTGGCTGCATGCCTCAGTATTGATCCTCAGTTGGATCAAACCAGAAAATATATCGATGGTTTCTACAGTAATTATCTTTAGTTCAATCAGTTTTAATAAGAAACACTCAGAGTGTGTGTGTGTGTGTGTGTGTGTGTGTGTGTGTGTGTGTGTGTGTGTGTGTGTGTGTGTGTCCCGTCGTTCCTCCCCCGTGGCGTGACAGCGAGTCATCAGAGGCATTATTGTTTGTAACATACATAGAGATCCGGCCCTGAACACCAGCGCTCCCCGAGGAGCCGAGCAGGAACAGTCGGCTCTGTTTTGAGCTCGAGGACCATTCATAGTCCAAACTCAGAGTGCAGAATGTAAACAGCTGATTGAGGGGTGTGTGTGTGTGTGTGTGTGTGTGTGTGTGTGTGTGTGTGTGTGTGTGTGTGTGTGTGTGTGTGTGTGTGTGTGTGTGTGTGTGTGTTTGTATGTTCTAAATATACCGACCTCCCTCCAGACTCCTGCTGCACAGCTGAGAGGACCCCTCCTCTATTTTTGACTGCCACCTGATCTGTGTGTGTGTTGTGTGTTTGTGTGTGTCTGTGTGTTTGTTTGTGTGTGTGTTTGTGTGTGTGTGTGTGTGTGTTCCAGCTCCACTTTAACCACTTTTCAAATTACACTTTAATTGATGTTCTCCCTGAAGACTTTTGGCATTTAGCAGCGTCTGTAGTTGGAGCCAGAGGACGTCTGTGAGTCTCATTAGAAAGCATATTTTAAACATTAGTGTGTAATCACTTGAAATAAGAGTCACTGTGTTTTTGTTACCTTAGAGTGACTTTAATGTTGTAGATTGTAAAACCGAACCGATGTGGAACCAGCACCGACCCTCCGTATGTTTATTTTCCAGTATGGATGTGATACGATGAGTCTTCAACCTGTCGCTTTGTGCTCCGACGGTACGAAGAGGAAACACTCTTTAGACTCTGGAAGTAAAAACAGATTCACAGTTAACTGGATAAATGAAGCAGGACAAGTATTTTAGGGGACTTGAACTCGCGACCTCCAGTGTTTCTAAAATCCAGACTGACGGATTGTTCTGTTGTTACAAACTGAGGCGAGTTCCTGGCCTGTGTGTGAACTCTGAGTGTGTGTGTGTGTGTGTGTGTGTGTGTCTGTGTAAATCATTTTTATGAGCGTACCACCCTCCGGTCATGTGACAGCTGAGGTTAAAAATGGCGTCCATCACAGTAATGACAGTTTTCTGTTTTTATTACATCGAGCAGAAAGTTTAAAGCTCCAGTGTCAAACATTTATCTATTGTCAGACATATAATAATGATACGTCGTTTCTCACACACACACACACACACACAGTTATATATCTACATATCTTCCATCCAGCAGCGATCACTCGGATCAATAAGTTCTCAATCATTCCGAATCCTTTTTTAAAGAAGTTAAAAACGACTTCCTGTTCTCTTCGTCCTACAGATGTGCACCCCGAGAAACACTCCCGCCACGCCGCCCAACTTCCCCGACGCCATCACCATGTTCTCCAAGCTGCGGACGTCAGACTGCGGCTCCGGCGGCGGCGGCCCCTCCCAGGCGTCCATGGCCTGCTCCCCGCCGCCGCCCTCCTCCTCCACGTCGGGCTTCGGCTCCTTCTGGGCCTCCTCGCCGCCCAGCCACCAGCCGGCCTGGCTGCCGCCGTCGTCACCCACCGGCCACCACATGCACCACCACCACTACCACCACCACATGCAACAGACTCCCATGTGGCCCCCCGTCTCTCAGCCCAGCGGCTCCCAGCAGCCCCCCGTCGTATCGGCGCTCCACGGCCAGAGATGAGACTGAGCGGCGGGCTGCGGGGGCGGGGCTGGTTCGGGTGTAGCCAAATGAGAGAGGGGGGAGGGAGGTTGTCGGGGATGGGGGGGGGGGGGGGGGGGGGGAGGGTTCATGTGTGGAATGAGAGGAAATGGAAAAAGACAAAGAAACTGCTGTTTTCTTTTCCTCTCCGTCTTCATCACAAGTCATCCAAGCCGAGGAAGAACCTGGAGGGTCGCTGAGGAAACTTATCACCGATGCAAACAACAAGTCCAGGACCCGAACAGAGCAACCCACTGAGGATCGGAGCCATGACACCTGTCCAAGTGCTTTGTCTTTTTATTTTTGTTCTTAGAAACTCTTCTTTGATCGGGTTCAGGAGCCGAAGGAAGTCGACAATAACCAGCAGATAAACGACGAGACCGGCGCTCGGACCGCAGCGAGGTTGTGGACCGCAGCAAGGTTGTGGACCACAGAGGATCATATAGACGTGTGTTGGCGCTGTAGCCATAAAGAGTTTCGTTTACAGCCATAAAAATGCTTCGCGCAGTGAAACCTGGACTCCGGCTGGTTTCTCAGGTGTTTCAGGAACATCCGAGACCTGGTGGGAGGTGGTTTTAAGAGCACTTCCTGCTGGTCTGAAGGGGGTTTCTGTCTGCTGCTCATTAACAAAGATAGTTTCTGTACGTTGGTGCTCAGCTTGTACGACGTTTTTTGTTTGATAAAGAGCCGAAGTGACTTCCTGTTTATCCTCCGTCACTCAGCGCCGCCTCCAATTCAGCAGTTCTTTAAAAATAAACAGAAATCCTGATTAAAGCTCCTTCAGGGACGTGTTGTTGACCCAGTTTTATGATAAAGCTGCATTTTTAGTTAATATTATGATTATTATTATTACAGACGGCAGATTGTAGTTCTGGTTTCACCTCGGCTCTCTGGTTGAATATATTGACATTATCTTGTGTTTTTAGTTAGTTTGGATGTTTTCTCGTGTCGTACAAACGGAGCACAGACGCACACGGAGGCAGGCGGACAGTTTTGGATCAAACGCTGCAGACGTTATTTCAGGATTATCTTCTTTGGCTTCTGTTAACAAATTAAACAGACTATCTAGAGAGAAAAGTTTAAAATCTTTGTCATGTTGCAGCAGCAGAATATCTTTGTGAGGATTGTGGACCTTCAGCACGGCGGGATGTGTTTGTTCTGTGACTCACAAACTGGCGTTCGGTTGGACGAGGCGTCGAGGAAACGGCGTGCACGAGTGAAGAGAGACGAACTGTAAAGATACGACGGCAGAGTTTGCAATAATTTGACAGTTTTGAGGACAGAGCGCTGCCACGTTTCTAACGTAGTTTCCTTTTGTTACGACATTTCACCCCACAGTACAGACGCTCGGCGACGCCTTTTAATTTTCCCGACTGAGGAGCTGGGGCACTTCCTGTTTGGGCGGATAACGAGAGGCAGTTTTGTAAATAAAACCTCCACCAAAAGATTTCAGTCACGCAGACGAACTCACAAAAGAAAATGCACATTAATCTGATTTAAGGATATTTTTTGATGGGCTGCCGGTACCTCCGCCATGTCTCTGCCTGCCTGCCTGTCTGTCTGTCTGTCTGTCTGCCTGTCTGTCTGTGGGGGGTTTAGAGGCCAACTCAGTGATTTTCCACACAACCTTTCAGACGCTCAACCACTCCTACCTCTGTCTGTGTGGATGAGAGAGGCCCCTCGTGCTCTGAATGTATTCTCTGCCGCAGACACAGACAGGATCAGACCACATTCAGTCTTAAACGATTGTTCGGATCCACAAAAACTTTCATTTCTGTCTTTTTGTTTTTTATGAAGCTGTCCTCTGCACACAGGGTTACGTCACACACACGCAGAACAACTCACCAGTAGCTCAGTCTCAAGTTTTAAGAGTCAAAGAGTCACGAGGAAGTCGTTACCGTCGACCGCGACGGGACGCAGAAAGAAAGGTTATTTTGTTCTTTGCAGCTTCACACCGACAATCAGCTGTTTCCTGTTTCTGTAGGATTTTCCTGTTTTGTCGTCCTACAGTTTCTTTTCACTCGCTGTTGGTGCAGGTCTGACCTGTCTGTCTGTCTGTCTGACCGGCTCCAGTATCAGCGCTGTTATTCTCCTCCATTAAAACTGTAACTGTGCTAAGATTGAAAAGCCTCAGATTCTCTGTGACATAAAGGAAAAATCCATCCAGAAACACTCAGAATAAACTGCTGTTATGAGTTTACTCGCCTCCTCTCCGAGCAGATGACGACCTTTAAAGGACCAGAGCTGTTCAGTAACGTTTACTCTGAATGTGAGACAGGTTTTAGTCGGTCCCTCCAGGATTTAGCGTTGCTTTGGGGGGGGGTTGTTTGGGCCTAAAATGTCGGATTTCACAGCAACTTTTTCTAAACAACTTCCTGGAGGGACAGTTTAGATTCTGCTCCGTCGGTTTTGGGGTTTTTTGGTTAGTTTGCGAACTGTTGAAGCCGTCTTTAGTCGTGTAATCCATCATGGTGAACGTAACGCTGCAGTATTGTAGACAGCCTCTCCTCCAGGCTGCAGTTCTCATCTGAAACCCCCAAAATATCGTCATTTAAGACAAGTAACAGCAGCAAATTGTCACATTTTAAAGCTGAAACCATCAAATGTTTCACCACTTTTATCATCTTTTTAAAAATGACTTCACATTGTCGAGTAATGACTTCTTAAAACATCTGATGATTCATTTTCAGTGGATTAGTTGATCTTAGTTAAAAGTAAATTTACTCAAGTGCTTCAGTTTGAGCTACTTTATACTTTTTATAATCTGCTGATAAAACACATTATAGTTGATTAAAAACTAACAATATTTAAAGTTTAAATAAGATACAACATAAACTGTTATGTTGACTGTGATGGATTTCACTGTTAAAGGTTACAGTAAACGGGCTGAAGCGAGCAGAAACGACAGCGCGCTCCTTTAAATCCGATGGAGGCGTTTTTGGCTCGAGGGCGGATTTTTCCTTTTAAACCAAACTCTGCAGCGGTTTGTGGACAAGTCGAGACAAATGTTAAGTGTGTGTGAAATGTTTTTTTGGTGACGAGCTGCAGGTTCTGGCTCCGTTACGGATCCAGGCAGGCGGCGGCGGGCGGCGGTGGAGGGTGACTATTTGACCTCGCCTCACTTACAGACAGTAACATCCAGCTGATGTGTCCCAACCAGTCTGGAGATTTTATAAACTGGGTGACGTTTTACTTTGCTCTTACCAAGTGGATGATGGTATATATTTTTTTCTCACTCTGTTCTAATCCACGGCTCTTTTCTAGAGATTTCTCTCGAGTACTTTGTGTTCAATTTCCTCTGTTGAAATTTGTATTTATATGTTTAATAAAACAAGGTATGATCTGCTACTGTTTCGTCACATTGGTGTTTACTGTAAGTGAGAACGCCCGAGGAAGCACACAGAGTAAGAAAGAGAGCGAGAGTTGCATAAGTGAAGCTGCAGATTGAGGAAGGATGTGGTTGCACTGAGCTGGTGTTTCTCGTCAGTTGATTTGTGAGAGACTGCGTGTACGCTAATGTTGCTGCTGCAGAGAGAAAGTGAAGAGTTCAATGAGCTAACGCTAATAAGGTCATAAAAACAAACCACAGTTTGTAGCTTTAAAGAACCACAGACTTCACTGAAGTTAATCTTCACATATTTTACTAGAAGCAGCTTCAGGGAATTTTCTTTGTGTTGATTCTGATTTAAAAACCCTGGTAGAAAGTATTTTCATCCAAATATACCCAATGACCTGACAACAGTAACATTCATGTACTTTAACAGGAGAAGACAGAAGAAAAAACAAAGATCTGATACAGAAATCTGACTTTTATCTAAACTATGGTGTTTTTTTGGTAAAATATTGATGATTTGAACAGTTTCAGTTTATTACTGAAGCCTTTATTTGACCTACAAGTACAAACATCTGACACATCACTGCTTTTGTCCACAGGGGGCGCCAGAATCAACACAATGAAAGTTCCTTGTAGTTGCTTTAAGCAGGATTTTTACTTCTTATAGACTATGTTTTGGGGTTTTATTTCTTTATTGCTTTGTTTTAACTACCCAAAGGGTCCAGTGTGTCAGAAATGTAAAATAATATTCACAGGTGTGTTTTCATTAGTGTTTAATCACCTGAAATAAGGAACTGTTGTGTTTTTGTTACCTCAGAATGAGACATTTTCTCCTTCACACTGGGAAGGGGAGGGTGAAGCGAGGGAGCTGCAACTAAACTGCTTGATGCCACTAAATCTTACTTAAAATTTAAATAAAGCTACGCCTGCGACACACATCTGAAACGTACGGAAGCCCATTTCTGCCAATGTGACAAAAATCAACAGGATTCTGTCATAATGTGAAAACTTTCCCTAAAATAATGACTCAGTATCTCAAACTCTTAGTGTGAATTAGATTATTTTTAGATACTAAGTCAGTTTCTTTCCTGTCACATTGGTGGAAATGGATGTTTGTTTTAAAAGCTTAACGTGTATTTTTTTATTAGAAATCTTATTCTGAAAGGTAAGCTGTAACTAAAGCTGTCAGATAATAAAGTATAAAGAGTAAAACACCAGTACTTGAACAGGTGACTGTGCACAGGAGGTAATCTGCTCACAGCCTTCAACAGTCACCTGACACAAAACTTCAGTTCCTCAAAGACAGGAAAGGACTTGGAGCCGGTTCAGCGTGAGTTCAACCTGCTTTCATCTTTACTCATCAGCGTGTCCTTCCTGCTCTCGGCCTGACGTTTCTGTGAACAGGATGTACACTCTGCTCATAGTGGTGATGCAACACCCCAGTTCCTGGCCTCCTGCCACACATGCTGACAGTTGAAGGGAACAACACATGGGAGGAGAGTTGTATTACTCTGGCTGCTCTATTTATACACACACACACACACATATATATATATATATACGTATGTTGTTCAACAGGAGCAGCGTGGCTTTACAGTGTGGCTTTAAAGCAGGGCTTTACAGTGTGGCTTTACAGTGTGGCTCTACAGCAGGGCTTTACAGCAGGGCTTTACAGTGTGGCTCTACAGTGTGGCTCTACAGTGTGGCTCTACAGCAGGGCTTTACAGTGTGGCTCTACAGTGTGGCTCTACAGCAGGGCTTTACAGTGTGGCTCTACAGCAGGGCTTTACAGCGTGGTACAGAAACATTTTAATGATGCGTGTGAATAAGAACTTGAGTTTTCAACTAGAGCTTCATACAGAACAGAAGAGCCCTCCGGTGTCTTTAAAGCTGCAGTCGGTAACTTTTATAAAAACAACTTTTTGTCGTAGTTGCTGAAACTTTCACCGACAGTAGAACATAAAACAAATAATCTGTGAAAATATCAGGTTCCTCTGGTTCCTCTGGCTCCTCCTGGTGCTCCTGATTGGACTTATAAGAATCCATCAACAAAAACAACCAATCAGAGCAGAGAAACTATCTTCAAGCCTCCAGCTCAAAGTCTGTCTCTAAAACATGATGAAGTGCCCTCCAGGGTGATAATAGTAACCCTGACCATGAACGCATCACAACTCTCTCTGCACTAGTGCCCTTTAAATTTAATAAAGACCTTATTTACAACGTATGAATCCTTTATTAAGTACTTTAAGCTCCCGTGTGTAGGAAGCACGTACGACACACTACGGTCGGACTCCGCCAACAGAAGAGGACCCGCTTCGATTATAATGAAAACATATTAATATTATATTCCATCTCTGACAACAGATCTTAAACACAAACATGTTTGAGTGAAAGAAATCCTCCGGAGCAACAGGAAGTGATGAAATGTACACTAAAAGTTTATTAATTATTATTAATAATAACAATATTTAAAGCGGCTGATCACAGAAAACCCAAAGTAAAAAAAAACAAACCAGTACTGGACTCAGAGTTTGACAGGTGATTTATGGGACACGTAGTGAGTTAAAGGTTAAAATAAACCGATGGAAGCAGGTTACCTTCTCTCTGCAGGAGTTAATTAACAGATTTAAAAACAGTAGCGGGCGCAGTGTCGCCCCCTACAGGCTGACCGGCTCGTCAGCCCGAGGCTCCGCGGTGCTCTCTGCTGCGGCTGAAGCCGGAGTGAGGGAGCTCTGAGACGTACAGCCCAGAGCCGACACGGGCCAGTCCCGACCCGAGCTGCTGGAGGCTGGACACAGAGGACAGGAGAGGGGTATTATGGGCAATGACCACATCAAGTCTTAATATTTGTTTATTTTTCAGCCGTAGCTGTAGGTCCACCACTTTGGTCCAGACTGAAATATCTTCATCAAACCTTCACCTGTGTGTGACTCACCTGAGCGGCTGCACTGGGCGCTCTTGGCACTGTGGGGGAGATGAAGCGGAGCGCCGTGTCCCGCCTCCGGAGAAACAGCGGGTTTGTGGGAGCACTTGGCTTTGTCTTTAGTTTTGCCTGCGGCCGTCAGAGCACAGGAGCAGACACGAAGGTTAACAACCACCATAAACCCGACCGGCCTCGACGTTTTCGGGCCCTCAGCCAAAATACACCGAGTGACATTTGTTCTCGTGGATGGTGTTCGACAGCAGACGGAGACTCTGAGAGCTTCAGCGGGTGTAAAATCACTTCCTCGTGTTTCACATAAAGCTTCCAGCTGTAACAGTCACACAGTTACAGCTGAGCAACACACACTATGTGCTAGTCCACGTTGAAAAGACAACCACATGTTGAAGATGGTTTAAAAGATAAAAGCCACGTCTATATCGTTAAATCTTAAGTTAAAGGTCCAGTGTGTAATATAATATTAATAAGTATGTTTTCATTAATTTTCGTGACCTTAAATGAGACGTTTTTTATAAAATACATACAATTTTGACATTAGCTAACTTAAGATGTGACAATCTCTTTTATCTTTTAACCATCTTCAAAATGTGGTTGTCTTTTCAACATAGATTAGCCTAGCACGTAGCATATCTAAGTACAGGAGAGGAGGAAGTTGACGGAGGCTTGCTCAACTGTGATTGGAGCACAGAGTGAAAAGGGGGCGGGGCTTAACTCATTACAGACATGTATGGACGTTCAGAGAGAATCAATTTACCGTCTTTGGTAGCGATTGTAGGTAGTTTAGTTTCTGTACTTCTGTTGGCAGGTGCGTTCAGGCGACCTTTGTAAATATGCCCGTCCATCCCGACGATATCGATCTCCTGCGACTAACCAGCCAACACACGCACACACACACACACACACACACACACACACACACACACAGGGAGGAGGCCGGTAACATCTCATTGACACAGTTTATTCTTTTCAAACTGAGAGAAATATTTTTTTAAACTAAAATATCCCATTACAAGTAAAAGTTCTGCATTTACAATCTTAAGTACAGAAGTATTATTATACAACAATATTAATATTATATAAGTGAAAGTCCAGCTCTGGATTATTATTGTTGATACACAAACAGTCAGTTTAGTGTTGAATGTGGAGCTTTATAAGACCAAGCATCATATATACTAACATGATCACATGGTATGTTAAATCTTAAGATTTATGGTACTTTTACTTCTAAACTCTGTCTCGTCTTTAAACAGCTAAAACATCAGGACAGCTTTTGGATAACTTTTGCCATTTCCCATGACTTTCCCCCTTTTTCCAGGTCTGGGGAGCTTAAAGGATGCCAGGTTTTCCAGGACTGTGGGGATCCTGTATGACCTCAAACAAAGGTCCTAAAACAGGAACCTGCGCAGGAGGATTCAGGACCCATCAGTGGGTGTCGGAGGTTAGAAATGATGTACAGATGTACCTGAATCACAGCGTCCACCTCAGTCTGGGGGGGGTGGTGCTTCGTGGACTGCAGGCCGGTGCGTCGCTGGTTGGCCGAGGTGACCGTGTGACTCCCGCCGCAGCTCCGCAACACGGTCAGGTGACTGTAGTCGGTCAGCTCAGAGATACGCTCGCTGCTCGGTCGGAGAGAGAAACACCAGAGAGGCCGTGAGATGATGTCGATGTTCAACAGGAGGAAGAGGATCGACACAGACCTTCAGTCTCTGCACACTGCGGCCACATTTTATTTTATTTTGAAAATAATCTGTTGACCTGTTTCACATTCCTGCGATTAATATGTAAATGTATGTTTTCTTTATCTAAATCTATTGTTTCTTGTGCTCTTCTAATTCACCCAGTCTAATATTTTTTACATCTTAACTCATTTTCTGTCCAAATGGGACTTAAACATCCAACAGAGTGAACTCTCCCTGTCCTCCCTCTCTCCTCTCCCTCTCTCCTCTGGCCTGTCCTGACTCACTGGTTCTGGCTCTGGCTGTCGCTCGCGGCCTCGCTGTGTCTCAGTGTCCTCTGGACGCTCTCTATCTGCCTGCACATCACGGCGTGGCTCCTCTGAAGCAGCTGCCGTCTCCTGACACAGTTAGCTACATCAAAGTTGTAGCGGTTGGTTCCTGGTTTCAGGCTGAGACGGCAAGACCAGCTTACAGTGGATCAGATACTGAGAAACTAACACATGCTCTGTTTGAAGGCTCAGACTTTACAGATTATAGATTATAGATTACCACTGCCATAGAAAGTATGTTTATGGTCCTGTCAGTGAGTTCCTGTTCCCCTAGCGCCACCTGCTGGTGGATAAAGAGAGTGAAGGGAACTGCTGATCTCACCTCCTGTAGTGCTGTCGAAACTGCTCCAGAGCGTAAACAGTGAACGGCCTGATGGACTTGTGTGCGGGGAACCCAGGAGTGGAAGGAAGCCTCACCAAATTACTGTTACTGCCCAAAGAGAAACACACACACACACACACACACACACACACACAGGAGAGATAAGTCATATTTTTGGGGGTTTTTGATCTGAGGAATTATTTAAAGAATACAAGACACTGCAAATATCTTTGAATCTGAATCTGTAAATCTAACAATATCAGTGATGATGGGAGGTAAATGTTATTGGTGCTGACTCACGGTCCGGGCGTGTACTTGACGACAGGTCGGTCGCAGGAGAGGCAGTGAAATCTGTCCACGAGTTGTCTGGAAATAAACAAAGAAACACACTGACGAGGAGGAACGACTACTTAAAATATGGTGTAATGGCAAACAACTGCCATCATTATCGTCTTTTCAAAATGTTAACATGTTTCTCATAAATGACACCAAATCTAATCTAAAATCATCCCTGGTTGGTGTTAAATACATATTAAGTTATAACGTACAGGATAATACAGTAGAAGCCCTCCTTTAAATACCACTCACAGACTGAAACCTACAGCATAAAGTCTTCTTTAACTTAAAAAATACACACAGTCGGCCGATATCTCATCATCCTACATTAGGAAACAACCAAAGAGCTAATAGAACAAACATCTGGCAGAAAAGAAGCTAAATAAGTCTGTCTGCTTGTTAAGAAAAGGGTTAGGGTTAGTTCTCTCTACATATGGCCAGTGAGAGTCAGTGAGTGTGATGTGAACACGTACTTCCTCAACCCAGCAGCGTCGTCGTGCTCCGGAGGTCCCTGGGCCTGCAGCTTCTCGTGGATATTCTTCCAGCGACCTTCCAGCTGCTTCTTCACAGAGTCCAACTCGATCCTGTTCAACTACGGCGAGATCGGAGGTCAGATACAGCGTCACAGAGAACCGCAGATCACCCCCGGGTGATATTTACCTTACACTCCATCTCCGTGGACAGTCTGTCGATGACCTTCTGCCAGTCTTGCTCCTGGCCCGTCACCTTGTTGAGCAGCTCGTGGAACATGGCGTTGAGCTGCTCCGTCACAGAGTCGAACTGCAGACGGCTCACTTTGCTGTCCAGAGCGGATTTATCTGCTTTCTTCGGGGGGGTTGGAGAGACAACAGGAAGTTCAGGAGATAAAGAGACAGGCCTTTCATACCTGCCCAACAACTTTATACTAATGAATACAGTCTGTAAGCCATCAGTCCGCTCACTGTTTAAGACTTCAGAAATATAGATGGTTATCCAGATTTTCCAGGATGGGTGGGAACCCTGTACTCTCTCTCTTACGCACCAGGCGAGTGAAATATCAGTGCTCTTCAATTCTTAAATGAAGTAAGACTAATAAACAAACCCTCCTCTGGTACCCACAGTCTTTATCCTACAGTAAGTTCACTCACTATTTCACTCTCAACCATCTGCTTGTCGGCCTTCTTCTCCTCCAGCTCCTCTGTCGTCTTGTACAGTTCCTGTAGAGGAGTTCAACAGCGATATTAAACACAATCATTAACAGCAGAAAAAGGCAAGTTAAGTTTATTTTTCAGACTTTCCTTTAGTCTTTGTTTCTTGTAAATCACTAGTTAATTCTAACTTCTTCAGGACTCAAACAAGCCGACATTGCGTCCTTTTAACGGGTGAAAAGAAAACTGGTATTCTGTACTAAATAATGCAATAATTAGTTACTACATCTTCAAGAATACACAACGAAGGATCCACGCTGTGTGTCTGTCTACCTCTATGTGGCTCTGTTTCTGCCTGTTGTCCTCGTGCAGACACTGGGTGGTTTCATGCAGTCTTTCACACTCTGCTTGAAGCTGCAGGATCGCCTTCTGCACGTCGTCCACCAGCTCCACGCTCTGAGACACACACACACACACACACACACACACACACACACACACACACACACACACTCGTGTTGAAACATATAACACTGACTTTAACTGCAGTCTTAAGGTTCTTGAAAGAAAAGATCTCTGAGTCCGTTCCACTCCGCGTCTGTTGTGAGCAGCTACACTGACTGACGGGGCCGAAATGGAGCGTTTAAAACACTTTTCCGTTCTACTTCACGTCTGGTTAACCCACTTTGAAGTGTTGTACTGCACAGCTACTAGATGTCTTATTTTTAATCATTTTCCAGGTGTTTCTATGACTAGAAAACTAGTCTCTAAATTTTCAGGTATTCCAGGACGCGTTGGAAACCCGGACTTTAACAGAGTACTGATTTCTGGAACGAATAAAGTGTCTCTCTGTTTCTTTGTCTTGCCTCTACGTCCTTCAGCGGCCCTGCTCTGCCTGCAGTCTGCTGCTGGAGCAGGCTGTTCACGGCTTCCTGCAGCAGCTCGTAGTGCTGGAACAGACGGCTGAGCTTCCTGCCAACGTTCACTGTGCTGCTGGTGAAAGTGGATTTCTCTGTACTCTGACCGAGCTCCTGGCCGTCGCTCTCATCGTCCTCGAGGCTGCAGGACAGCTCAGAGGTCAAGGACAGCATCATTTCCTCCAACGTGCCCCGCAGGTCGTCCAGCTGAGCTCGGGGGGGCAGGAAGAGGGTAAAGGACTGAGGTTAGACTGATGTTGGACTGAAAGTAATTCCGGTTTAGCAGATTGGAGCCTGTTTGGTGATTTTCAGAGCAGTTTTACTAAAGCTCTGCCACCACATAGAGAACAAGGACAGCAGCAGTTCAGAGCTGCAGATGAAGACGTGTGGATGTTGCCGTCTGCAGACAATTAGTGAGGTTGAGGTTTTACATTTTTGTACTTTTTCAGCTTGTTAATTAAAATGGAAGATAAATACAATTCAGTTTGTGACTTCTCAAGCATCAAAGTATATATTTTGTAAATCAATTTGATTGAACTGATTCAGATTTTCTTTTATTTCCTATTATAAAGATATTTTAAAGTGTTTTTAAAGTGTCTCAGAATTAAAATCTGGACTCTATCTGAATCTAATTCACTCTCTTTTAATCTGTTTTATCTGTGTTTTTGGTCTCTACCGACTCCTGAGGGAATATCTGGCTGTATATATATATACATAAATGTTCCACTGTGTTCAACGTCTGTGAGAAGATACTGGAAACTATCGTATCACAACATTTTGTTATGTGATATTCTATCAACTGATGTGGGATGTTACAGCGACTGTGATGAATAATCCCACTTTTCTGGTTGCATAAAAAGTTAGTGTGTTCTTTATCCTATAACAGTTTTCCTTAATGTAGTTTTAAATCTCAAAATATCACCTTGCTTACAGTATCGCAATTTATTGAACCGTAACCTCGGTATTATGATACGTATCGTATCGACAGATTATACAGACAGATGTATCTGTGTGTTGTTTGCAGCAGTTAGTGTACAGAGAGTTTTTCACAGCTTTGACCACAAACAACGCTAAGAGAGCTGAGAGAGTGAATCGAAGCTGTGGGCCGGACAGATAAACAGTGAGTTGGAACTTGATAAATATACTGATTATAACTGCTTTAAGTTTTTTCAGACACTTCACCATCAACTGGGTGAAGTGTTTATTCTCTGTAGACGCAGTAAAGGACGAAACTTCAGCCTACAGGTCTGAACCGCTGCTGTTCCTTCACATCCTCGTCCTGACTGTCCCTCACTAACACGTCTCCCTGTCTGACCTGATCTTGCAGGTGTCGGTCTGTCGCTTGCTTCTCAGTTAAAGCCTGTTTGGCCTTCAGCTGCTTCAAGTCCTCCTCCAGCTTCTGCACACACTTCCTGGATATGACGGTACCGACATGAAAGCACTGATCTACACACTCACAGAGGGCTGAAGCACAGTGTGACACACTTTCAAAGGGCAACATGAAGCTTCTCCACTGGAGGACAAAGTATGTTATTAGCTGGAAGTAAAACTAGAAAAACTGTCTGTAAATATGTTAAAATAATTGATTTCATTACTGCTGCATCTTCCCTGCATGCTCAACTTTCTACAGTGGACTGAGTTTTTAACTACGTGTGGCTCAGATGATTGACGCCTCTCCCTGTGTGTCCATCTGTCTTTACCTGAGGAAGGATATTTGCTGTCTGAACTCATGAGAGGCTTTGCTGTCTGAATCCAAACTCCCTGAAGTCGCCTCTGAGGTGCCTTCTCTGTCTTGGCTCGTTAGGTTCATAAACATGTCCTCCAAACTGTCCAGCTTTGGACAGACACATTACATCGTCAGAACCCGGAGTTTGTCTCGGTGCTGAAGTTTAAGAAAAGCAGGAGTTTCCTCCGTCTCACCCACCTTTTCTCTGTCACTCATTAGGCCGTCTATTAAAGCTCTCTGCTGGTTCAGTTGATCCATCAGGTTATTCGACGCGTCCTGTGAACCTAAATGTACAATGTGACAGCGAGGCATTAGTCAGGAAGTGATTCAGCCCAGAAAGGACAAACCAAACACTGGCTCTAGGGGCTTTCACGTTTTTCTCCAGTTTCTTTCTGTAGCAGCATTCAAATAGTTGCAATCTGCAACTTCACCACTAGACGCCACTAAATCCCACCCACTGGCCCTTTGAAGGAATGAGTAATAAGTATATATGAAGCTCTATCAGACCTAACAGCATTATGAAGTAATCTAGCTCAGGTCCTTTGAGTCAGTCGATATAACTGAAAGGTCACAGACAGGTGATATAAAGTTACCTTTGTTAGCGATGAGTTCTCTGAGGTGTGTCAGCTCTGACTTGTCCAGATTTTCTGTTTCCAGCGCCACAACGCGAGCTTCCAGCTTGTTGAACCTCTCCTTCAGTTTGCCGATGTTCCTCAGGGCCTCCACCGTCTCCTGGTAGCGCCCTGAGCCGCTGGCCTTCCGGGACACGCCAGCAGCCGGTCTTGTTTTAGGCTCTGATGGGACTGAAGAAGCCTCTGGGGCACCCGGCAGGGTGTCCGTCGCTTCCTGGGGAGGTGAGATCTGTCCAGAAACCGATGGAGAACCGGGAGCTGCTGTATCGCTGGTAACCTCGCCAGGGTCGGGGGGGGAGGAGGACGCGCTGGTATGAGAAGGTGCAGTTTTTACGGCAGTGATGTTGAGGTTCAAGGATGTGAGCGTGGGTTTGTCCACTGTGGCTGGATCAACAACGCCTGAATTCACGAGCTCCTTCTGAAGGTTTTCTCTCTCACTGAGCAGAGTCGACTGCATCACGTCCCAGCTCACACACTGACTCAGCTCCTCCGGGTCCGGATACTTCTGGAACGTGTCCCTCAGAGAGCTCTGCCACAGCGAGGACAAGGGACAAGAACTCATTATGGACCAATAGGCAGTTCAAACAGCAGAAAGGAAGAACAGGAGAGTGTAAAGCTCACCACAGCTTCCTCCAGGGCGTCCACACGGCGGCAGCACTGCTCCACATCTGTGACCGGCTCTGTTGGAGCGCCGACCATCTGGACACGGGAGAGAGGGAACGCCTTATAGCAGGATTTACACTGGGGTTGGAATATTAATTAATCTTCATATTAATGACATTAAAGTCTCTATTAACAGTTCTCTCTGACTGTCTAGCCGCCATAATCCGGGTAAATGTTAATAAACTCTGTTATTACCGTACGTTCAGAGCAATACCTTGTGTTGGTGGTGGAGCTCCTTCATCTCTTCCTTCAGATGGTCTCTTTGGTTGTGGAGCTCCTGGATGAGCTTCATGGCCTACAGAGACAGAAACAGAGACAGAGAGAGAGACTGCATCAATCACTGCACGTACAGTTTAACACTCAACCACCGGGGGGCGCTGTAGTCTCGCCTCAAATATTTAGTCACAGAGGTGTCTGGGTCTCGGGGAACAACTGTCTATAATCCTCTCACTCTGATGAGTCTACAGGCTACAATATAATATTAAATATTTATAGTTCAAAGATTATTTTGAAGATCCAAGACGAAACTGACCATCAGACTCTTCTTCACTCAACACATTAAGAAATGTCTGATTTGAATTCATAACTTTATCTCGTCCACACTGAAGGTGACGCAGCTCAATCACACACAGTCGCAGACAAAAGGTTTTTATAGCAACATAGAACACGTGAAGTCAACGACTGCGCTCTATATGGGGATCAATATTGACTTCTTTTTCCAATATAAAAAGCTCTGAGGACTCTGATTGACACACTGATACGTCCTCCTGACTCCCAGGACCCTCCGTCTGACCTTTGACCCCCAATGAAAGCAGACAGAACTTCAACCGACAAAGAGGGTGAAGCACAATCCAGCTGTTACACTTTCTCTGATAATCCCTCTTTACCCGGGTTATTTAAATTTCCTTAGAGACTGTCGGGTTTGTTGGCTGAGTAAACGATTGCAGGTAACATGTGTGTGTGTGTGTGTGTGTGTGTGTGTGTGTGTGTGTGTGTGTGTGTGTGTGTCACAGACTGAAACAAAGGGACATTCCTGAGCTGCATGTTTAACTTGTGTCGAATGTGCCCGGACATGAAATGATGCATAGCGACCCCACAGAGCTTCAGCAGCAGCCTGAATGACTAACAGCTGGTTAATGAGCGCAGACACACACACACACACACACACACACACACACACACACACACACACACACACTGCAGGAATAGGATAACCATTGGTTGAGTGTAACTAAGTACATTTACGTTAGAATTACACAAAAAGTTTAATTTTGAGGTATTTGTACATTTTCTGCCACTTTAAACTTTATACAGGCAAATAAAGTATTTTTACATTTTTATTTAATAACTTCTGTTACTTAGCAGATTCAAATTATGATTTATTATTATGGATTAAGCACCCAGCAGTAAATATATATAAAGTAATTAAAACTAGCTCCACCTTCAGCACACTGCAAAAAAGGAATCTCAAGAAAGTGAAGAAACGTATTTCTGAGAAATATCTTTTTCTGTTCGTCCAAAACTCAAAAGTATTCACTTTAATATTATCGGAGACGAAGAAAACCAGCAAATATTTACATTTGAAAGGCTAAAACCAGTAAATATTTGCTGTTTTTTATTGATTTTAACTAATCGATTGTTAAAATATCTGATCTGTAGATTGACTGACGGATTAATTGACGACTCGTTTGAGCTCCAAACAGCAGCTGAAACTATACTGACACTGGAAATACTAATGAAGTGACAGGAAACAGGCTGAAGTTAGAATAAAGAAAATACTTAAAGGGCCAGTCTGTAGGACGCAGACTGCAGCTAACTGAACACCCCTCGATCCAATGACCCTCGGCCCAACTTTCATCCAAATCCTGTTTACAAGTTGTATTCTGTAAGAAAATATCAGATATCATATTGAATAAGAGAGAGGAGACAGGTTGGACTTTTATTAAAATAATAACCTGTAACGTATCGTGATGCTTATTTAAACTGTTGCCAGCACACGGCTCTAGTTTCACTGTCCAACAAACCAACTGACGACCTCCAGGGCGGGATCATAACTCAACTGTTACTGTTTAAACTGTTGACTCATTTCAGTCGCACATTAACTGGAGCTGACTGAGGAGGGGGGGGGGGGTGTTCCTCTGACAGGTTAATGGGTGCATACGGTCCGGACCCCCCCTGACGTGTGGCACGCTGTGGTTTGGGCTGTGGCCTTCAGAGGGGAAGACGGCGGCGGACGAGAGGGCACGCCGGGTCAGCGGATACGAGTGATGCCCCGCGGAGGACATGAATGATTCAGAGGGGCTTCTGAAAGACGCAGCATCACCTGCCCGATGTCCCGCTGTTCACCTGAGGGCTATTCAACCCCTGACAACCAGACTCATCTCTGCAGGGGACTAATTACCCCCTATCACACAGAGGGAGGGAGGGAGGGAGGGAGGGAGGGAGGATGAGATCATGACTGAGACAGAAAGTTTTCAGAAAATGTCCCATAAAACAGCCGCTCCTTGAACACACCGTCCACTGCACTTTGTGTTTTTAAGGTAAAAGCTTCACGGTGTGTTTAAAGCTGAAGATCCTCGCCGTCTTCCTCTCTTTAGGAAGTGACCTGACAGAAACCTGAACGGAGACACGCAGAGGTCATTTGAGATGTCAGGGTGGCGCCCGTCTCCTATTGTCCTCCGCTCTGTCAGCAGCGGCTTAATGCCACGCTGAAACGCTCGTCGCAGCACGCCACGGAGGGAAGAGAAGAAGCTGAGCACACTGTCAGTCTCTGGCGGTCCCAAACGCATCCTGGAAAACCTGGAAAACCTGGACATTTAGAGCCTGGAAATTAATTAAAATGACCAAATATCCTGGAAATAATCTGTGTTCTCCTGGAAAATGTTTAAGTGTATCTCATACATTAAACCTACAGGTGCATATTTAGTTTGAACCCGAGCTGCTGGCCCATTGTGCTGTCCTGGAAACTCCTGGAAACTCCTGGAAAATGTCCTGGAAAATGGTATCTTAATGAGAGTGGGGAACGCAGGTGCTTTCAGGTACACCTGTTGTCGTAAATGTCCCAGCATGCAGCAGAAGTCAGTTATGCTTTAAAGAAAACGTAGTATTTATATTTATATTAACAACCAGCAGGATTAATTATAAATCTTTATAATTCAATATCTGAGGCTGATAGTGACGTCACAACAGGTGTTTTCATCATTTCACAAAAGTAAAAACACCTGTAGTGACATCACAGCGAGGGGGTGTGGCCTCCAGAGAACATACCTGAGCTCTCTACAGTGTCCGAATAATCTCATTGTAACAGGAGATAATCTGCTGATTAATTGTTTCGAGTAAGAAATTGTTGAAGTTTGATGGTTCCAGCTTCTTAAATTATAGTATTTGTAATTAAATATATTTGGGTTATAGACTAAAATGTATTACCTATAAAGTTTTTTTTATATATTTTAACCTGTTTCCTGATTAAATCTCTCTCTCTCTCTCTCTATATATATATATATATATATATATTTACATTATTGGACTATTATTAACACTGAAGCATTGAGTAGCATTTACAGTTGGAGCAGAAACATAAAGAAAAAACACTTTTGGCTATTTGATTTGAGAAATTTAGAAATTTGAGGAATATAATTTTGAGTTTTGGTTCAGTAAATATTAAAAATAAACCTTGTTTCACTGAATTAAAGTGTCTGATATGACTTTTATTAACGGTAACTGACTGTGTTTGCTCTCACCTCACTGTGTATAATAACACAATAATATATATCTGTCAGTTTATAAAAGTTTGCTTTACAATTTTTAGCCAATTTAAAAGAAATATAAGTTTAGTTTTTAATATAATTCAGATTTTTGTTGCAGTGAATGATTAAATTAAAGTTGTTATCTGACTTTTATTGACAATAACTGCTCTCACCTCGCTCCCACTGTGTAAAATAACACTGATAATATTAATAATAAGTTTGTTTTGAGATAAAAAGTCCAGTTTTTATGTGATAAAAACATTTGAAGAATATAATTATGACTTTTGGTTCAGTAAATATTAAAAATATACCTTGTTTCACTGAATTAAAGTTGTTATATGACTTTTATTGACAATAACTGCTCTCACCTCGCTGTGTATAATAATATTAATACGTTTGTATTGCAGATTTTTGCCATTTTAAAAGAAATAAAAGTCATTTTTTAAATATAAATATGACTTTTGCTGCAGTGAATATTGAAAATAAAACTTGTTTCATTGAATTAAAGTTGTTATATGACTTTTATTGACAATAACTGCTCTCACCTCAATCCCACTGTGTAAAAAAACACTGATAATATTAATAATAAGTTTGTTTTGAGATAAAAAGTCCAGTTTTTATGTGGTAAAAACATTTGAAGAATATAAATATAACTTTTGTTGCAGTGAATATTAAATAAAAACCTTGTTTAATTGGATTAAAGCTGTTATAAGCTCTCACCTTGGACACGTCGTCCTCGCAGCTCTGGATGCGGGAGCGGAGGCTCCACCTGCCGCCCGCCGCGGGGCCGGAGGAGGAGGAGGAGGAGGTCGGGGATGAGGAGGAAGGTATCCGCTCCTGCAGCTCCATACCGGGCTGAACCTCCCGCTCCAGCTGGCTCCTCCTCCTCCTCCTCCTCTTCCTCCTCTCTGACACACACCAGAGCATCGGGCCGGCCCTCCCCGGGAGCAGTGTCCCTCCAGCGGGTCTTCAGCTCCCGGATATCCAGCTGCCGGAGGATGGCGTGGAGGAGGGCGTGCAGGGCTCCGAAGTTCACGGCTCCCTTCTGGGGCGTCCCGATGGATAAGTTCAACAAGTCTTTCAGGCTGATGTTCTCCTCCGACATTTTTGTTTCCTTCTTTTCTACGCAGCCGTTAATAATTAAAAGTTAAGCTACCGTTAGCTACTTTATCAAACTTAAACTCCCGCCGCTGCGTCCATTTTTAAAGCGCACAAATTCCGCTTTTATTTCCCGACCAGTGGCTGAACTAACAGCGGAACTATATTCTTTAAAGTCTTTACAATAAGTGTTGGATTGTCTGTACCGTCAGTGGAGTCGCCCCGCTCCCCCCGGCAGCGTTACTCTCGGAGGTCGGCAGTTGAATGTGATAACGTTCAAGAGAAAACAGCAACCTCGGCTGGAGCCGCGTCAACCGCCCGGATTTACCGGAAACACAGCGAAGTTACCCTTCAAAGTAAAGGCGTGTAGGGAGAGAACAAACACATTCTGGAGAACGTGGGTGTTTAATTGATATCAAAACTTTATAATTGTTTATTTCGCAACATCATTTTGCGCATTTGTTCCACATTTTCGCACCAAACTGTTGTGAAACGTTCACATTGGCGCTCTCCGGCTTTTATTTTAAAGCTCGAGACCGGATGTAGTGTTCAGCATTAGCTCTCAGCTTGACGACACTTCTCTTCGCGGGTTCCCACGTTGGAATCAACTCGCGGCGTTAACGGTTGCTAGGCGACAAGCGGCGATCATGCTGCGTTCCAGGAACTGGAAAAATAATCGGATTTCCGACCGACCCTTAACATTACCTTCTACTTTTATGAATGCACAGCGACTTACATGTTTCATTATCAATATTATTATTTCATTGTGGCGATATTTTATTAATGAGACCAAATAGTAAGAAAGCAAACTGTAATTTAAAATAATACATTTAATACTAAGATGCCAGAATGAAAACTAAAACAGAAAATAGTATTAAAATCTCTAAAATATGATTTTTGTTCAGAAATACCATTTTTTTTTCATAGCTTGTGTATATATATATATTTATTGTGACTATATTTGTTTTTTATGTGTATGTAAGTCAAACATGAGTAAAAATGACCACCACTTGGACAATTTGTGACAAAAACTGTATTATTATTATTATTATTATTATTATTATTATTATTATTATTATTATATCAAGCACCCATAAGTGAGCAAAAAGAGGTGTGTCATCCAATTTAAAGTTCATTTAACCTCCAATACATTCCTGTTAACCACAGATTATATCCAATATATATGTATATCATTTATAAAAATAATTTTAAAAAAAAGGTAAACCACACAACTAATGTTCAAAATAATATTTTATTGATAATAAAAACAAGCAAGCAAAGGTTTGGGTGCCATTCTTAATTACTACATTCAAGTATAAAATCACCTTCATAGTACACATGCATTTCCCTTAATATCCGTGAGATCGATTGCATCCATTGCAACCCAACCCCGTAATGTTGCACGGAGCAATAAATTAACTACACTAATGCAACTGTAATTCAGAATTTGACACTTTAAACAAAAAGAAAACAAACACTACAGCATCTACAGTTCTCGGCTGTGTGGAGAAGACAACATGTCTTAAAGGCCCAATGTCTAGCACTGTGTTGGGTTGGCTTCAGTTTTAAAATGAGAGACGATTCGAGGGGAAACTTTTCTCAAATCATAAAAGGTGAAGGTCTTTGGTAACTTATGTGAGAAGGTTTTATTATGTTAGGAGCATTACAGTGATGAAGAGATGTGGGTGGCAGTATTACACCATGAACCCTCCCTAAGCCCCGCCCCCTTTTTGCTCTGTGCTCCAATCACAGTTGAGCAAGCCTCGGTCAATGTTTATTATCATTAGGGGACTTAAGACGTGACTATTTATACGTCTCTTTTATCTTTTCAACCATCTTCCACACAGACACACATCTAAAGTAGAGGACACCACATTTTTCTTCCACAGGATGGCGAAGTCACAACCCGCCCTGCTCTGCCTTTGATTGGCTGGTTCTCGGTGCCTTCGTCGGTTTGGTTGGTTAGCTTTAGGCATGAGGAGCGAGATAGGTTCGGGTCAGTGTAAGAATGTCAGAGGAAGAGCAGAGGAAGAGGAGGGCGAGTTGTGACTTCACCATCCTGGGAGAAAGAACACAGGAAAGGAGAGGCGGGACTTAAAAAGGGTACATTTTCTTTTTTGAAGATAAACAAAACGCACTGCGTGAGGTTTATCCCGTCACGCTGGAGCTTTCAGTGTTTGTGTGCATTATTTACATCCATGTTTATAATGCTACGTTGTGTTGCTCACACATAAACATTAAAAACATTCCTCTGCAGCACGACTAGCATCAAAAACCAGAAAGCTGCTGATTCAATAATGACCTTTTCTCCTCCTCGATTTACCATCTCGGGGTCCCGACACACATCAGGAGCCCAGAACAAGTAGCAAAGAAGAGAAAGTGACTGATTTCTTTCTTTCTGGCTCAAACCAAACAGCCTCTTATTAATTACATTTGAACTAAATACAGCCAGTCAGTTGTAAGAGTCACGGGGTCGTCCTCGAGACCATCTGGATCTTATTACAACCAATTATAGCACTTAGTGTGTGTGATGAAGGAAAACAGCAAAACAGAAGAAAAACACCCAAACAAAAATATAAAAAAAGAAGGAGTTCAGTTTCTGTTTCCCTTTAAACTGCCAGATACGTCTTTAAATGAAGGTAAATGTCTCGCAGAATATCGGTCGTAAAAGTTAATCGTACGATCGTGGGGAGTACAGCAGTGGATTGGCCGCTTCATGTGGCGTGATTCACAGTCTCTGTCCCCCCCCCACTTACACATTAGGGGACGTGTGGCGCCCACGAGGGGCCCGATGTCTTCAGGGATGCACGGTGATGGTTGTCCACACAGATAATAAAGATCATTGATTTTTGAATTCTTATTCTCACTGCACTTACAGGTCTTTACAGACGGGAAGCGATTGACGAGCCTCTTAATTCACTCTGATACTGTCCAGGGTTCCCGCTCTCTTGGAGAAATCCTTTTCCAGGACTTTTTCCAGGACCTTTTCCAGGTGTTTTTCTTGACAATAAAGGACAGCACTTGCTCTTGTTTAAGGGATTTTTTCCGCTTTCCAAATTTACTTCAGTTTTTCTCTGATGTTAATGAGATCAATGACAGATTAAATCAATTTCCAGGTGTTTCCATGACTGGGAGACTAAAATTTACAGGTTTTCCAGGATGCGTGGGAACCCTGACTGTCGTAGATGAGAGACTGATCCTTGTTGTTTGTGAGTTTCCTGAACATCAGTGTTAATTTAACTTTAGCTGTAAACAATAACAGTGACAGTAACTCTGGTTGGCGTCGAAGACAAGGATCGCCACACGTAGAGAAAAGACCCTTTTAGCCTTCATCACCCAGAAACTACAGGTTATAAACTGTTTAAGTACAAAAATGCGAATTTATCGGTATCGGCTGAAAGAAAATCCATCTGGTGCATCCCTAGTTTATAGAGTTAATAGAACAGAGTCAGTATTTCACTGTGTGCAAAGAATAAGGTTGACATTACTCTAATTTTCATCAGATCCCATAAAAAGACCAAAACCAAACCAATAATGTGTCTCTCAGCTCCGGGATCCCTGGTTCATAAACAGGTTCAGTAATTTCCTTAAAACACGGCTCACTGGAGCTTTTAATCAAAACAAACAGGAGGAAACAGTGCGTCTGTTGGGGACTATTTTCAGTGGAACAGATATATCAGGCTTTCACACACACACATGGTTTCATTGGTTTTGGTCTTTCGTGGGATTTTATTTTGACAAGAGGAACGATATATAATATCCCGACACTCGTCCTTTGAGTCAGTTCGTGCAGCCGGAGCAGTCGAATAAAAACACAATAAAGTCAGCATTGTTCGTACAGGCACTAACAGCGGGACTCTTTATATCATCACTGTTGGATCAAAAGTGCTTCTTATGTGGTTATCAAATCTTTATCCATCATCCCGCAGTGAAGTCTGCTTTCATAATTAGTTTTGATTCATTTGCAGAAAATAAACGGCGGGAGGAACCGAAGGTAAATCTCGTGTGCACAACCTCCTCGTAACTTCTGATTTAGCACAGATAAATGTTTAAATTGATTTTAATGTTGGGCTGTAATGTGCAGCCACTGTCAGGCTGAACCAAACATACCACAGTATCGGGCTGGGATCATCATCATCATCATCATCATCATCATCATCATCTCCTCTGGGTGATTCTTTCAGCTGCGTCCTCGTCACTCAGATGCTGTCGTAGTCCGATTCTCGCCTGCTGGACTCGGCCAACGTCTCGGCCAAGAAGAAGGTCGTGGAGCCAAGGAAGCCCGCCACGACCAGGATGAGCAGCTGCCAGTGCAGCAGCAGGTAGTTACTGTAGAAGAAGGCCACGGCGGCCATGATGGACTGGAGGGGAAAATACAACAGTCAGGGTTCCCGCTCTTCTGAAAGAGTAGTTTACCAGGACATTTTCCAGGTTTTATTGACTATACAGGACAGCATTTATAACGTTAACATTCATTAAAAGTTCCAGCATAACAGGGATTATTTTCCAGGATATTTGGTCAGTTTCCAGGTGTTTCCTTGACCGGAAAACTAGTCTCTAAATCTCCAGGTATGAAAGGAATAAAAAATATTTAACAATAACTGCAACCCCAGACCAGGCCCTGTTTCCAACTATCACTTTAACTTGTTAAACTGCCCTTAAACTTGAGTGTTTCACTCCTATTGGAGACTTTAAAGCCTCACTCTCTGAGGTTTTCAGTGATTCTTACTCCTGTTTCTATTAATTCTTTATCAACTGTGCGATTGTGTTTTCTAATTGTTCTCAGATCTCTCTTGGAAAAGAGATCTTAATCTCAATGAGACGTATTCCAGATAAACAGTAAAATGTGTTTGTGAACAGATTTGAGGAGAGAAACAGTCAACAACAGAATCTGGATCCATATCTGATCAGCACTGTTTGACAGTTTGATCTGAGTTTGGTGTGTTGAGCTGGACGGACTCACTGAGAATGAGCTGTCAATCACAAGGTAGCCCCGCCCTAAAGCATACCCTGCTTTATGGTCTGTTTTACTCTAAATGGGACCATCAGTTACTAAATGAACATCATGCTGTATGGAAGAAGACTGAAACTAGAGACTGAGACCAGAAACTCATCAGGAAACTGTTTACTGAGCTCATAAATCAACTGAGAAGTCGGATTATTTCTCCATAAGACTGAATGGTAGTGGAGCTGCCCCCTGCTGGCTGTTACACAGAATGCAGGTTTAAGACACTTCACAGACCCAGAAGCTATGTCCGTTATATAAACTGTCAACGTGTGAAAACTCACCTGTATGAACTTGAAGACGGCGAAGGCGGGGGCGCTGTTGTCGCGGAACATGAAGCCGATGATGCTGAGCAGCTGAGTGTTGAAGCAGCTGTCGCCCAAACCGAGCAAGAAGCTGCAGAGCAACGCCACCCCGACACTGAGCAACACACAGATTACAGTTAGAAAGAGATTACTGTAATCCAGACCTGTAAACTGGGTCTAGACCATCGACATGGAAAAAGATGGACGACATGACACCTCTCTCTCCTGCCCCCTGGTGGCCGACTGCAGTATAGCTCATAAAGCCTCCATGTTAGCAGATGGTTCATTTTTCTGATCAGGTTGGTTTTAATTAGTTATTTGAAGATATAAAAAGGGAGTTTCACATCATGATTGAGAGTGGAGACGTCCATCTTTATATGTTGAGGGTTCAGACACAGTCAGGACATCAGAGGGCTGTTTCAGAAGAGCAAACTAAACCAGGATTAAACTGTTTCAATGGTCCAATCAGAGCTAATGAGCTCGAGAAGTGCTGAGACATCAAACACAGGTCAACAATCAGTTTACTGATGTTCAGCAGCAGCGTTCAGTATATAACTACACAAACTAATATGTAATATGGAACAAAAACCACAGTGACAATCAAAGATAAAGACAAGCTCAGAGCTCTTCTGTAATCATGTCACTGTGGTTTAAAGTCTGGAGGGAGAATTTTCTTTGTATGACAAGTGTAGAAAATTAAATCAGTGGTTCCCAACTGTTTTCCTGAAGGGAGCCTTTTTTCTATCAATGAATAAAATATATCAATTGTTTTTTCTTTTTACACATTTTTCTGTCTGTATTATGCATTTTTTAACAATCATTCAGACATAATAAGTATAATATTCAGTGTTTCTTTCTCATGGTTCTATCAGCTGTTTATCAGACAGGCTCTGACTGAGTCCAGGTCTTCGTACCTGGGCGTGATGTAGGCCTGCAGGTCTGTTCCCGCCTCCGGGGCTATCGGAGCGTCGCTGGCAATGTTGAGGAAAATCAGGTAAAAGGCAACAAAGTGAGTGATGAGCCCCAGCAGCACCACCGGGTTCCTCCCAAACCGGTTGCACTTGTTCAACATCCCGAACACGCCCCCTCCTGGCCGGACGGAGCAGAGAGAGAGAGAGAGAGAATAAGCATCGTGACTTCTCTCAGGTTGTTTCCTCCTTTAAAAAGAAGCACTGAGGACTCACCTAAGATCTCGCCGATGCCGATGCAGATGCCGGAGATGCCGATCAGACCCTTTGCGTCCTGGCCGAACCGCGTCATCGCTCCGATACACGTCCCGTAAACCCCGCTGTAAAAAGTGAGCTCCAGGCCTGACAGAGCAGCCAGGAGAAGGAATTCAGACTCATCGGTTATATTACACACATACATTGTTAGTTTGACCTCCACGACACATCTCAAAGGGACAGTTTGGGTGTTTTGACGTTGGGCGTTGGCAGAAAAACTTTAAGCATCAGTTTAAGTGTAAGCTGTATTAAAAAGCCTTCCTTTGTCTCAACCTATAACTGCTGTACTCCTGCGCTTACGACCACAAACTGTCCCTTTAAAGCGACCCGTTGTGATTCCTCCCACCTGTGTATCCTATAGAGACGCTCAGCAGCAGCATCTCCTTGGTGACGAACATTTTACACGCTTTGACTGCAAATTAAAAAAAAAAAACAAGAAGTTAGATATTAACACGTGAGACAGACCCGAGAGCTCCTAAAGCAACAAAGTTATTTTAGTAAAAACTTACAGAAAGCGTCCAGAGCTTGTGAGCAGAGGCTCAGCTGCGGCGAGCTGTAAAAAAAAACACACCCCCCCCCCCACACACACACACACACACACACACACACACACACACACACACACACACACACACACACACACACACATATTACTGCGTGGATCTTTCTGTCTTAGAGCACTCTGTACCCCTCGACCTTTTCGCAGGCTCATAATTTCCTCGGGACATTTTCTCATCCCTAAGCTGCGCTCGGTTGCCGTGGCGACTGTATCACAGCAGTGTCAAAGAGAAATGTAGAAAAGGAACCACAAAAGGAGAGCGTTTGCAGTTAACAAAGGTCACCTGTCTCGTCCTGCGGGGGCTCCACTAAAAGGAAGATCACTCCTGCCCCGAGTGGGACGACCAGCTTTCTAAAATAGTATAAAATACAGCCGACTTTGGACAATCTATGGCGTTAATTTGTGGAAGTTTTGTTGAATAATTTTAAGGTTATTTGATGTAGACGATGAGATTATTCCAGAAAAAGAGGCTCAGCAGCAATTAGACAATAAATATCTGTAATCAGTGGCCAGTTCCAGGACCCCTGTGCAGTGAATTATTTAGGGTTCACCCCTCGCAGCTTCACTGGGCTCATCAGTAAAACTAAACAATTTATCGAACACGAACCATCAACAGAGAGAACGAACTGACGGCTTTTCGGCATCTTAAAATATGAATAGTGATCCTGAGTTAGTTGCTACAGCTGCATTTTATTTTATTTTACCCAGCAGGCTCACGTGATATCCTGTATACTGCACTTTGTTCATTAGGTGTGTCTTACCGGGAAACCTGAAGACATAATTACGAAACAACAACAATGTGAGGATCTTTCTACAGACACATCAGGATGCTGCCTGGTGACATTCCAGTGCAAAGTCTCTCTCTGGGTTCTTTAAGCAGTTAACTGTCTGTATTTGTGCTCATATTGAGCATTAACTTCTCACCTGTTTGCTCCCCTCATATTGTCTTTGCATCTTTTACTCAATATACATGTAGCTTACACTTCAAAGTCTGACTTGAACTCTGGATTTTGGGGTTTTCAGTCATTTTTAGCTGCTAAACAGATCTGATCTCCTGCGAAAGTTTATCCAGAAACTAATATTGTTGCACATTAAAGCTCCAGTATGAAACATTTATGAGGATCTATTGACAGAAATGTAATATAATATTCATAGGTATGTTTTCATTAGTGTATAATCACCTGAATATAGAAATCTTTGTGTTTTTGTTGCCTTAGAATGAGACGTTTTTATCTACAGAGGATCCTTTTCTAGCCCCTGCACACACATTTCAAACACAACTCATAATTTTTCCGAGTTCTGTCATTTTCCAGGACTTCTTTGTGACCCATAAGTGACACACACACACACACACACACACACACAGTAACAGAGCTCCAGGTTTCCCAGGACTCACCTCGCCGTGCTCTCCGTGGATTCGGCCTGCAGCAGTGACTCCGACGCCTCAGAGGAAGCGGGTTCGGGGTCAGGCTTCCGGATCAGAAAGAAGAGGAAGCACCCCACCAGACTGATCACCGTGAGCGAGATGAACACCGTCTGGCGGTCCTTGTCTGAGAGACACACAGCAATGAGTCACACGCTCAAAAGTGAGAAGTCAAGGATGGGAACTCTATGAATAGTCATCAAATACAGCTCGCTTCCTACCCGTTATGTGATCGTGTCCATGCCAGACGCAGTATATGTACAGATTTCCAAAGAATAAGCTGCAAACAGATGAGAAATGTTAAAAAAAAAGAGTCTGTATTCAAAACCACCAAACATTAATCTCTCCATGAAGACTCACCTGAACTGCAGCAGCGCCCAGAAGATGCCGCTGTTTCTCCCGATGGTGCTGTCAGTGGAGTTGATGGCGAGCACATTTCCCTGCGCCGTCCAGAGCACTGAAACACACAAAGCAGGACACATGAACAGGGAGAAGACGTATTTCTCTTGGTAGAAACTGATGTTAGAAAGCGTCTCTTTACCTGCTGCTCCTATTCCGACTAACACCGACGCCGTGTAGAAGCTCCACGTGTACGGGTAGATGAACATAGCGATGTAGCCGCTGCAGGGGGACAAACATTAAGAGACGTTAGAGGGGGTTTTGTATGGATGGGGCAGGTGTTGTGTTTCTCAGTGCTGGTTTACCTGTACAAAAGCCCACTAAAGAACATCGACAGCTGCGGCCCGATGACGGTCACCACCGACGGGGCGATCAGGTTGGAAGCAGAGAAGACGCCGTAGATGATGGCCATGCTGCAGGCGACAGAAGATGCTTTGTGATGAGATTTTGGAGGGGGGGTTTTTCCCGCCTTGTGCGTCCAAAGGTTTCACATTAAGACTGAGGTCATGTAGGATGCTTCCCAAAACTGAACTCACTTTGTTCCCTTAAAGTGGTTTAACTAAGATTGAATTATCCTTCAAGGATTACTGAGAGAGACAGATTCGATTATAGAAGCTGCCACCAGGTCGGTATGAATGCTGGGAAACATCTGCACAGATGTTGGGAACTGGAACGTCAGATAAAAACCAAAAACGTGAAACTAAATAATCAAAGTGTATTTGGTTTTAAGGACAGTTTACCTCGTGTATCCGCTCCCGTGGAACTCGGTGCTGTTGAAGCTCTTGATAACAGTTTGCTGTAAAGATGAAGAAAGACTGTTTAGGACTCAATACGGATGACGTCATATTATCTGAAGTTATGTGCCATTAATCTGGAATGTGCATCAGTAAATCCAACCTACCTCTATGTTGCCACATGTCTGAAAAGCGGTGAACATGAACATAAAGCCGAAGCCCAGAACAATGATGTTCAACAGCCTCTTCCCCTCTGGACTCATTTTGCAGTACAGTAGCAGGGAAGTGATTACACACACAAACAGTATCTACTGGAGAGAACAGCCCGTCTGAAAACAGGAGAGGAAAGTTCAAATCAGAAGCAACATAAAGGGGGAAAAAAAGCTTTCACCAAACTGCTTTTAAAAATCTGCTGATTTATCACACACACACGCGCCTTGAGACACAGTGACAAGTCCTAACCGCTTCCTGGTATTTATGATTTGACAGCGCACACTCATCACTTCGGCATACACTAAACATACACATCAGCAATGTATTTCGATAAAATATGAACTTTCAGGAGAGTTTCCCGCAGCGCGCCGCCATACCTGTGTGTTTTGGTGGATGACAGCCTGAAAGTGACTGTTTAAATTACCTTAAAATAAGAGTTGTTTGGTTAACGAACTACCAGCCGAACTATGAAGTGTATCTGTTGGATCACCATAAAAACTTAAAGTGTGTCCTAACATAATATTAAGTGAGGCTAAGAGCAAATAAAGGTTTAATTGACGGATTCTTAAAGGAGGGTCGGCGAGCATCGAGACACAGGCGGACACCAAGAGTCTTTTCTTTCGTCTAACCTTAAATAATAACCTCTAATGTTTGATCCAGTAAAGAAACACAACTTACCACCGACGCTGCAGCTGTTTGTGTAACCTCCTCTGTGTGTGTGTGTGTGTGTGTGTGTGTGTGTGTGTGTGTGTGTGGACTCAGTGTGTTATTAATAACATAGTTTGCTCTTTGTGTAAAGCTCCGGTGTTTCCTCAGATATTATATGAACGAACTTTAACATGACGGTGGACTCGAACCGGAACCACGAACACTTTCCCAGCGCCGGTAAACGGACTGAAACTGTCACGTGAATCAGTCAGCTGAGGGGACGAGCTAGCTACGCCTTTAGCATACAACCGCTGATCTGTAAGCAGTCAGCGCGGCGGAAGTGCGTCAGAGAGAGGCGGATTAACCCCATCCAGGTTTTAATAGATCTGTCCGTGGAAGGATGGTTCTACTTCCGGGTGTTTGTTCAGTGATTGCGCTTCAAACAAAGGAGGAAACTCATTTAGAGACACTTTTATTAGTTTGTCAATAACTTATATTAACTATACACATAATCAATGTTTTATTGTTTTAAAAACACGAGGAATATTTATCTGTTGACGCAACGCTTCAGCTAGCAAGCTAATAAAAAGTAAGCTCGCGCTACAAGTAAAACTACTTCCGGTAAACACCCGTTATTAATTAATGTATTTATTATTAATATATTATTATTATTATTATTATTATTATTATTATTATTATTATTATTATTATTATATTTTTATTATTATTATTATTAATATATTATTATTATTATTAATATATTATTATTATTAATATATTATTATTATTATTATTATTATTATTAATATATTATTATTATTATTATTATTATTATTGTTTATTATTATTATTGTTATTAATTAATGTATTTATTATTATTATTATTATTGTTATTAATTAATGTATTTATTATTAATATATTATTATTATTGTTATTACTATTATTATTATTATTAATATATTATTATTATTATTATTAATATATTATTATTATTAATATATTATTATTATTGTTATTAATTAATGTATTTATTATTAATATATTATTATTATTATTGTTATTAATTAATGTATTTATTATTAATATATTATTATTATTGTTATTATATTATTATTATTGTTATTAATTAATGTTTTTATTTTTATATTATTATTATTATTATTCATTATTTCTATTACTATTATTATTATTATTATTATTGTTTTTTTTATTATTTTATTTTGTTAAACACACAACTTTTATTAATTAATATTTATTAATGTTTTTTTAATATATTTATTTTTAATGTATTATTATTATTATTATTAATACTGTTGTTTTTATTAGTATTTTATTTTGTTAAACACAAATTTTATTAATTAATATTTATTAATGTTTTTATTTTTAATTTATTATTATTTTATTTTGTTAAACACAACTTTTATTAATTAATATTAATTAATATTTATGTTAATATATTTATATTTTTTAATGTTTTTATTTTTAATATATTATTTTATTTTATTTTGTTAAACACACAACTTTTATTAATTAATATTAATTAGTATTTATTTTTAATATATTTATTTTTAATGTATTATTATTATTACTGTTGTTTTTATTATTATTTTATTTTGTTAAACACAACTTTTATTAATTAATATTTATTAATGTTTTTATTTTTAATATATTAATATTATTATTATTATTATTGTTATTATTACTGTTTGTATTATTATTTTATTTTGTTAAACACAACTTTTATTAATTAATATTTATTAATGTTTTTATTTTTAATATATTAATATTAATATTATTATTATTATTGTTATTATTACTGTTTTTATTATTATTTTATTTTGTTAAACACACAATAACAAACATATAGGGAAATGCACGTGGGGAATACAAACATTTAATAAACAATAAAAGAACTGGGGGATTTATAGAAATAAAAACAACAGAAACATAAAAAATAGACTGTAAATATTAATCTTCATAAATAGAAAATAAAAACCACGAGGAGCAACAATTAAACAAACATACCCGTAAACTGTGCCAGGATATCTGCAGATTTACTGGAAAATGTGATTTTGTTTGTTTAAGAACCAATAATATGAAAAAGAGAATTTTCTAATCAGTCTTATAATATAATATTATTATATGATATTTTTTTTTTGCAAAGTTTTACATTCATTAATGCAAATTTACGAAAGTAAAACTTCACTTTCTTGTTTTCCAGAAGGAAATTAAGCTGTATTTTAACAATAACATCAAAAAAACAAAAGCTGTTAAAACTGTGAGACTTTGCTCTTTATTATTTTCACTTAAACCACTTTCTGTTATTTATTTATATATATATATTTACACAATATTCCCCTAACTCCTCCTGTAACCTGTGCAATATTATATTTTAACTTTATACCACATATGTATAGTAATACAACCCTAATTCTATTTTATTTTGTTATTTAAAGTGTATTTATTCTTTTATTATCTGCTGTGTTACACCTGGAGCTGCTGTAACAAGTGAATCTCATCTTATTTGGAGACATTAAGTGGAAATATTGATCAACTCTCTCATTATAATGACGTACAGACTCATTTTTTCCGGTCACATTGGCGGAAACGGGCTTCCGTACTTGTATAACGCGATAGTGTAAACCCGAGTGATTCCACCAGGGGGCGCTGCGGCGGTGAGTATAATACGGAAGCGCGCCTAATTTCCAAAGCAGAAGAAGAAGTTCGCCTCACTGGTTTGGGGCGGTTGAAGACGACGTGGACGGAGTTGTGCGGGGATTAAACGCGTACTTTGCGGTTGTTCGGTCCAAACTACTCCACAGACGAGACGATTTAATTTAACTGACACCCTCGCGCCTCGTTGTGCGGACTCGAACCGACGAACAGGCTCAACCGCGGCCCACATTGTAACGTGTTTTAGCGGAAGGCTACCAGGCCGCGCAGGCTAATCACCGCCATGAGTTACGGTAGAGCTCCGCCAGACGTCGACGGCATGACTTCCCTCAAAGTGGACAACTTAACGTACCGGACCTCGCCGGAGACCCTCCGACGGGTGTTCGAGAAGTACGGCCGGGTAGGGGACGTCTACATCCCGCGGGACCGCTACACCAAAGAGAGCCGCGGGTTCGCGTTCGTGCGGTTCCACGATAAGCGGGACGCGGAGGACGCGATGGACGCCATGGACGGCGCGCTCCTCGACGGACGGGAGTTGCGGGTTCAGATGGCCCGGTACGGCAGACCCCCTGATTCCCACTACGGTGGAGGTGGAGGAGGAGGAGGAGGAGGAGGCCGACGAGGAGGAGGAGGAGGACCGGCCAGGAGGCACGGCGGCCACGGGCGTCGAAGCAGGAGGTGAGAATGAGTGGAAGTTAGAGAGCACGCAGTCTGCCGCCAGACTCCATTAGAGAATTTGCATATTCCGGGTGGACGATGATCCGCGCACTTTCTCCAAACAACAAAGTAGTTTTTCTTTAAGCAAACCAACTGTTTAACAATTCGGCACAGGAAACTTATTTTTACCAAATAGTTAATCTTGTAACATTTGAGATCTCCCTGTAAGTTATAAACTTTCTTTTTGGCTCATGTGAATGTAAACTTTACCTGCTGATCCCCTTCTGCTCTGGTTCCCAACCTTTATCCTTTCTATCCATTTAAATCACTAAACTGACTATATCCCTTATTTAACATATACAAGTTAATTTAATCTAAAATTACTAGTAAAAGCTGCTTTAATCAATCTTTTAACTTACAAAATGTAGTTTGTTACTAGTTAAACTAACTTATCACATTACATTGTGTGTATATTAGTTTCCTAACACCCCGTAAACTCAAGAAGTCCTTACAACCCCCCCCAGTTGGGAACCACTGCTCTGTGTCTTTATGTGTAATCTGTATCAGTGTGGCCCCATTCAGGGGGGTCATTGCGGATCAGGTTTTCCTCAGTTCTTGTCACATGGTAGATGATAACTCAACCCACTGAATGTATCCAGCTCTTCTCCTAGCCCGAGACACAGGCGTCGCAGCCGGTCCCGCAGCCGCAGCCGCTCTCGCTCCCGAAGCCGATCCCGCTACAGCAAGTCCAGGTCCCGCTCCTACTCCCGCTCCAAGTCCCACTCCCCCAGGGAGAAGAAGGCCAAGGCCAAGTCCCCGTCCCGTTCCAGATCTCGATCCAGGTCCCGGTCCAGATCCAGAAGCCGCACCCCTTCCTCCAAAAGAGGGTCCCGCTCAAGATCCAAAAGCCCGCCCAAGGCTGCAGCAGAGAACGGAGGCGAGACCCCGTAGAGCGCAGCACGTCGGCAACAGGTGAGCAGACGAAACTTATTTTAATCCTCCAGTGTGTCTTAGCTGTCGGTTCCAGGGTGGGAGGCGGTCTAAGGTCCCCCCCCTCCTCCAGCAGGTACTGATTTCAGATCCAGACTAGTTGGCTCTTTAAAAATACATAAATGCTAAAGCGAAAGTGTGTTTTTAAGGACAGTTTTCTGACGGTGAACCAAACTCTGGAATTCTCTCCTTCCCAAGCTGCGGCATCCCGTTGTGCTAAAGCGGAGTTTGAGCTGAGCTGAGGCAGTATGAGCAGTTAGGAGGGGTGTGAAGGTGAGCTGCCCACAGGCCGCCTGCTGCTGGCGAGGTGTTGCAGCAGGGTGGAGGTGGAGGCAGGCAGTGTTCTGGGGGTTTGGTGTTGAGGTACGTCACTGGACATAAAACTGCCCACGCCGCCGTCCAGGCGCCGGTGCTCGAGGGGGCGCCGAGGTTTGTCCAACTCTCCTCCCATGTCAGTCCCACTCTGTTCGGCCGACGTCTATTATTTACATTTATTGAGGTAAACTGTAGGATGAGAGAAACTTAATGCTCTTACAGACCTTTTTCACAGCACATGACATTAAATAGTAGGGTACTAATTGAGGCCCCGTTCCATTTAGTATGTGTCCAGTGAGCAGCACTCTGACAGAATCTGTTTACCCGACTGTTTCATGTCAAATGGCTGCTGTGAAAAAGGTTATTCTTTGTGTAACATGTCAGTAAGAGTTCCTCAAACACACACCAGCACTCACTGTGGTCTTCAGTTATTTCTTCATCTAAACCTGAAACTTTTGTCTCTTTAACGTCAGAAAATACTGAAAATAACCATCACGTGTTCCCAGAGTCTCACAGGACGTCTTTAAAACATCCAAAAGATTCAGTTTACAATAAGAATGAGACAATATGACATATTATCATTAAAGAAATGAATTCCTAATATGATGAGAATTGTAAATATTCTCACGTGGTTTGACCTGTAAGAGCACACAGTCCTGTATATCCTGATTTATTTGGAACAAGGTGGAGTTCACGTCCCATTACTGTTAAACAGGATGTGTGGAAATAATGCAGACTCCACAACAGAGAACAGGAAGGTGGAGTTTCTATCTGAGGCAATAAATGTCATCACAGGCCCTATCGATTGATTAATGATTGAAACAGGCAGGTTATATGTGACCACGAGGAGCAGAGCGCCACCCAGTGGAAGAAAGGTTTAATGAGCAGACTGTGGCCTCACCTGTATCTCACACACCTCCGTTCTACAATCTCTCCACCTGTTGACTGTCTGAAGACATTAAACTCACATTAAATAACAAAGTGCTGATCCACAATCAGTAGTTTCAGTTCCCATTTCCACAAAGACACGTTATGTAAACACCTAAAATAACACTTAGTTAAAGAAAACGATCTTTTATACACTTTTAAATAAAGTTGAATAAACAAATAAAAAACAAGTAAATAAATTTAACAAATAAACAAAGGCTAAAATATTTATATTTTACAGTGTAAAACAAAATACAAGTAACAGGAATATTTGTCACTGTGTAAAAAGAGATGGAATAAATGTTTTATACACTTTTATTGAAGTAATTATATTTTAGACACTGAATAAACAACAAATTTTAGTAAAATAAAGTAAAATTATATCAAGTTCGAAAATAAAAAAACTAAAAAATACAAATATTGATAGAATTTGTGTAAAGAGTTCGTGTATAACAACCAGAGGATGAAATTGATGTTATAGATGATATACGGAGGCCATTAAAAGTCCAGATGATAAATGATTTCTATAGAACTAAATGTATTATTATTATTAAACTGCTCCCTGTATGCAGTCAATGTTTGAATATTCAAACAAACTAAACACTAAATGTTCTGAACTGATTGCTATCAGATTTATAAACAGGATCAATATCAGTCTGATTTAAAGTGTTTGTGAAGCTCTTTGACCAAACAAAAATAAAATATTCTAACTTCCTGTCTTTTTTTGACAGATTTCAGGTGACGTCAGAACTTCGAGCCCGAGACCGGATCCAACGCAAGCAACAGTGTCCCGCTGTGAAAGGTTATTATTGTGTCTTCCACGCTTTGGTTTCTTTTTATTCATTCAGCCACAAAAAGGGCTTTTTTTTTTTTTTTTTTTTTTTTTGGTTCATTTCATCGATGTGCTGTGATTTTATTTCTTCTTCATAACATGTTTTATGATTTTAATAATCCAGTTCAACGTGGAGAGGATTTTCTGTTCTGAGTTGTGGATAATGATATGATATGTTTGTACTCTTTAAGTTGTCCTTTTTTTACGGCCTGTATCAGAAAGCGAACGCGCAGTCCAGCTGGCTTTGACTCTTCCAGTTCGTTTTACAGGAAGCATCTTTTATCTTTTGGATTTATTACAGAAAGCAGATTATTCTAATGTGTGAACAGCTGTCCGTTACTGTCGTTCACCTAGCTCTCGCTTCACGATGAATTTAGTACTTTTTGTCCGTCGAGAACCCGTTGAATTGTAGAGTTTTCTTGGTGGAACTCTCCGTTAGCTGGCTGAATATCTCTTTCTGATACAGGCCCGTGGTGTCACAGTCAGGACGGGGTGGGCGATCTGTTTAACCTAAATTACGACCGTATGTTCTCACCTTTGAGCCACATTTCAAATAAACCTGAACTCCTCCAGTTGCCCCATTTGACCAGAATATTGCTTTAAAGCTGCAGTAGATTCATTTAATGAAACTCATAAAACAGCACTTTTCCACGTACTCAAAACTCGACCGCGTTGTTTACAACACGTCAGGTAATTCGTCCAATCGGCACAGCCGTTGAGTTTTTAAACATCTGGATGGTTTGTTCACGGAGAGCAGATCCACTGGTCGGCCCCTCCAGGAAGTTAAGATCATAATAATTAACACATATTCAACCAAATCCTTGTCAGTCGCCACAAATTCGACCAGTTTCACCATTCCAGTGCGAACAAATCTCCACTATTTTTGCAGAAACAAGGTTCCCGCACATTTCCCAGGCAGAGATTCACCTGGAATTTGATTTGAAAATGTTGTCCTGTGTGACTCTCCTCGCTCAGATCGCCTACGTAAACCTGGCTGCAGATTTAGTTTGAAACTTTACTGAATAAAAAGCCTAAAAACATCAAACTGTTTAAAATCTGACGTTTCTGTGCAGCGTCCTGGATGGATTACCTAATAATTAATGAGGTTACGTGGAGTTGGATAACAGGAGTAAAAGGACGGTAAATTCCACAATCTGTATAATTTGAGGACTCTTTTGATCTAAAACCAGCTCGCCACCCCCCCCCCACCCCCCCACTAAAGAAGCCATTTACTGCTGTTTTATTTCTAGTTCAATTTGAAAACCCAAAGTGACACACCGGCCTTTAAAGTCTGCTTCATGTGTTCATATCCGACATTAAACTGCTTCCTTACTATGTTTAATTCCCTCAGCTCGGGGGGGGGGGTCTTTTGTTAGACTGGCCGGCAGCTCGTTCAGTGTAATAGCATAAAGCTAATACAGTGAAATGACTGGTGACGTTTTTAAAGACGTCCAGTGAAACAGACTCCTCCTCCTCTTCCTCCTCCTCCTCCTTTTAAAACTGTTTAATTTTACAGGACGCAGTGTGTCTCCTTTTTTTCCCTATTTTTTTAATTTTTGATCCTAATCCTGCTTGTGTTTTTTTTTTTTGTGCACTAGGCGCAGTTGTGTAGCAGTTGATTATGCTGGTTAGCTGTTAAGGTGGCGTGTTGCTCTGCTGAGTGCTTGGATGTATCCAGTATTCTCCAGAGTGCTCCTGTGACTACCGGTGGTGCGGTTGCTACAGTCTCACCCTTTTTGTAAGAATGTTTTTCTTTCCCTCCCCAACCTCCCTCCCCCCTTTACACATGGTCATGGACGACAAATGTGACTTTCATTAAAGATTTTGGTGTTTTGTCTACAACTGGTCTCTTTTTTTTATTATTCACATGCAGCAACGACATGTTTCCAATTCACTGTAATAAGACTACAGAGATGGCTTATGGGTATGTGATCTGTTTGAGTCTGGTGGGGGGGGACAAGAGGCAGAAATATATATTTATATGCTTTATTTAATCACAAATTAAGATTTTTACTTTAATATTCTATTCTTTCTGAGTAAATCATTGAATATAAATGTCTAAATGTGGCATTAAAAGTCAACAAATTATCAGACATTTAAGTCTGTCACTTATGTCAGCAGTTCCCAACCCCCCGATAGAGGTCGCCAAAGCTTCATGTGGGGACACGAGGCCTTGGTTTTAAACTGACACACACACAGACACAGTTGGCCTATATCAGTGTTCGGTTCACTTCTGTGAAGAACTGTAAATTGTCTATTAGAACAAAGGACAAGAAAACACTGAATTTGTCCATAAAGAATCTTATTAAATCTGTGTGATTGTTAAAAATTATTTTATAAATTCATAATACAGACAGAACTGTATAAAAAGTTCCCTTAACAGGAAATAATCCGCTCAAAATGAATCCAAATCTCTTGTTTTACACAAACTTCCTGCAGTTGCTGAGTTCACTGTTTGGGTTCATTGTACAGTTTTATAATTTAATATTAAATATCCATAAAATGAGTCAGTTTAATAAATGATAAATGATAATTCCTTATGGAGCAAGGTTGGTAAAGCACTAACTTATATGATCATAAGAGATCATTAAATTAACAATAATTCACTTCCCACAGTCTGGTTCTCTGGAGTCAAACTGTCTCTGAAGTAATAATATAATCAATCACAAACACTCCACCTCCTGTCTGAGTCAACACAAAACTATTCAAGTTTATTTATATAGCACATTTAATAGGACAGTAGACAAAAACAGATAAGATATATATATAACGTAAGATGATACAAGTGTTACCTAAATCCTAAATTACACACACTGGAACCAATCAGAGCTTGTATTATGAAATTGAGTCCAGGGTGTATCATCTCCCATTCTAACTTTATTTTACACTTTTTTTATTCACAATATCTGTCAGTTAAACCAATCCATTCATATATGTGAGACCTTGGAGAATATAAAGAACATTGTTCTACCTCCGGTTGGGGAATCTCGGGGTTCAGGGTGCGTAAGGTAGATACATTTATATAATAATAATAATAAAATTGTATAAAAACCAGAGTTACAAGTTGCTGTGGAGTTAAAACAATATGGAAACAACAGAAGAGGACAAAGAACACATTACGGGATAAAGTGAGCTCCACTGACTCTGCGTTTAAGCTCAGATTGTGGGACTGTAACTGACCAACATCCGACCATAAACATCCAGATTGTGGTGTCGAAGGAGGCTGTCATGTTTTTGCTAAAATAACATTTTAAAATAAAAAGTACTCATTACCCAGAACCAGATGTGAGTGTGCTGTGAGCTCCTCCAACCACTGATGTTGATATTTTAGGTTATTTTGGTTGCTGTACAAGAGGAAGTGCTCGCTGTCTGAATGCTGTGAGACTGTAGATTAGATTCCTCTCCGATTACGAACGTCTGTCAATACCAACGCCGTTTGTTGTCTCTCTCATACGAGGACACCAAAGAGAGATGATCAATGATTGCTCAGAACTGATTATCATTCAGATCTTGTTTTTGCAATCCGTTCCCTGACAAACAGCACGCTGCCAATATGTGAAACCTTAAACAAAAACATATTATTATTATTATTATTATTATTAACATTTGACAACAGAGGTATAATTTAATTGTAATTTTACAATGCAGTGCCGTAGTTCCCGTCATAAAAACAACATATATGTATACAATTAAATTTTTTATGTACTATTCAATTTAAGCATGAAACATTAAATTTGAGTAACTCAAGTATTTATTGTTAAGGTAACTTGGCTAAATTAAGTTAATTGTACCAATTCCTTTAAAACTAGTAAGATTCTTAGACTCATATGCAGGAACTCTCCAAACACCTGACATACAATAAAAACAATTTATAATTAATTGATTGTCCAGATGGTCAAATCACAAAATGGAAAACTCTTTTTTAACTTTTCACGTATTCTTTAAGCTTTTAACTAAATTCAAATCCTCTAATATTAAAGATATTGACCACATTGTGACATTTAACCAACTGTTCAGTGACATTCACAGAAGTTTGATTCTTTGTACAATTTAAATTATATATTATATATTTCACATCCTTAATCCAAGTATTCAAAGTCATTTATACTCTTTGTCAACTTCTATCTAATCATTCAGTTAGAAACTATATGAAACAGTTTAACCTCATTCATACTTAATAAACTCGTTCCCACCCAACAATCCTTCTTTTGTTACTTCATACAAACTTTTACAGATTATTAACATTGTTTAACTTTTAGAGGCAGATATTCCGTTAGCATTTTTTTCATTACCGCGTAACTAGTCCCGCAGCTTTGCCAGCACATACACAAAAATTACATCAAAACGTACGGCTTGATCGGGAGAGGTGTGCTATGACTTTTGCTTGTGATTTACCAACCGTTTTATTGTGAAAAATTGCAAAAAACTGCGTAAACTTTTGGTCTAATTGTGCGCTTACGGACGGAAAGTTCGGAGCTAGAGTGTGTGACATCATCGTTAGAGTGTAGAGAAGCTGTAAAATCTAACAATAAAATGTATCTTTAAATTGCTCTCATTCCCACAAATTTACCTCTTCAGACATAATTCCTACATGAAAACGTAGGAAATGTTGTGCTGTTTCTACACAATGAACTCTGGAATCAAACAGATTTAAACTTTTTACGCTCTGAGCTCCGGACCGACAAGAGTTCCAACCAAATGCTCCATAAGCTCCAATGTTAATTTACAGCAGAAATCTCTGGAGGAAAGATGTGCCTGTTTTTTAAATACAGTTTTTGAATTACGGCGTCTTGTTTGAGTGGTAGTTTCAGGGTTTTTCTCAATGCTCCTCTGCTCTGATTGGTGAATTGATGATCAGCTATTTTTAGCAGTTGAGACAAGCTGGTTACTGGGCGAAAATTAACACAGCTGACTGTGATTGGCTCAATTAAAATCTTATTTTCATGACTTGTTACTCTAAGAGACCCACAGCTCTATTGAGCCACATATCCCCATAAACTTAAGTAGCAATGACTTCATGAGCTTCTTTTTTAATAAAATTATTACTATTAGAGAGAAAATTAATCACCAAATGCCCTCAACAGTTATCACTGGCTCTCCAAGTTCAGGAACTTTAACTAATGTAAACTCAGATATATATTTAGACTGTTTTTCTGGTATCAATCTTCATCAGTTAACTAAAATAATTTCTACATCGAAGCCATCAACCTGTCTGTTAGACCCGATCCCAACTAGGCTGCTTAAAGAAGTTGTTCCCTTAATTGGCACTTCTTTACTGGATATGATTAATCTTTCTTTATTATCAGGATATGTACCACAGTCCTTTAAAGTAGCTGTAATTAAACCCCTTCTTAAAAAGTCCACTCTTGACCCAGGGGTTTTAGCCAACTATAGACCGATCTCTAACCTCCCCTTCCTCTCTAAGATTCTGGAGAAAGTAGTCGCCAAAGAGTTGTGTGACTTTCTACATAACAATAGTTCATTTGAATTTTCAGTCAGGATTTAGAGTTCATCATAGCACAGAGACAGCTCTGGTTAAAGTTAATAATGACCTTCTGATTGCTTCTGACAATGGACTTGTCTCTGTACTTGTATTATTAGATCTTAGTGCTGCATTTGATACCATTGACCATAATATTCTTTTACAGAGACTTGAGCATCAAATTGGCATTAAAGGAACCACACTATGCTGGTTTAAGTCTATTTATCAGATCGCTCGCAGTTTGTACATGTTAACGATGAATCTTCAATAAAGGTTCTGTAGTTGGACCAATACTATTTACTTTATATATGCTCCCTTTAGGCAACATTATTAGGAATCACTCCATTAACTTTCACTGTTATGCAGATGACACGCAGTTATATCTATCGATCAAGCCCATGAAATTAATCAATTATCTAAATTACAAACATGTCTTAAGGACATAAAATCCTGGATGAGCTGCAATTTTCTGATGTTAAATTCTTGTACTTGGCCCCAAAAACCTTAGAGACTCACTGTCTAAAGATATAGTTACTCTAGATGGCATTAACTTGGCCTCTTGCACCACTGTCCGGAATCTTGGAGTTATCTTTGATCAGGATTTGTCATTTAACTCCCACATAAAGCAGACCTCTAGGACTGCCTTCTTTCATTTACGTAATATTAGAAAAATTAGACACATCCTATCACAGACAGATGCAGAAAAACTAATCCATACATTTGTTACTTCAAGGCTGGATTACTGCAACTCTTTATTATCAGGTTGCCCCAATAAGTCCATTCAAACGCTCCAATTAATTCAGAACGCTGCAGCACGAGTACTGACAGGAACTAGAAAAAGAGATCACATCTCTCCTGTACTAGCTACTCTGCATTGGCTCCCTGTAAAATGTAGAATTGAATTTAAAATCCTCCTCCTCACCTATAAAGCTCTTCATGGTCAGGCCCCTTCTTATCTTAAAGAGCTCATAGTACCCTATTACCCCACTAGAACACTACGTTCTCTGAATGCTGGGCTACTTGTGGTTCCTATAGTCTCTAAAAGTAGAACAGGAGCCAGAGCCTTCAGTTACCAAGCTCCTCTCCTGTGGAACCAGCTTCCAGTTGTGGTTCGGGAGGCAGACACCCTCACCACCTTCAAGAGTAGGCTTAAGACGTTCCTCTTTGATAAAGCTTATAGTTAGGGCTGGATCAGGTGAGTCCTGAACCCTCCCTTAGTTATGCTGCTATAGGCCTAGACTATCGGGGGATTTCCCATGGTGCACTAAGCTCCTCCCTTCCTCTCTCTTTCTGCACTCATTCATGTCCCATTAATGCATGTTACTAACTCCACTTCTTCCCCGGAGTTCTTGTGCTTTCTCGTCTCGCAGGTTCTCATGGACTCTCTCTCTCTCTCTCTCTCTCTCTCTCTCTCTCTCTCTCTCTCTCTCTCTCTCACCCCAACTGGTCGAGACAGACGACCACCCACCTAGAGCCGGAGGATCTGTCCTAGGTTTCTGCCTTTTAACAGGCAGTGTTTCCTTGCCCTTGTCTCCAAGGTCTTGCTCATGGTGGTACTGTTGGGTCTCTGTAAATAATGTTATAAAGAGTTCGGTCTAGACCTGCTCTATTTGGAAAGTGTCCTGAGATAACTTCCGTTATGAATTGGCGCTATACAAATAAAATTGAATTGATGAATTGTTCCACTTTTAATGTCAGCCATTTTGTCCTTCTTCTCTCTCACAAATATACACACACACACACACATATATAAATACATTATAAACATATAAAGATAGACGACAGGTCTCAACTTCCTCCAACTGCTAAAAAATAAAAACCCTACACAGCATCTGTATCTTAATGGTAACACAGAATGAGGCTGTTCTTTCAAAATAAAAGCCCCATAGACTATCAAAATAAAGCCCCCCGTAGTTTGTTAGCAGGATGCAAAGGATGCACCCATTTTTTCAAAATAAAATCCCCAGAAAGTAAATGTTAAGGTGAGGATGAGGCTGTTCTTATAAACCATCTTAACAGGAAACTACACAATAACTGTATCTTCTCTCTCTCAGGATACATGTCGTACCTATCATTCAGGCACGCTCAAAGGTCTTTGGAAGTGTTTTTGTTGTTGTTCTTATCACACAAATATGTGCTCTCTGCACTTCATACCTACAAACCACAGTCTCACCTGTTGTTTTATTCTCAGTGAAGCAGACTTCTTATGTTGTCTCATTGTTTAAAGTCTTTTAACCTGCAGAACCAGTTTGCAGTTGTGTGTTCCACATTATCTGTTAAATAGATTGTGGCCATATCTAATCCCAGTGTGAACAGGTCACAGTCCCGAACTGACTTGAACAACGAATGAAGATCTAGCATCTGATTTGGACCACATATGAAAGTGGTCTCAATCAGAATTGAAAAGATCAGATTCAATGTGATTTGTGCCGTTTACGCTGTCATTAAAAGATGTTATCTTGTGGGGAAATTCATGTATTTTGTCTTATAAATGTGTTCTCACTGTATAAATGTAATATTTCTATCGTTGGATGGTAGAATAATATTGTGTGTTGTATGTGAACCTGTTGGATTCTCCACTAATCAGCGCTGGATCATTTAAAGACACACCTGATGGTTAAATTGAACAGTCTCAATCATTGTGTGTGTGTGTGTGTGTGTGTGTGTGTGTGTGTGTTTGTGCTGGAATATTTTGGTCAGTTGAAGATGTTAGCGAACTCGATCTATAAGCTAAAGTTAGTGTTTCATTTCTAAAGTTACGTTACAATCATTTCACTAATTGGCAATAAAAAGTGTCTAATACAATAAAATAAGATGTAAAAGGCTTCAGAATCATACAAATTAAGCCTTTAAGAGTATTTTACTGATAATATTTATGTATTTAAATGCAGTCTTTGAACTCACTGTGATACTTCTACTTCACTTTGTGAATCTGACAAAAATGAAACCAAACAATGTTTTATGATTCAAGGTTTAGTTGATTTTTATGAGAAATAAACTGTAATCAAAGATTTTAGGGCAGTAATCAGGCTACAGAGTATTTCTAAAACAGTATTCATGAGTTGTGACAGGTCGGTAAAAAAACACCTGTAAGGATTAAAAAATGACGTCGGACAGGAAGTTGGACGGTACTTGCTCTGCGTGACTTCTGATTGTCAACTTGCAGGAATGTCGACAGATATGATCTGTTTCCTCATTTTAATGTCTTATCTTCATAAAGTCTGGGTGGGTCACTGTGAGTCCTGGTTCAAATCTAAATACTAACGTGCAGTTACTCAATCCCTAAAAACATTACTGTAGAAATAATACATTTATTATTATTATTTTAATTATTGGTGATATAATTCCAGTTTGTTCCTGTGACTCGTTTTCTTTAAGTTGACTTTATATCATTAATAGAAATGTAAGTGCCACTGTGTCATAAAGCTTCTGATTTTCAGTTTATTAATCATCATAAACCCAAATATGCATCCATACTTCATATACAGTTTAATCCAGTGGTTCCCAACCTAGGGCTTGGGGGCCTCCAAAGGGTCTGCAGATCAATCTGAGAGGAAAGTAGAAGAAACAAAGTTCTGATTCACAAATCTGTTCTGGACTTTTCTCCAATCTTTGATTTTTGGGCCTCAAACCAACTCAAAGAAATCTGAAATGTGACAAGAAGACACAACTACACAGTTTCATTACAATGTATTATATCATGTTTTTAAATGTTAAATCTTAATGGTAAGTGTTGTTGGACAGGTAATGTTTGTCCGTGAGGCGTAGAGAGGTGTGTTTGTGCTGGAGGTAGAGACAGAGAGAGAGGGAGGGCAGAAGGAGGATATTTATGTGGCTGCAGGTCCGATCATATGAACTTTCAGTTATGGCTTTCTTCAAAGTGATCTGTGTGGCGACTCTGCTGACTCTGCTCACACAAGGTAAGGAACCTCCTTGCTGTACGCACCTGAACCAATATAATGCCTTTCTTTAACTGTTGAGTGAACTAAAACTACTGATATTACTTTGTTAGATTAACTTAATTATCTTGGTAAACTTAATTTATTTTCACGTGATATTGAACCTAATTAAAAACGAGTACAGGTTACTTTCAGCAACCTATAAATAAGTTTGATGAACTTAATTTTACTAGTAAAATGAACCTAAACACACATCTGAATCTGAATTAACTCCATTAAACTGATGCTAGGCTACAACCTCCACTATAGGATCTTTGAATTATGTCACAGTAGAACATGTGAGTTTGTTCAAAATGTTCTTGTTTTTTTTTTACAAGATTGTAGAAACAAAACATATAAAACCTACTAAATAGTAAATATTCATGAAGAAAATGTATGTAAATGATAAAACAAATCTTAAGGAAAATGTTGAATAAAGTAAAGCCCTGTGTGCCAATAATAATTACTATCATTGTAATCATTCTTCATCATTGTAAAAACGTTTATGTTGACTCTACAGCTGCTGTCACCAAACCTTCTTATTTGTTCAATTAGCTGCACGTTTACATACATTGAATGGAACATGTTGATGTTCACATGGATTGATGGTGGAAGATAGTTGGATGGGGCTCTACTTGTATTTACATTTTTTCATGAAGTTACAATAGAACATATGAATATTAAAATGTTTTCAATTGAGCCAATCACGGTCAGCTTTGTTAATCTCTGCCCAGCAACAAGCTGCTAAAAATAGCTCATAATCAATCCACCAATCAGAGCAGAGGAACATCAGCTGTGTCACTGAGACTGAAACTACCACTCGAACAAGACACCGTAATTCAAAAACTGTTGGTCGTACTGTTAACATGATGTGACCGTCAGCATCCCAAGGCTTTGCTGAACGTACACATATGTCATTTGTGTGGATAAAGTTAAAAATGTTACTGTTGCAGCGATTTAAAAAAACAGGCACATTTCAGCTGTAGATGCTGATGGAGCAGTTGGTTATTTTCCTTCTCTGCTATCTGAGAAAATTAAAAATTTCCTCCCAGTCATATCACATATCAATATAACACGAGACACATGAGTACAAACACAGAATTGTTGTTGAAAGTGTTTTTTGTTCTGTTTTCCAGAGTCTCACTCACAACTAAGTGGTAAGTCAAAGTTTTTATGCAAATGTTTCTACTTCCTGTCTCCGTCATTTATGATATTTGAAACATGTTTTATTGTTGTTATTTGCTGTCAAACCCAGAATCACAGATTTAAAGCTGCAGTAGGTAATGTCAGTATATCCTGAATGTAGTAAACAAGAAAGATAAACTGTGAAAACATCAGGTTCCTCTGGCTCCTCCTGGGGTCTTAAATGGCATTTGCAAGAATCCACCAGCCCCCGAATGAAAGCAACCAATCAGAGCCGACAAAGATAGTTGATGAGTGAAATACCGACACTGGGAACGAGACTCAACAATCTTGAAGCCTCCAACCCAAAGGGTCTTTCCATCTTTGTCGGCTCTGATTGGTTGTTTTCATTCAGGCCCTGTGGAACAGTTTTTCACTAACAAATACCACGGCTATGAACATGTGGAATTTAAAAAGGTTTATTGCACATTATGAATAAAGGAAAACCATTGTGGTGTACTGTAGGAGGGTTGAATGGATCGGGAAAGGCTTGAGGGATGAAGGGATGAAAGGATGGGGTAGGGATCGAGGGTCGAGGGGTTAAGGGATGAAGGATGAAAGGAACAAGGGATGAGGGTAGGGGTCGAGGGATGGCGATAGAGGTAGAGGGATGTTGGACAATCCACACCTGAAAGCATCCTGACACACTCCCAGGATCATAATCCTCAATCAACAGTTCAGTGCTACCGCAGTGGTAATCCAGGGAAGGGAGAGGATTGCTCACTCAGTGTTTTTAATGTCTGTCTGTCCTCAGTGTGCGGTCAGCCTCCGCTCAACACCAGGATTGTTGGAGGACAGCCGGCCCCTGCAGGCAGCTGGCCCTGGCAGGTCAGTCTGCACAGAGGGTTTCACTTCTGTGGAGGATCCCTCATCAACAACGAATGGGTGCTGACTGCTGCTCACTGCTTCCCAAGGTGAGCACTGACGGTAGAGGGTTACAACAACATCAAACTCTGACTATACGTGGTCTTAAAGACATATAGATATGTTTACTAATATTCTTTAAACAAATATCCCGGATGAGCCCCCAAATTGTTACGACCTTAGTTGGGAGGTCCAGGGGAAGAGAGGCGCAACAATTAATAATTAACCGGGTGTTTAAAGAAGGAAAGGAAACAGAAAGATTTTTACAATTAAACTATCTATTTAAATGTAAATGAGTTCAATGTTAACACAAAACAACTTCCTAAAAAGAAAGGAAGTGAAAACCATTTAATTAATAACACTGTCCCTCCACTGAGGGAGTAATGATAACAACACGAGCAGCACACACCTCTGATTCACGACCAACAGCACCACAACACTATCTGGAGGCTTGGCCCACTGGCCTCGTCTGCTTCCATCGAGGCAGCTTTAAAGCAATCTGTATGATTGTTAAACTACTGCAGTTGTGCCTGACCAGTCGGAGTGGAGGGCCGCACCTGGAACAAGACACAGGACAGAGCAGAGACAAAACACACGTAACAATGTCATTGCACTGTTTCGTCTCTCTTCTGATCCCCTCAGCAACAGCACAACCAATCTGGTTGTGTATCTGGGTCGTCAGAGTCAAGAGGGATCCAACCCCAATGAGGTGAATCGGACAGTAACACAGATCATCAATCATCCCTCATACGACTCCAGTACCAGTGACAATGACATCTCCCTCCTGAAGCTCTCCTCACCGGTGACTTTCACCAACTACATTCGACCCGTCTGCCTGGCAGCCTCAGGCAGCACCTTCTACAACGGCACGGACTCCTGGGTCACTGGCTGGGGCACCATTGGATCTGGAGGTGGGTCACTTCTTTCTTTACCTGTGTGTAGGGGTACTTTTACTATAATCTGTCACATTAGCAAACACACAGTTTTGGAACACGGAACAATTTAACCATCATTCAAAGGTCCTTTAGGTTGTTGTTGATTCATAGAGAAAACAGGCCGTACTTGAGGTTTTACCACAGACCTACTTATATCTGTACCTAAACAGTCCATTCTGTGTGAAACCATTTTAAAGTATATTTCACAACTTGTGTTGTTAATTCAACTGAATTTGTGTCTCTCTAGTGCCACTTCCTTCCCCACAAGACCTGATGGAGGTGGAGGTGCCGGTAGTGGGGAACCGACAGTGTTTCTGTGACTATATCTCCGTAGTCCCAATCACAGACAACATGATCTGTGCCGGGTTGCGTGCTGGAGGAAAGGACTCATGTCAGGTGATAATTTTTACTGCCGTGATTGTGTCAGATTCAGATTGCAAAGATTCCTTCTCCTAAATGTTTCTCTCCTCAAAGGGCGATTCAGGCGGTCCGATGGTGAGCAAGCAGAACAGTCGCTGGATCCAGGAGGGAATCGTGAGCTTTGGATTAGGTTGTGCTTTGCCTAATACGCCAGGAGTTTACACCAGAGTGTCCCAGTATCAGTCCTGGATCAACAGCCAGATCACCAGCAACCAGCCGGGCTTTGTCACCTTCACGTCCACTGGGACTGACGGTGACCTCAGCGTCACCTGTCCTGGGCTGCCACCACCGCCAGCCAAACGTGAGTACCTGCCATGTCCAGACTTTGCAAACACGGATTTTAACCTTAAATTTCTCCTTAAAAAGTTTTAATATTAGATATTTTTCTACACAGTTTCATATGTATTCATATCAGCTTGTTCCAGCTCTTCATGGTTTACTCATGGAAATATTCAAACCAAAGACTACTTTTTTGAAAAAATACTTTTTTCACAGTATCCATTTTGACATGAAATTGTAGGAAAACATTCACACTAATTAAGGTTGCAGGTTAAGGGAACATGCACAATAGCAGCACCCTTAAGTATAAGTTTCTTAGCATCATTGGTAGCACTAGTGTTTACCCTACTGTTTCATGGCTGCTGTGAAAAGGATCCATTCAGCCTGACATGTTTAGTATTTTTGGAAACTTAAAATAAAGTTCTGTGAGTTTTAACAAAATTTGATAAAACAACAGGGCATTGTAACGATAGATCAACAGTATCTGGTCCGAGTTTAAAGACTTGTTGAAATGTTGATTTTCTCTCCAGCTGTGGTCTGCGGCCAAGCCCCAATGAATTCACGTATTTTGGGAGGAAGCTCGGTGGCGACAGCCAGTGTTTGGCCGTGGATGGCGAGCTTACAGAAGAATGGAAGTCATATGTGTGGCGGGACTCTGGTGTCCGAGGACTCAGTGTTGAGTGACGCCGACTGCTTCTCAAGGTGAGAAGTTGGGCTGCTGTGAAAAAGGTCTATTCAGAAAGAGGAACAAGTGGCTGTTGTGAGAACAGAACTTAACCTAACGCAGAGTGTCCCATAAACAAGTGCTGTCCTCCAAGAAAACGATTTCTTACAAAGAGGTTGAACAGTCTCAGAAGGTGAATCTGTGAAGGTCTTGTTGTTGTCGTCAAACCAAGTTTCCTGACTGAGTTGATTGTGTCTCCTGCAGTTCTCCCGTAGCGTCTGAATGGACCGTCGTTTTGGGTCGTCTGAAGCAGAATGGATCCAACCCCTTTGAGGTGACGCTGAATGTGACCAACATCACTCTGAGCAACCTGACCGGGTCTAATGTAGCAGTGCTGCGTCTGTCAACCCAACCCACCCTGTCCAACTACATCCAGCCCATCTGCCTGGACAACGGTCAAACCTTCAGCGAGGGCTCGACGTGCTGGGCTGCCGGCTGGAGCTCCGGGCGAGGAGGGGGTGAGTCCAGTTTAATGCTAACTCTCTTTTAGCTTCCTGCCATCTGGGTTTGAATCACACGTCTCATCATTTTCTTATTATTCCCAACTTTAGAGGAGGAAGTTCTGCAGGAGTTCCAGACCTCGGTGGTAAATTGTGGGAACAGTTCATCAAGAGACACCATTTGTACGAGCTCTTTCACACTGGAGCAGGTGAGTAGTGAGAGCAGATTATTAAACTTTTATGTCTTTTTCAATCTGCTGATTCACCAAAAGATGTGACTGACTTCCATAATCAGAGCGAGATTAAAATCGTTGGACTTGAACTTATCTGTTTGTTTGTTCAGGGCGATTATGGCGGTCCGATGATGTGCAAGAAGGACGGCTCTTGGTTCCAGGCGGTGGTGTTATCGATTCAAAACAACTCCACAAACACCTCCAGTAGTACGCGAGCAGATCCACCGATGGTCTTCACCAAACTGAGCACCTTTCAGTCCTTCCTGTTAGAGGTTCTGGGGACGTTCTTATCTCCAGCCACCGCCGCCACCCCAGCTCCCAGCAGCGAGACCATCTTTGACGGCGCTCCGGCTCACTCCTCCTTCTTCATCTTCTTCCATCTCCTCGTCTTGTCTGCGTGTCTCCACCTCTTCTTATAGAAACTCCAACTTTATCCGTAAATAGGGATTTACAGGATGTGACGAACACAAATGAAAGTAAACAACGTTGAATCTGAGAGACAATTCAGGCTTAAAGCTACATGAAGTAATCTATGACTTTATTCTGTTGGTGACCGCCAGGAACAGAGTAGTGAAGTAGGCTGGGTTATATTAGGCATTCTGGGTTGCTGTAACATTTTATCTAATTGGACAATATTAGCTGTCACTAGTGTCCATCAACAACACTCAAAAATCAAGTATTTTTAGCGTCAGCATATTGACTGAGTTTACTTTTCCAGTGTGACAAACTAGATTGCAATTGACCCTTCCTAAGCCCCGCCCGTTTTTGCTCTGTCCTCCAATAACAGTTGAGCAAGCCTCGGTCAACGTCCTCCTTTCCTGTACCTAGATATGCTATATGCTAAGCTAATCTATGTTATAAAGACAACAAAAACATTTTGAATATGGTTAAAGTTTGCTAATGTTAGCAAAATGTTAGCTAACTGGCTAACCAATTGACATCAATTGTTAGGTGGATAGTTACCTAACAGATCAACAGCAATCATTAGCTGGCTAGTTACATATGATAGTTGTGTTAAATGCTACCTATCTAGCTAACAGTTGATGTAGATTAGCTAGCTAGTTCGCTGGCATTTTTATATTAGCCAACTTAAAATGTGACTATATATATATATACATATATATATCTTTTATCTTTTAGCCATATTCAAAATGGGGTTTACGAGCCTAGCTCATAGCATATGCAGATACAGAAAAGGAGGAAGTTGACCCGGGCTTGCTCAACTGTTATTGGAGTCCAGAGCAAAAAGGGGCGGAGCTTAAGAAGGATTAACTGGGACACAGCTAATATTTATAGTACGGTCTCCTAAAGTAAGTTGGTAAAAAGGCAAACTGAGGACGGTGAACATAAGTGTATGTGATTTTTGGGGTTTCCAGCTAATTCCTGTGCTTCTTTGTTGACATGATACATTTTTTGTTAAATGTTCTATATATTAAATTCACTGTTGCACGAGAGCGAACTTTTGGTCTAATTGTGCGCTTACGGACGGAATGTTCGGGGCTAGAGTGTGTGACATCATCGTTAGAGTGTACAGAAGCTGTAAAATCTACCAATAAAATGTATCTTTAAATTGCTCTCATTCCCACAAATGTACCTTCTTTAGACATAATTTCTACATCAAAACGTAGGAAATGTTGTGCTGTTTCTACACAGTGAACTCTGGAATCAAACAGATTTAAACTTTTGATGCTCTGAGCTCCGGACCAACAAGAGTTGCAACCATCTGCTCCATAAGCTCCAATGTTAATTTACAGCAGAAATCTCTGGAGTAAGATCACATTTTTAACTTTATCCACACAAATGATGTATGTGTACCTTCAGCAAAGCCTTGGGATGCTGACAATCACATCATGTCAACAGTACGGCCGACCGTTTTTGAATTACGGCATCTTGTTTGAGTGGTAGTTTCAGGGTTTTCTCAGTGGTCCTCTGCTCTGATTGGTGGATTGATGATCAGAATCAGAACACACACACATATAAATACATTATAAACATATAAAGATAGACGATGTGTCTCCACTTCCTCCAACTGTTCAAAAATAAAAGCCCTATACAGCATCTGTATCTTAATGGTAACTCAGAAAGGGGCTTTCAAAATAAAAACCCCATAGACTATCAAAATAAAGCCCCCAGTGGCTTATAAGCAGGACGCAAAGGATGCAACCATTTTTTCAAAATAAAATCCCCAGAAAGTAAATGTTAACTGGAGGATGAGGCTGTTCTTTTAAACCATCTTAACAGGAAACTACACAATAACTGTATCTTCTCTCTCTCAGGATACATGTCGTACCTATCATTCAGGCACGCTCAAAGGTCTTTGGAAGTGTTTTTGTTGTTGTTCTTATCATACAAATATGTGCTCTCTGCACTTCATACCTACAAACCACAGTCTCACCTGTTGTTTTATTCTCAGCGAAGCAGACTTCTTATGTTGTCTCATTGTTTAAAGTCTTTTAACCTGCAGAACCAGTTTGCAGTTGTGTGTTCCACATTATCTGTTAAATAGATTGTGGCCATATCTAATCCCAGTGTGAACAGGTCACAGTCCCGAACTGACTTGAAAGACGAATGAAGATCTAGCATCTGATTTGGACCACATATAAAAGTGGTCTCAATCAGAATTGAAAAGATCAGATTCAATGTGATTTGTGTCTTTTGCTGTCATTAAACACATTCATCATGTGAGGAAATTCATGTATTTTGTCTTATAAAATGTGTTCTCACTGTATAAATGTAATATTTCTATCGTTGGATGGTAGAATAATATTGTGTGTTGTATGTGAACCTGTTGGATTCTCCACTAATCAGCTCTGGATCATTTAAAGACACACCTGATGGCAGTTTTAAATTGAACAATCTCAATCATTGTGTGTGTGTGTGTGTGTGTGTGTGTGTGTGTGCTGGAATATTTTGGTCAGTTGAAGACGTTAGCAAACTCGATCTATAAGCTAAAGTTAGTGTTTCATTTCTAAAGTTACGTTACAATCATTTCACTAATTGGCAATAAAAAGTGACTAATACAATAAAATAAGATGTAAAAGGCTTCAGAATCATACAAATTAAGCCTTTAAGAGTATTTTACTGATAATATTTATGTATTTAAATGCAGTCTTTGAACTCACTGTGATACTTCTACTTCACTTTGTGAATCTGACAAAAATGAAACCAAACAATGTTTCATGATTCAAGGTTTAGTTGATTTTTATAAGAAAGAAACTGTAATCAAAGACTTTAGGAGAGTAATCAGGCTACAGAGTATTTCTAAAACAGTATTCATGAGTTGTGACAGGTCGGTAAAAAAACACCTGTAAGGATTAAAAAACAATGTCTGACAGGAAGTTGGACGGTAGTTGCTCTGCGTGACTTCTGTGTGTCAACTTGCAGGAATGTCGACAGATATGATCTGTTTCCTCATTTTAATGTCTTATCTTCATAAAGTCTGGGTGGGTCACTGTGAGTCCTGGTTCAAATCTAAATACTAATGTGGAGTTACTCAATCCCTAAAAAAATTACTGTTGAAATAATACATTTATTATTATTATATTAATTATTGGTGATATAATTCCAGTTTGTTCCTGTGACTCGTTTTCTTTAAGTTGACTTTATATCATTAATAGAAATGTAAGTGCCACTGTGTCATAAAGCTTCTGATTTCAGTTTATTAATCATCATAAACCCAAATATGCATCCATACTTTATATACAGTTTAATCCAGTGGTTCCCAACCTAGGGCTCGGGGGCCTCCAAAGGGTCTGCAGATCAATCTGAGAGGAAAATAGAAGAAACAAAGTTCTGATTCACAAATCTGTTCTGGACTTTTCTCCAATCTTTGATTTTTGGGCCTCAAACCAACTCAAAGAAATCTGAAATGTGACAAGAAGACACAACTACACAGTTTCATTACAATGTATTATATCATGTTTTTAAATGTTAAATCTTAATGGTAAGTGTTGTTGGACAGGTAATGTTTGTCCGTGAGGCGTAGAGAGGTGTGTTTGTGCTGGAGGTAGAGACAGAGAGGGAGAGGGAGGGCAGAAGGAGGATATTTATGTGGCTGCAGGTCCGATCATATGAACTTTCAGTTATGGCTTTCTTCAAAGTGATCTGTGTGGCGACTCTGCTGACTCTGCTCACACAAGGTAAGGAACCTCCTCGCTGTACGCACCTGAACCAATATAACGCCTTCCTTTAACTGTTGAGTGAACTAAAACTACTGATATTACTTTGTTTGATTAACTTAATTATTCAATTCAATTCAATTCAATTTTATTTGTATAGCGCCAATTCATAACAGAAGTTATCTCAGGACACTTTTCAAATAGAGCAGGTCTAGACCGAACTCTTTAACATTAATTACAGAGACCCAACAGTACCACCATGAGCAAGACCTTGGCGACAAGGGCAAGGAAAAACTGCCTGTTAAAAGGCAGAAACCTAGGACAGACCCTCCGGCTCTAGGTGGGTGGTCGTCTGTCTCCACCAGTTGGGGTGAGAGAGAGAGAGAGAGAGAGAGAGAGAGGCAGAGAGAGAGAGAGAGACAGACAGACAGACAGGTGCACAGCAACAACAGTATTGGCAATGGCAGTCAAGCAGGACCATGGCAGGAGGCTCCACCAGGATCCATGAGAACCCTGCGAGACGAGAAAGCACAAGAACTCCGGGGAAGAAGTGGAGTTAGTAACATGCATTAATGGGACATGAATGAGTGCAGAAAGAGAGAGGAAGGAGAGGAGCTCAGTGCACCATGGGAAATCCCCCGATAGTCTAGGCCTATAGCAGCATAACTAAGGGATGGTTCAGGACTCACCTGATCCAGCCCTAACTATAAGCTTTATCAAAGAGGAATGTCTTAAGCCTACTCTTGAATGTGGAGAGGGTGTCTGCCTCCCGAACCACAACTGGAAGCTGGTTCCACAGGAGAGGAGCTTGGTAACTGAAGGCTCTGGCTCCTGTTCTACTTTTAAAGACTATAGGAACCACAAGTAGCCCAGCATTCAGAGAACGTAATGTTCTAGAGGGGTAATAGGGTACTATGAGCTCTTTAAGATATGAAGGGGCCTGACCATAAAGACCTTTATAGGTGAGGAGGAGGATTTTAAATTCAATTCTACATTTTATAGGGAGCCAATGCAGAGTAACTAGTACAGGAGAGATGTGATCTCTTTTTCTAGTTCCTGTCAGTACTCGTGCTGCAGCGTTCTGAATTAATTGGAGCGTTTTAATGGACTTATTGGGGCAACCTGATAATAAAGAGTTGCAGTAATCCAGCCTTGAAGTAACAAATGCATGGATTAGTTTTTCTGCATCTGTCTGTGATAGGATGTGTCTAATTTTTCTAATATTACGTAAATGAAAGAAGGCAGTCCTAGAGGTCTGCTTTATGTGGGAGTTAAATGACAAATCCTGATCAAAGATAACTCCAAGATTCCTGACAGTGGTGCTAGAGGCCAAGTTAATGCCATCTAGAGTGACTATATCTTTAGACAGTGAGTCTCTAAGGTTTTTGGGGCCAAGAACAAGAATTTTGGTTTTTTCTGAGTTTAACATCAGCATTATCTTGGTAAAGTTCATTTATTTTCACATGATATTGAACCTAATTAAAAACGAGTACAGGTTACTTTCAGCAACCTATAAATAAGTTTGATGAACTTAATTTTACAAGTAAAACGCACATCTGAATCTGAAATAACTCTTTTATAACTCTGAATTATGTCACAGTAGAACATGTGAGTTTGTTCAAAATGTTCTTGTTTTTTTTTTTACAAGATTGTAGAAACAAAACATATAAAACCTACTAAATAGTAAATATTCATGAAGAAAATGTATGTAAATGATAAAACAAATCTTAAGGAAAATGTTGAATAAAGTAAAGCACTGTGTGCCAATAATAATTACTATCATTGTAATCATTCTTCATCATTGTAAAAACATTTATGTTGACTCTACAGCTGCTGTCACCAAACCCTCTTATTTGTTCAATTAGCTGCACGTTTACATACATTGAATGGAACATGTTGATGTTCACATGGATTGATGGTGGAAGATGGTTGGATGGGGCTCTACTTGTATTTACATTTTTTTATAAAGTTACAATAGAACATATGAATATTAAAATGTTTTCAATTGAGCCAATCACAGTCAGCTTTGTTAATCTCCGCCCAGCAACAAGCTGCTAAAAATAGCTCATAATCAATCCACCAATCAGAGCAGAGGAACATCAGCTGTGTCACTGAGACTGAAACTACCACTCGAACAAGAGGCCGTAATTCAAAAACTGTCGGTCGTACTGTTAACATGATGTGACCATCAGCATCCCAAGGCTTTGCTGAACGTACACATATGTCATTTGTGTGGATAAAGTTAAAAATGTTACTGTTACAGCGATTTAAAAAAAAACAGGCACATTTCAGCTGTAGATGCTGATGGAGCAGTTGGTTATTTTCCTTCTCTGCTATCTGAGAAAATTAAAAATTTCCTCCCATTCATATCACATATCAATATAACACGAGACACATGAGCACAAACACAGAATTGTTGTTTAAAGTGTTTTTTGTTCTGTTTTCCAGAGTCTCACTCACAACTAAGTGGTAAGTCAAAGTTTTTATGCAAATGTTTCTACTTCCTGTCTCCGTCATTTATAATATTTGAAACATGTTTTATTGTTGTTATTTGCTGTCAAACCCAGAATCACAGATTTAAAGCTGCAGTAGGTAATGTCACTATATCCTGACCGTAGGAAACAAGAAAGATAAACTGTGAAAACATCAGGTTCCTCTGGCTCCTCCTGGGGCCCTAAATGGCATTTGCAAGAATCCACCGCGCCCAAATGAAAGCAACCAATCAGAGCCGACAAAGACAGTTGATGAGTGAAATACCAACACTGGGAACGAGACTAACTTGAACTAGGGCTTCCATCTTTGTAGGCTCTCATTGGTGTTTTCATTCAGGCCCGGTGGAACAGTTTTTCACTAACAAATACCACGACTATGAACGTGTGGGATTTAGAAAGGTTTATTGCACATAATTAATAAAGGAAAACCGTTGTAGTGTACTGTAGGAGGGATGAATGGATCAGGAAAGGGCTTGACGGATGAAGGGATGAAAGGATGGGGTAGGGGTTGAGGGTCGAAGGGTTAAGGGATGAAGGATGAAAGGGAACAAGGGATGAGGGTAGGGGTCGAGGGATGGCGATAGGGGTAGAGGGATGTTGGACAATCCACACCTGAAAGCATCCTGACACACTCCCAGGATCATAATCCTCAATCAACAGTTCAGTGCTACCACAGTGGTAATCCAGGGAAGGGAGAGGATTGCTCACTCAGTGTTTTAATGTCTGTCTGTCCTCAGAGTGCGGTCAGCCTCCGCTCAACACCAGGATTGTTGGAGGACAGCCGGCCCCTGCAGGAAGCTGGCCCTGGCAGGTCAGTCTGCACAAAGGGTTTCACTTCTGTGGAGGATCTCTCATCAACAATGAATGGGTGCTGACTGCTGCTCACTGCTTCCCAAGGTGAAGGTAGAGACAAACAAAAACAAACGGTACATGGTCTTAACAGGGATGATATTTAACAAAATGGAAGAACAATTGAGCATTCATTTTAAGAACGAAAGGAAAAAAAAAATTTTTTGTTAAACTAATTATTTAAATGTAAATGAGTTCTATGATGAACTTGTGGGAATACACTCCCTGTTGCAACATCAAACTCTGATCTTAAAGCAACGATCGTTAGTCTACTGCAGTTGTGCCTGACCAGTCGGAGGGGGGGGGGCCCCAAAAAAAAAAAAAGGAAAAGGAAAGAAAAAAACGCACTTAAAATGTCTTTGCTGTTTCGTCTCTCTTCTGATCCCCTCAGCACCAGCACAGACAATCTGGTTGTGTATCTGGGTCGCCAGAGTCAAGAGGGATCCAACCCCAATGAGGTGACTCGGACAGTAACACAGATCATCAATCATCCCTCATACGACTCCAGTACCAATGACAATGACATCTCCCTCCTGAAGCTCTCCTCACCGGTGACTTTCACCAACTACATTCGACCCGTCTGCCTGGCAGCCTCAGGCAGCACCTTCTACAACGGCACAGACTCCTGGGTCACCGGCTGGGGCACCATTGGATCTGGAGGTCGGTCAGTTCTTACTTTACCTATGTGTAGGGGTACTTTTACTATAATCTGTCACATTAGCAAACACACAGTTTTGGAACATGGAACAATTTAACCATCATTCAAAGGTCCTTTAGGTTGTTGTTGATTCATAGAGAAACAGGCGGTACTTGAGGTTTGCCACAGACCTACTTATATCTGTACCTAAACAGTCCATTCTGTGTGAAACCATTTTAAAGTATATTTCACAACTTGTGTTGTTAATTTAACTAAATATGTGTCTCTCTAGTGCCACTTCCTTCCCCACAAGACCTGATGGAGGTGGAGGTGCCGGTTGTGGGGAACCGACAGTGTAACTGTGACTATGGAGTGGGCTCAATCACAGACAACATGATCTGCGCCGGGTTGCGTGCTGGAGGAAAGGACTCATGTCAGGTGATAATTTTTACAGCCGTGATTGTGTCAGATTCAGATTGTAGAGATTCCTTCTCCTAAATGTTCCTCTCCTCAAAGGGCGATTCAGGCGGTCCGATGGTGAGCAAGCAGAACAGTCGCTGGATCCAGGAGGGAATTGTGAGCTTCGGAGAAGGTTGTGCCGAGCCTGAAAAGCCAGGAGTTTACACCAGAGTGTCCCAGTATCAGTCCTGGATCAACAGCAAGATCACCAGCAACCAGCCGGGCTTTGTCACCTTCACGTCCACTGGGACTGACGGTGACCTCAGCGTCACCTGTCCTGGGCTGCCACCACCGCCAGCCAAACGTGAGTACCTGCCATGTCCAGACTTTGCAAACACGGATTTTAACCTTAAATTTCCCCTTAAAAAGTTTTAATATTAGATATTTTTCTACACAGTTTCATATGTATTCATATCAGCTTGTTCCAGCTCTTCATGGTTTACTCATGGAAATATTCAAACCAAAGACTACTTTTTTGAAAAAATACTTTTATCACAGTATCCATTTTGACATGAAATTGTAGGGTAAAACATTCACACTAATTAAGGTTGCAGGTTAAGGGAACATGCACAATAGCAGCACCCTTTAGTATAAGTTTCTTAGCATCATTGGTAGCACTAGTGTTTACCCTACTGTTTCATGGCTGCTGTGAAAAGGATCCATTCAGCCTGACATGTTTAGTATTTTTGGAAACCTAAAATAAAGTTCTGTGAGTTTTAACAAAGTTTGATAAAACAACAGGGCATTGTAACGATGGATCAACAGTATCTGGTCCGAGTTTAAAGACTTGTTGAAATGTTGATTTTCTCTCCAGCTGTGGTCTGCGGCCAAGCCCCAATGAATTCACGTATTTTGGGAGGAAGCTCGGTGGCGACAGCCGGTGTTTGGCCGTGGATGGCGAGCTTACAGAAGAATGGAAGTCATATGTGTGGCGGGACTCTGGTGTCCGAGGACTCAGTGTTGAGTGACGCCGACTGCTTCTCAAGGTGAGAAGTTGGGCTGCTGTGAAAAAGGTCTATTCAGAAAGAGAAAAGGTCTATTCAGAAAGAGGAACAAGTGGCTGTTGTGAGAACAGAACTTAACCTAACGCAGAGTGTCCCATAAACAAGTGCTGTCCTCCAAGAAAACTATTTCTTACAAAGAGGTTGAACAGTCTCAGAGGGTGAATCTGTGAAGGTCCGGTTGTTGTCGTTTCCTGACTGAGTTGATTGTGTCTCCCGCAGTTCTCCCGTAGCGTCTGAATGGACCGTCGTTTTGGGTCGTCTGAAGCAGAATGGATCCAACCCCTTTGAGGTGACGCTGAATGTGACCAACATCACTCTGAGCAACCTGACCGGGTCTAATGTAGCAGTGCTGCGTCTGTCAACCCAACCCACCCTGTCCGACTACATCCAGCCCATCTGCCTGGACAACGGTCAAACCTTCAGCGAGGGCTCGACGTGCTGGGCTGCCGGCTGGAGCTCCGGGCGAGGAGGGGGTGAGTCCAGTTTAATGCTAACTCTCTTTTAGCTTCCTGCCATCTGGGTTTGATTCACACGTCTCATCATTTTCTTATTATTCCCAACTTTAGAGGAGGAAGTTCTGCAGGAGTTCCAGACCTCAGTGGTAAATTGTGGGAACAGTTCATCTAGTGACACCATTTGTACCAGCTCTTTCACACTGGAGCAGGTGAGTAGTGAGAGCAGATTATTATACTTTTATGTTTTTTTAATCTGAAGTTTCACCAAAAGATGTGACTGACTTCCATAATCAGAGCAAGGTTAAAATCCCAAACACATTGGACTTGAACTTATCTGTTTGTTTGTTCAGGGCGATTATGGCGGTCCGCTGATGTGCAAGAAGGACGGCTCTTGGTTCCAGGCGGCGGTGTTATCGATTCAAAACAACTCCACAAACACCTCCAGTAGTACACGAGCAGATCCACCAATGGTCTTCACCAAACTGAGCACCTTTCAGTCCTTCCTGTTAGAGGTTCTGGGGACGTTCTTATCTCCAGCCGCCACCACCACCACAGCTCCCAGCACGACCACCACTGCCGGCGCTCCCGCTCACTCCTCCTTCTTCATCTTCTTCCATCTCCTCGTCTTGTCTGCGTGTCTCCACCTCTTCTTATAGAAACTCCAACTTTATCCGTAAATAGGGATTTACAGGATGTGACGAACACAAATGAAAGTAAACAACGTTGAATCTGAGACACAATTCAGGCTTAAAGCTACATGAAGTAATCTATGACTTTATTCTGTTGGTGACCGCCAGGAACAGAGTAGTGAAGTAGGCTGGGTTATATTAGGCATTCTGGGTTGCTATAACATTTTTATCTGATTAGACAATATTAGCTGTCACTAGTGTCCATCAACAACACTCAAAAATCAAGTATTTTTAGCGTCAGCATATTGACAGAGTTTACTTTTCCAGTGTGACAAACTAGTTTGCAATTGACCCTTCCTAAGCCCCGCCCGTTTTTGCTCTGTCCTCCAATAACAGTTGAGCAAGCCTCGGTCAACTTCCTCCTTTTTCTGTACCTAGATATGCTATATGCTAAGCTAATCTATGTTAGAAAGACAACAAAAACATTTTGAATATGGTTAAAGTTTGCTAATGTTAGCAAAATGTTAGCTAACTGGCTAACCAATTGACATCAATTGTTAGGTGGATAGTTAGCTAACGGATCAACAGCAATCATTAGCTGGCTAGTTACATATGATAGTTTGTGTTAAATGCTACCTATCTAGCTAACAGTTGATGTAGATCAGTTGGCTAGTTCGCTGGCATTTTTATATTAGCCAAATTAAAATGTGACTATATATATATATATATATATATATGTCTCTTTTATCTTTTAGCCATATTCAAAATGGGGTTTACGAGCCTAGCTCATAGCATATGCAGATACAGAAAAGGAGGAAGTTGACCCGGGCTTGCTCAACTGTTATTGGAGTTCCAGAGCAAAAAGGGGGGAAGAAGGATTAACTGGGACACAGCTAATATTTATAGTACGGTCTCAAGTAACTGGGACGGTACATAATATTTATTTTTGGGGTTTCAGTTTAAATGTCCTATATAGTAATTACTGTTGGTAAAAAGGCAAACTTTTGGTTTAATTGTGGGCTCCGGGGGGGAGGTTTGGGGGGAGGGGGGGGCATTTTTTTAGGGGAAAAGAGGACGTAAATGTGATCTTTAATTTTTTTTACTCATAAGTGTAAATGTTGTGCTGTTTCTACACAGTGAACTCTGGAATCAAACAGATTTAAACTTTTGATGCTCTGAGCTCCGGACCAACAAGAGTTGCAACCATCTGCTCCATAAGCTCCAATGTTAATTTACAGCAGAAATCTCTGGAGTAAGATCACATTTTTAACTTTATCCACACAAATGACGTATGTGTACCTTCAGCAAAGCCTTGGGATGTTGACGGTCACATCACGTCAACAGTACGACCGACAGTTTCTGAATTATGGTGTCTTGTTCGAGTGGTAGCTATGAGCTATTTTTAGCAGTTGACAACAGCTGGCTGCTGGGCGTAATTAACACAGTTGACTGTGATTGGCTCAATTAAAATCTGTTTAATGTTCATGATGGATCCACTTTTAATGTCAGCCATTTTGTCCTTCTTGTCTGTCTCACACACACATATAAATACACTATAAACATACAAAGATGGACGATGCGTTTCCACTTCCTCTCCAACTGTTCAAAAATAAAAATCCTATACAGCATCTGTATCTTAATTGTCGGGCTCTACGACGTAGGGTGTTAGAGTGGTCTAACTGCATTAGTTTAATCAATTAATGGTTATCAAAAATTATAATTTTTAAAAAGGTAATAGAAATTGACTTTAATTAATATTAAAGTTCCTCAGGGCACCACCCTTAAATAAGGGAAACGATAACCAATAATCAATCTATCAGTCTCATAAAAATTACACTAAACTATTAATTCAGAAGTCAGATTAATAATTAAATTAATAATTACAACCAAAATCGTTAATAATAGCTAGAGTGGGAGCTTTGGAGTTCTGCAGGGAAGAGGTTGGTATCACTCACTCTTGTACGAAATTAAATAGGCCAGCATATGTAAACACAAAATTTATTAACCAGATATAATAAAAGCAAACAGATTAAAAATACACAATAGACAATCTAACTTAAAAGGAAAAAGGAGTGTGTGTGTGTGTGTGTGTGTGTGTTTGTGTGTGTGTGTGTGTGTGTGTGTGTGTGCTTGCCATAAAAGGTTTATGGCTGTGTCCTCTGACGCTTCAGGGTATGAAACACGTACTGGTGAGAAACAGAGAGAATGAAGAAGCGCAAGGGTTTGAATCCCTCGCCTTGTGTGTGTGTTGAGTCCAAATATGTGTGTGTAAGATTTTATCCCTCATCAACAATGAATGGGTGCTGACTGCTGCTCACTGCTTCCGAAGGTGAGCACTGATGGTAGAGACAAACAACAACATGCAACATCAAACTCTGACTAGACGTGGTCTTAAAAGGACTCAGTGTTGTCTCTCTTCTGATCCTCTCAGCATCAGCACAAACAATCTGGTTGTGTATCTGGGTCGCCAGAGTCAAGAGGGATCCAACCCCAATGAGGTGAATCGGACAGTAACACAGATCATCAATCATCCCTCATTCAACTTCAGTACCTTTGACAATGACATCTCCCTCCTGAAGCTCTCCTCACCGGTGAATTTCACCAACTACATCCAGCCCGTCTGCCTGGCAGCCTCAGGCAGCACCTTCTACAACGGCACGGACTCCTGGGTCACCGGCTGGGGCACCATTGGATCTGGAGGTGGGTCAGTTCTTTATTTACCTGTGTGTAGGGGTACTTTTACTATAATCTGTCACATTAGCAAACACACAGTTTTGGAACATGGAACAATTTAACCATCATTCAAAGGTCCTTTAGGTTGTTGTTGATTCATAGAGAAAACAGGCGGTACTTGAGGTGTACCACAGACCTACTTATATCTGTACCTAAACAGTCTATTCTGTGTGAAACCATTTTAAAGTATATTTCACAACTTGTGTTGTTAATTTAACTGAATTTGTGTCACTTTAGTGCCACTTCCTTCCCCACAAGACCTGATGGAGGTGGAGGTGCCGGTTGTGGGATACCAACAGTGTTTCAGTGACTATATCTCCGTAGTCCCAATCACAGACAACATGATCTGTGCCGGGTTGCGTGCTGGAGGGAAGGGTCCATGTCAGGTGAATAGTTTTACAGTTGTGATTGTGTCAGATTCAGATTGCAAAGATTCCTTCTCCTAAATGTTTCTCTCCTCAGAGGGCGATTCATGCGGTCCGATGGTGAGCAAGCAGAACAGTCGCTGGTTCCAGGAGGAAGTGACCTCAGCGTCACCTGTCCTGGGCTGCCACTGCCAACCACCATTGCTCCAACGACCCCAGCCAAATGTGAGTACCTGCCATGTCCAGAGTTTGCAAACACGTATTTTTACGTTAAATTTCTCTTCGAAAAGCTTTTAAATTACATATTCCAGCTTTTCATGGTTCACTCATGGAAATATTCAAACCAAAGTCTATTTTGAAATGATATAGTAGGGTGAATTGGTAACACCAGTGTTTACCTGCTATTTCATGGCTGCTGTGAAAAGGATCCATTCAGCTAGACATGTTTAGTACTTCAGAATAAAGTTCTGTGAGTCTGAACAAAATTAGACAAGGCAACAGGACATTGTAACGATGGATCAACAGTATCTGTTCCGAGTTTATGGATGTGGATGGCGAGATTACAGAAGAATGGAAGTCACATGTGTGGCGGGACTCTGGTGTCCGAGGACTCAGTGTTGAGCGACACCAACTGCTTCTCAAGGTGAGAAGTTGGCTGCTGTGAAAAAGGTCTAGAAAAACTCCAAGAAAACGATTTCTTACAAAGAGGTTGAACAGTCTCAGAAGCTGAATCTGTGAAGATCCGGTTGTCATCAAACCAAGTTTCCTGACTGAGTTGATTGTGTCTCCTGCAGTTCTCCCACAGTGTCTGAATGGACCGTCGTTTTGGGTCGTCTGAAGCAGAATGGATCCAACCCCTTCGAGGTGACGCTGAATGTGACCAACATCACTCTGAGCAACCTGACCGGGTCTAATGTAGCAGTGTTGCGTCTGTTAACCCAACCCACCCTGTCCGACTACATCCAGCCCATCTGCCTGGACAACGGTCAAACCTTCAGCGAGGGCTCGACGTGCTGGGCTGCCGGCTGGAGCTCCGGGCGAGGAGGGGGTGAGTCCAGTTTAATGCTAACTCTCTTTAAGCTTCCTGCCATCTGGGTTTGAGTCACACATTCCCAACTATCACAATCTGGAGCTCTTGGTCTTTGCACTGCTGATATTCTGTTGAAATATTGTAATGAGGTCGTTATTACTTCTCTTTACACTCAAACATGAATAATCTGAGGGAAACAACAAATGTAATTAAAGCTGCAAGCAGCATTTCAGCTAGATCTGATCATCCTGCTAGGATGTAATTTCGACCTTTAGGACCTGTAATTTCTACCTGTATTTGCACATCCATTTGCACTGTTTTACGTCCATTTGCACTGTTTACTGTAGCTACTGTCTTTTATTTTATTTTTAATTCTATTCTTACGGTTAGGGTTTTTAATTTTGTATGCTACTGGATACTTGAATTTCCCTCGGGATAAATAAAGTATCTAT